GGCGCTGATTGGCCTAATTTACTCAATAATTACTTCTTTATTATAAATAATAGAAAAAAATGGTTCAGGACTTTTCGACTCAGTTTTATTCCTTCTACCTGCCTACGAGAGATTGTACGGCAATTCTGGGACACCCTGTATATATATACACTCATCATATATTTTGTATGTGTGTGTATGTGTGCGTGTGTGTGTATGACTTGAAACATTTACAGAATGAAAGGAAAAATTAAAAGGTCGAGGTTGTCTCGACACGTGTCATAGATCTTCATGATCTTTCATCTGCTGCTTTATTTCATATCTGATAATCGAATCAGAACCGGCCGAACGGGATGTTCATTACGAGTTCATGGAATTTGTGCGTATATGCCCAATTATCTTTTACTGCTAACAAAAGGAATTGAGCTAAGTCGATTACTTTGTTGAAAAGAAACATAAGACACGTGGATTTCTGTGTGCGTATTGCGTGAAAAAAATTAGAAAAATTGTTGAGTACTAACTGACAGAAGGACACATACAATAAAAAACAGAAGCATTCAGCTGAAAAAATAAAACGTAATTTAACTCACTTTTTTAACATTATTCCTTGAATAAAATCATCATCATTTCTTTGTTAAATAAAGCAGATTTCTGTATTAAAAATTTGTGAATGTTGCTTGTCGAATTGTCCAACTGTTTTGCGAATCCGCAAGAAAGTGAATATCGGCGACAATACACATCGAACACTCCTAGATTCGTTCATTCATTTTGTGTCATTCAAAACAGGGTTGCGCAATTCGCAACTGTACGTCCGTGACCACTTTTCGTTTCGACTTGTTAGCAGCGAAGTATGCAAGTTTCCCTCAGTGAATACGAATATCGCGGGTGAATTGTTCGGGTCGCTTGAGAGTTTCAACCATCACGTCGTGCGCCGAGTTCGTTGAACTTCGAAACTTCACGAGCGGCCGGATTTCACTATCTCACGGGCGAAACGACGTGTGTCGTCATCGCTAAACACGAAATAGCGGAATTACATCCGGATTGCTTTTTTTCTACCAAAGTGAATTTCTGCAATTCAACTCTTGTTCGTTTAAGAGAGATATTCAGCCGAGAAAAAAGTTTCTCTTTCGTAACGGCGCAAAAGTATTGTTTTTCTAATCAATAACGAAAAAACTAAGTCTAACTTGAGAATAAAGTTATAACAATAAGTTTTTACTTAATTATAAGATTTTTAAGTAATTCAATTTAATTTTTTATAACTTTGATCTTAGAAATGTTTATGACACGGGAAAAAGAAACTTTATATTTGACGTGTCATTTAAAGACACACCAGTCCTATCAGTTAAGAAAATATGTGTATATATATATTCGGTCGGTTAAAAGTATTTTGACATCATTAAAAATTACATAGCAACACGTCGTTGCGAAGCGTTATATCATGCAAGCTGAAAGTATTACGTTTATTGCGTTGCTCGTATTAGAGAACAAAGAAATATTTCTTATAAAGAAATATTTCTTTTGATTAAAAAGAACGACATAAACGGTTGCGTCATATTTTCATATTGTGAAATGGTATCGCTTTTCTCTTGTGGTTTACGAAATTATTGACAATTGTAAACAATTATATTAATTATATGGCAGATTCTAATTGTTTTTTGGTTGATATATTTCCAAGTCTGCCCATATTCTATGTATATTTTACTCAAATTTATGTTTTAATGTTTATCGCCAATTTTTTTCCTATAATTTGTATGCTTTTTATACTTTTTGAGTAATAAATAAAAATTATCATATATTTCGGAATGTTTAAATGTATTTGTATTGATTTATACATTAAACTTATCTGTTAGACATTTTTCTCGCAAAAATATCATTTTGACAAGAGATGTGTGTGCGCTGTTGCTTTGCAGATGTATGCAAAAGATTTACGATGATTATATAAGAAAAAATATTTATTATTATGCAAAAATATGCAAGTTACGAAGGAATGTGATAAAAAAATTCAATGTTAATAAAGAAGTACATCATGTCATGTTGCAAATATGCATTTTTCCTAGGAAGCATCGCGTTTTCTCACGCTGTCTCTCTCTCTCTCTCTCTCTGTTTCACATACACACACACACTCTCGCAGTTCCTATTTCTGCGACACTTACATCTCTAATAAATTGCGCGTTCGGAAGAAAAACACTCGTTTAAAATCTAATTACCTTCCTATAATTTGACATTTTAGTATTTGGGCAGCATAGAGGTTGATCAACCCAAAGGCATTGATGTTGTTAAGGAAGCGATCTGTAAGCTGAAATTCAATCAACAACTTAAGAAAAGCGAGGGCACGAAAACTCCGAAGGTCGAGCTTACTATAAGCATCGATGGCGTGGCAATACAAGAACCAAAAAAATTGACCCCCAAGGTTAGTGCAATTTATCGAAATGTAAAAATAAAATTTTCTATTTATATTCTTTATTTTATCGTGATTAAACCGAAGATTACTTTTGCAGCGAATTATGCATCAATATCCGCTGCACAGAATCTCCTATTGCGCCGACGACAAGGGAGAAAAAAAGTTCTTCAGCTTCATTGCAAAAGAGGAAGATGCAGAGACACACACATGCTTTGTATTCGTCAGCGATAAATTAGCCGAGGAGATTACGCTTACTATTGGTCAGGCATTCGATCTGGCCTACAGGAGATTTTTGGAAACTTCCGGTAAAGATCTAGAAGCGCAACGACGCTGCATGGTGTTGCAGCAGAAGATAAAACGACTGGAACACGAGAACAACGTTTATCGGCAACGGCTGCAAGATATTGCGGCTATTAAAGGCTCGGTTGGTAGAAAAAAATAAAACTACAACAATATACCGAATGTAATTTGATAATTTTGTTCAGGCGGATGTATCGACGTATCTCTCGCAACATAATCTTCCCGATATTCTTCACGTACCTGGAGCTTCGACGGACTCGTCACAAGTCAATGGCACGACGAGCAAATCATTAGTGAACACAAGCAGCGACACTAATGGGAATACGTCCAATGGACCACAGCAACCGCCGCCGGTTCCGCCGAGGAGTTTTGAGAAGAGTTTCGACGATGATTTTATGGGGTACAGTTAACATAATTAGAAGTTTTGTTATCATTTGTTTATGTGTTAAGTGATTTTACATTCTTTCTCTTTCTAAACTGCAGAAACGAGCCGTCGCCGGCACCGTCAGTTGGCACGAAATTAGAGGGACTCTTGATGGACGAGTTTGACGAAGATGATTTCAATCCAAGGGCTTACGAGACTGCAGCCAACGGCCTTGCCAATCATCAATCTAACAACAATCCACTTTTTAACGGTCAGCTGTCTTCGGGATCGAACTTCTTTTCTCAATCCAACGGCACGACTAGCTCCCCACCTCTGTGTAAATATCCGTTTTATGATAATTAATATATATTCTCCTTAACATTACGTTGATAAAATTGATATATCTCCGTTTTAGTGGCTCCACCACCAAAGACGAAAGATTCCAGACGTCAAAACGGACTTAAGGAAGATCTGTTTGGTAGCATTCCTTTTAATCCTACGCCGACATTGAACATAAAGAGCGACTTTAAAGATCCATTTGAAATGGGTGAATTTGGAGCTTCGACCGTGCCGTCCAATCCTAGCCAGCAGGAATTGGAAAACGCTATCGGTTTGTTGGACAAAAGGCTGCTGGAAATGAAGGTAATATATATTTTGTCTAAGAAAGACGAGATGAGAGAAAAATACGAGAGATATACAGTTTTAATTTACTTTTGCTGTTATGCGTGTAAAAAAACTCGCGACGTAAAATTTCCAGGACGGTTTCAGTAGAGGGCTGTCTATCGGAACTGATGACTTTTCCCTGGAGAGCTTGGACCCACTACGAAATTAAACTTGATGATAAAAAAGAAAAAAAAATACAATTTAACAACAATCGAACAAAAAACTTAAGGTACTCTAAAACGCAGAGTACGAAAGACCAATTATATATAACGGATAGAGCGATTAAAAGGTATGTCCGTGTAAAACCAAAATTAGTCAATTAATATCTTCTTATACTCTTATATTTATGATGATGTTTGATATATTTATGATAAATGGAATATATGAGCGTGTATCCTATTGTATAATCTGCATTATTTGTCGCTTTAGAGCCTGTAAGATCCAATATGAATGACGCGGAAACATATATGTTGTTATTAATTATGAATTTTAATAAGATGGGATTTTAAGGTGATCGGTGGAATAAAAAAGATGATGTAATACTTTTCATGAAAATCACAAATAAGTAAGGTTCAAATGAAAAGTTTCTATATAAATACATATAAATGTATGTTTATATAAAATGCAATGACAAAAGTATTTTGACGCATCTATCATATGAGTTTTTGAACCAAACAAAATAATAAATGATGTAAACCTGTAATTATTAATTATGCCAAATCGGAAGGTGATAAATGGCTGAGATTTCTTTTAAGGTAAAAAATGTAAATTATATGGATAATTGTAACATACTTAATATCCGCGATGTATATTTTTTACTCGGCTTAATAATCTTTAAATCAAACTTGCGTTTATCGAAAAGTGAGCTTGTACACGAAAAGATAAAACTAAATCCCGTCACGTAATGTTAGAGATCGTGTTAATAATATTACGAATGCGTAGATTTCATAGTCAATTGAACTTGAACATTCCGCATATCCTCTTTGGTCTGTCGTACGTACTTCTATTAGACATCTGTCTTTTAAAACGGCAATAGATATCAGGAAGAAAAAAACGATTATGAAATAATAGGGGAACACGAGACAAGTCTAGATGTGGACTTTACATAATAATCTCTGTATCTCTCTCTATCTTTTATATCACAATTCGATCAACGTAACGCAAAGCGTTAACGAAAGGTTACGTTTACTGATATATGTAAAGATAAATGGATTAGTATAATTATGTACATATAATAAAACTTTAATCTTATTATTGTTGCTATATTGTTTAAGAATTGTAGTTAAGAAAATATAGGATGTAATCATTACAACTGAAGATATATTGTTTACATTTAACGTAAACCTTTCCTACAATCAAATTATCTGATTTCAAAGTACAAACAACAAACATTATCTTATTGACATTTTTTACAATTAAAATATCTTTATAAAAATAAAACCTATTACATATTCCACTCTTGTTTAAAATTGTTTTGCTATCAACTACTGAACTCTTCAACAAAATTTTATTCTAAATTCTTTCAAAATTACGTTTTTAAAATCCTTATTCCTTTCTTTTTCATGCCAAATGTTGAAACTATAAAGCAACAAATCGTTAGAGAAAATGTTTATTTCTACATATTGAATAAAAACAAGACTTAAGTGATTACTTGATATTTCTATTTCTTTTTGAGATCTAATGTTATATTATTATATAAACATTTATATTTGTCTCATCATTTTATTCCATGTACATGATAAGCTGAAAAGCCTTTTTAAACTTGGCGCGGTTGCGACAATCAATCTATCACGTGATTCGATGGGTACGTCGTAGACGGCGCCAGCGACGTGGCTCGACGTCGTGCCTGCGCCAGTATTTCGCGAGCTTTCTGCGTGTTCTGTTCGTTTTCTCAGTTTCGTCCGGTTCTGTTCGAGAGGGAGGTAGCCGCTGCCGCCGCCACTGCAGACGCGAGGTTCGTCGAACGAGAAACGCCGCGAAACAAAAGTGCCTTTTTCTTTCTTATCGCCGCGCACTAGAAGATTCCCCTTTCAGGATGGCGGACGACAATCATGAGAACGGCACTAGCAACGGCGACGTGCCCGAGATCGAGCTGATCATCAAGGTGAGTATGCCACGCGCGACCGAGGATTTGCGAGCGAGGATCGAAGAAGAAGAAGGGGAAGACGGAGGAAAAAGGAGGCGATCGTCCCGTGCCACTGCTATGGGCGTGGATAGAGGCTGATTTCTGTTCATTTCTGCGACGAACTTTGTCGACATCGAGAATCTTTACGCCTCTTCTCGGCGACGATTGTGAAAATGAACAGTTTGCGGGTGATCAACGCAAAAATAAAGAAATTCGGCGGTCGTGTTGTCGTTCGTTTCGCGTAGCATCCGCCGGCCGTTTGTCCCGCTCGAATTTTGTTTTTAATTCGCGTTATATTCGTGTCCTACGACTAAATAAATCACAAACGCTGTTGCGTATTGTCGAGAGAGAGACAGACCGTTTGTTTCTGTTCTTGACGTAAACGACGAGGGCCTCCCTCGCGCGCGTTCACCGACACGTAATCGCGAATCAAGCAAGCGAACGCGAACGAGCAGCAGACGCGGATATTACGTGCGTGCGTGCGTGCGTGCGTGCGTGCGTGCGTTGTCGCTGCTGCTGCTCGTTGAACAAGTTGCCGATACGCTCCTTTCCTCAGCTAGAAAAAGGTTTACTACTTGGACGATTTTTAACATGTGTCGCATACTTTTAAGATTGTATTTAATGTTATATCAAAGGGTGACTGGTTTACCGTCGTTCATTTCAAATTACCCGACTCGTGACGCTAACCGTCACGTTTCTCGTTGTGCGTCGTATGTACACAAGCGCAGAAGCTTTTTATGTATCGTTTTTCCGCGCTCTGTGTCCGCGTACTTTGAATCACTCGTCTCGGGATATCGCGTCGGTTCCACTTAAGAGAACAATCCAAAGCGACACATTTGTTTGACGACAAATGAGGTCTTTACGTCATATGAAAAGTACGTAAAAGTATATACAAACAGATAGGAAAAAAGCTGTTTTTTTTCGAGCACCCAAAACAATATTCACAAATAAATTGCTTTTGCAAAACTCACAGTGATATTAAATCGGAGTTTGTTTTGCAATGTTTTCGCAAATATATCAGTGATAAATGTTAACTCGTTGGTTTGTTTAACTTAAGAATTCTTAAATGAATCTGTTCCGGAACTTTTTTCCTTGAATTTGATAGCGAAGCATCAAGCTCTTCGCGGCAGCGCGCTATACAATACGTACATTCTACACACTTCTTTACGCATGGAGTCATCGAGGGCGCCGAGCCGTTCTCCTTCTTCCTCCGGCGATCGTTTGTGTATTCAGCGGGCATTATGCGCGACGGTATCGCGGCAGATGGGACACGACGAAAAGAGACGCCCCTCTCGCTGTCCCCTTTGACGGGGAAAAGCGCGACCGGGGCAAAAAGTTGTCCGGCTCTGTGCGCGGAGTTGATTCCGGTTACCACGGAAAAATGAAAGGTTCTCGGACTGGTTTTTCGCGCGTTTCTCGTGTCTCTCTGGGATAGTTTTCGGTGTAGGCGGAAATCGCGCGTATACTTGATCTAAGAATTAATTGAACCGCACCGTCGCATTCTCTGTGCAAATTCCTTTTCTCTATCCTGTTCACATTCCTATCTTATCGGTAAAATTTTCGCGATGTTTGACATTTCTTTTATCGCAATTATCAGCGTCAGAGAAATGTAGAAAAAGTTTTTATACGAACGCAGTATCTTTGTTTTCTCTATCGAGTATAGTACTACGTCATTTCTCGAATTCATTTTATTGCACTGTAGGTTTATCTTTTGTTGATACTGACATAATAAAATATATAAATTTTATATTAAAAGATATATTCTTAGGGAGTATAAACTTGTTTAATTAAACGTGTTTTTCAAACAAAAAATGTAAAAATTTCAAACAGAGGATAATATAAATATGTATATAGCAAATATTAGTAATATCCATATATTTTTGAGACAAAAACAAGATTCTTGATCGCGCATGATACCATAATTTCGTGATCGTACTCGTATCGGCACTATAGGTTTTGATTTTGATTAGATAGTAACCATGTGCGATTTGCGATTGCCGTTATTTTTATTGTCAATCAATTCGGTTGCGTCGCGATCGCGATCGATTCGTTTCTATTGAAGGTGAGCCCTCGCACGAGTTCTCGGAACTTTCTTTTCACTGAGTTTCCAGAGGAGACCAGAGAGTCCTTATATGGAAACAAGCGATCTTCAAGTGATTGTTAAAAAAGAGTTTGAGATTGAACTTTCGCCGAAACGTGCAATTTGATCGCATTTTTATCTCTCTCTCTTCCTCTATAACTAAATATAGAATATTTGATATTCATCAAGTAAACATTTGTTTAATTTAACTTCAATTAAGTACATGTTTTTTAAATAAATCTTTATATTTTTATGCGCAAGAAATAGTAAGTACGCGATTTAATCGGCTCGATTACGCCGAAAACGTTCGTTTCCTAACATATGCGTAATCTTATTGTGCAAATGCGCAAGTTTGCCATATCAGTAACTTGTCCTCACAAGTATGTCAATGAGAATACACACGGAGGCTTTTCAGATAAACTTATCATCTCGATTGGAATATTAGATATAAAGCGCACAGGTAGCTGGTGAATCAGATATCGGAGAGAATGTGCCCTTCAGTTTGTGTTTTACGAATAAACATGATAACAAAAACAGTCGATCAATCTTTTTTTTTGATATAATACGATAATATTGATTAATAATAATTGAAATTGTGATTTTGTAAAATTTTTACGTGTACGTGAATCCCATTCGATATTCGTAATAATTAATAAAATTGCTAATATCCAATTGAAGAATATGTTACGTATAAGTAACTAGTTGTAACTTCCAAGTTCATTATCCTGATATTTTACAATATTATACACGCACAATATTGCTCTGTGTTGCATGTCTCGAATAGCGTACATGTTTTATAAAAAAAACAGTAGTAAATATTCAAATTAGATGAAATTTTGTACCGTCACTCTCTCTCTCTCTCTCTCTCTGTGTATGTATCTTGTAATAAAATATCGCACATTTTACAAACGGGAAACCGTTTAATTTGTTGCGCTTAACGAGGGCAAGAGAACTACACCGTTGTTTTTAAAGTCGAAGAATGTCGGGTAAGAGGCGTGCTTCGGGGACTATCTGATCGCGTCGGAATCACTCACACGCGAGAAAATTTAATGGATAAAGCCCACAACCTTGCACTCTTGAGAGAAGCGATCATGCGAGATCTCGCGAATAAGTGTGTCGAACGGGACGAAACGAGGAGCGGCTACCACCGAGGTCCTTCTCGAGATTCTACCGTTAAACAGCGCCTTCCGCTTTCCTCACTCTTCTCTCTTAGCTTTCCCTGCCGACTTCTTGGTAACTTTATTCCGCGAGTCTATCTGTCTACTTATTACATCTGTATACCAAATGATTCGAAAATTCTTTCATCAAAGATGAAAATACGCGAACTGCATAGAGTTTTTTTAACTGTACGTATAGTGATATTTATTCTATATAACAAGTTTATTATCTCGCACTAAATACTAATATCTTTTGTCTCGTACTTTTTTCTCTCTAATGCAGTTGTTTACATATTAAAGTAAAAGAATATCGCATATGCAGCCACCTGTGCGGCCGCGGCGATCGATTAGACTAACTTAATCTCCTTTAAGGTCATTACAAACATGTCTAGGTAGAAGTTAGAGACATACATTCAAAGAGTTCGCGCGATTGGTCTGCGCAAACACGCGTCGCGTCCCATTTACGAAAGTTGATCTTCGTTTTTGACGGCGAAATAGAAGAAAATATGTTTGTTGATGTCCTGAAAAAAACATCATTCTAATGCTAATTAAAACCGGCTTACGCGTGCATAATCTTTACCTACGTATCGATATTTTTTTCCGTTCTATTTCTCGATTTTATTCACAAGGAAAGATGGAGAATACTGAATGACGAACGCGTATTGTGCGGAATTATGATTTGTGTTATATGCGCCGCGTATATCCGCAGAAGTCACTCGTCGTGTGCATATATTTGCCTATTCGTAACGGTATATATCAACGTGGCAGGTTGCTAACTGCCTTTCAACATCGAAAGAACGAAAGAAAAAAAGATTATCATTTTATCGATTACTTTGTATCGTTTGTATTCGTACATTTCTGTGTCGGCAGAAAACAATTATAGTTTCGCAGCAAGTAGTTTTAATCAATATATTAAACGATGAGTTCAATTGTCATTTTTATATGTTTTGTAAAAAATAACATTTTTAACCACCCAGTCGCGTAGCTATATGCGCATCAAGTTTTCCACAAGTACGAGAAACAAGGTTGCTCGCGATATTATTGCCATTAAACAATGCCACTGATACATGTACCGCTATTACAACCGGTTTATCCTCGTGCCGCTCGATTTCTTTCGCCGGTTTTTCCGTAATTTCGTCAACTGCTATGTAGTTCGTGCAACGCGATGTCACAAAATCGCAATACCGTCAAAACCGCACGCGCTCTCGTAACAGACATTAAAACGCGAAGTTCCTTGCACAGGACCGAGATTCCCCTGTTTCCCCTTTGCTGATAAATTATGCTGAATTCGATTAATCGCTCCGTATCTCTTGATTCGCGGTTTATAAGGAAACCGCTTAGTGCGGCCTTCTTCGGCGATGGAATTTGCTAGCTCGTGCCGTATCCGTTTTATTACGCGCGATCTGAATCGCGCGACTCGAGCTATTAAAATCAAAATAGGTGCAATAAATTACGTCAGTATATATATCTCGCGAACAGAAGTGATCAATGTCATCGCCACGACAACTGCGGGAAGATGCACGTTCCCGTGGTGCGCAACACATATTCACTGACGTCATTTAATCCTCGCGTGCGTATGTATGTATCAAGAGATGCGCCGAGATCGATGCGCACCTGATACCGTGTACCGAATTTTCAAAGCTTTCGTAATAGAGAAAGGAGGTGAGGAACGGCCGCTAAGGTGAAAGATAGCGGTGTTTGAGGATGGAAGACGTTCCAGGGTCTACGTGACATTTGATTCAGCGTATATTTTAACACGGCTCGTATATTCAAGATGCTCAGTACACGAATGCTGAATTTCCGCGAACTGAATATGCTTGAGAAAATTGCTTTATTCGCATTTGTATTATTTTATTCAACAATGCTGATTAATGTTTTACAATAACTTAAATTATTCTCTTTATCTCTTTTCAGTTTCTCTTTTCCGAAACAAAACGCGAAGAATAAGTTACACGAATTCTACAAGACGATTAAAATGACAATTCGATTGCGGCAACTGTAACTGTGAAATTGAAGTATTAAAATGATCTTTAAAATAACGTAACTTATTTAACAACACACATATTTAATAACACATAGATATTTTACTCTAATAACATCTGCTTATTGCGCGTTTATTTGGTGTAAATGACTCATACTGTAATTGTCTTGCTTCATGTACGAGAAACATAACTTTGAATATTCTCCTTTACAGTGAAATTTCCGATTAGCATAATTGTTATGGGGAACATAGAATCGAATGAGACATCTCTCGATCAAATTATCGTCTCGCATTTTGGTACATTTCGAAAATAATAATTTACACTTTATCACTATTACGCGCAGTAATATTTCGTTATGGATCGCAACTGGCTTGATATTATGCCGAGCGATTCGGAAAGATGTTTAACAGATGGCTAATGGTATTTTTGACGGATTATCGTGACACGAATTTGTATCACATTTGACGTCAAGAGAGAGAGAGAGAAAGATAGCAAGGGTATTGAATTTATATCCTATTTATATCCGGAAATGAAAATTTCTAATCAAATGACAGCGCGTAACTTGAGATATGAAAACGAATCTAGGAATTTCGAGTTAGATACAACACTAAAGAAATAAATAAAACAGAGCAGAGGTTTCGAATTTAATAATTTTCACGTACTGCAAATATTTATTTGTATAATTTTTGAAATAATGATTAATTACTAACTTCTTTTACAAATTATTAATCATAAATAATTAATAAGTATTTGTTCTTTTGATTAATAGTAAAACTTATTACATAACTAAAGTTTTGTTTTCGCACTCGAAGATATGGGCAATGGTTCTACAGAATCGCGATGAATAAAGCGTCTTTTTTTTTTGCGTATGTTGACACGAGAATTGCCTGCAAAGAATGTAAAGATCCGCGACTTTGATTTGCGAGAGATACCGCGGGATCGCTCGTTAACAGGACTTCTTCACCGGGAGATTCCTGCGCGCTAAAAGGAACCTTGACTTTCCCACGTTGTGCAACGTCCAAAAACGGACCATGCGTCATCGTCGAGAAAGAAATACGGAGTGTATACAAGAGCCCTGGCACAGCTGCATGACGCATGAGCCTGTGGTTAAAGTGAAACACCGACATCGAGTAGTAGTAAACGGCGGTAGTGTAGTAGCGAACGATACAAAGGCTTTTATCGCAATCGTCTCTTTTCCATCCATCAACGGCTCATTACGTTCTGGAAAGAGCGGCCGATTGTTGTGAACGTTGAAAATAGAATCAGCTTGTCCGAGAAAAAGATCTCTGACGAACTGGCGAGATCCGATTTGCTCGAATTACGGCAATACTATCGCGAGTAATCACGGGGATCGGGGGACTTTTCGCAGAGAGGAGAACAACACACAAATTACGTTACACAACGTATGTATGTACGTAGATTATTTAGGTTCCAATGGCCTGTGAGTTGGAAGGATCAAAGTATCGGGAGCGGAATGGAATGTCATGGAGCGAAAGAGATATTCTCTCGCATACAATTGTTCATTCGATGCGCTATTAGACACGGTGTTGTTTCACAAGTAATCTTTTCGCGCAGATAAAGGACAAACATGAAAGTGCAAATTAGATCAAACGAAAAAAGCAACATTTACTTGATTGAAAGACAAACTTGTGTTAAAGACACGAACACTTTTTTTGATCAAAGTGCAGATTTGTTCGGCACGAATATTGCAAAAACAAAAAAAATTTTGAGTTGTGGCGTTAAAAATATCACGATGTTTGGAACCGGGAATACGACTTATCTGTGAAAAAAAAAAGAGATAATTTTAATCCACGGATTGCGTAAAGTTTTTCAAGAATGGCCGTGAGCACGAAGAGTAGGACGCGTTGGAGAGCAACGAATAAATAAACCGTGACATCGAGGAAACGAGAGCAGAGCTGCTCTAGCGAATTTGATACTCTCGATTTGGCCGATCAAGCGAGAGAAATGTTATGACGAGATATTCACCGGGCTTTTTAAATAACGGGCTTGTGGGTTTGGTCGTGTCGCGCGACGGATACAAGAGAAGATTCACATGTTTCGTCACGCCGTTGTTGGATAAAACGTTGGACTCGTGCATTCGAGCTATATACGTACGAAGCGTGCGATGACATCAGCGCTTTGCTGGGTCTCTTATCGTTTTTAGATACAGACGGGATAATCAAATCCGAGAGATACGTGGAAAATTTACATGCTGGCTGTGACCCGCGTCGATAACTGCAAAACACAGCTCTTTTTGAAAAATATAAAAGAACTCTATAATTACTCTATAATTAAGAGAAATAAAGAATAAAATTCTACGAATATTTATTTTATTTTACGTGTCACAAAAATATTTTTGCATTATTGTTGAAATATATTTTAGTAACTTCTTTTCCTTCACTCTGCATAATACATCGACAAAATGTGTCTAATACGTATATAACATAAAGTAAATATTATTTTAGGCGTCGACGATTGACGGCCGTCGAAAAGGTGCTTGTCTTTTCTGCCAGGAGTACTTCATGGATCTGTACCTGCTAGCGGAGCTGAAAACCATTTCCTTGAAAGTGACTACCGTAGACATGCAGAAACCGCCGCCTGATTTCCGTACCAATTTCCAGGCGACGCCGCCGCCTATTCTGATCGACAACGGCGACGCAATATTGGAAAACGAAAAGATCGAACGACACATCATGAAAAATATCCCCGGCGGACATAATCTGTTTGTACAGGATAAGGAAGTAGCCACTCTCGTGGAGAACTTGTTCAGCGTGAGTATCGATTAATCCGGTTGAAAGTGAAACTAAGTAGACCGATTATATTATATTGGCAAAACAAGAAACTACGTGTCGGTTGTTGTGTTCATTGCAGAAACTTAAGCTGTTGCTGCTAAACGCGAAAGACAAGGACAAGGATCCTAAAACGTCGTCACTGATGGCGCATCTGCGCAAGATTGACGAGCACTTGGGCCGCAAGGGAACGCGCTTCCTCACCGGCGACACCATGTGCTGCTTCGACTGCGAACTGATGCCGCGGCTGCAGCACATTAGGGTGGCCGGCAAATACTTTGCCGATTTCGAAATACCGGAAACTCTGGTCCACTTGTGGCGGTATATGCACCATATGTACAGGCTCGATGCTTTCTTACAGAGTTGCCCGGCCGATCAGGACATTATTAATCACTACAAATTGCAACAGGTGATATGTTAATTGCTTGCGAGTTGTCGTTTCGAATTGAATAATTAGTACCTCGCAATAACGTGTCTCTAATTTACGCCCACGCGACATTACGCAATCGCGTTTTCTTTTCCATGTCTACCGATATAATTGTAACGAACCGTTCGTAATTATTGCAGAGTATGAAGATGAAGAAACACGAGGAGCTGGAGACGCCGACCTTCACCACTAGTATCCCGATCGAGGTCAACGATGATTAAGAAATGGACCTTCTTTTTTGAGTCCACGTGATCGCGTGACTTCGATTAGACATCGAAATCGGCCTACGGCAAATTACCGCGACAGAGTTTTAACGGCGTGTATTTTGTAATTTAATATTTACCGTTAATATTAAAAATACAACGCAGGGAACCGATTCGTTGAAACTCCCGTCTTTTTAGCTGCCAGCGATCGTGCCGTCGACGCGTCACTAGTTCATTATCTTACTGCTACGCAAATCATTGCTGAATCGTTGTCCAATCCCTTTCTCGAGGGATCAAGTCAGATGTAAACAGATTAGCTTTTTTACTGCAATCGACGCAAAAACATGTGTAAGTGCATCAGGACTTTTGTAGAAAGTCTTAACATTCTAGATTCTATCGATATTTTCTCCATTTTCCTTCTTCGTCTTTTTCTTTCTTTTCTTTATTTTTTTCCTTACTACGTAAGTCACGCGTAGTTTTTGACCTGAGTAGTTTAGCAGATTTTAATTTGCTATATATAATTGTTAATTCAAAAGTTAAGTTTATATCAGGAAGGATCATTGTCCTTCGATGACGAAGATCATGGAAACTAACATTGAAAGTGCAAAAGAAACGTATGCTTTTTAATTAAATTGCCGTTGCAATTTTAATAAAAATAATTTCTTTAATTAAAACATGTATTCCTACATATTTTTGTCTTACGTAAAGTAATAAAACATGAAACTGAAAGTAATGAAATAAAACGTTTGATAATATATTTCGATATTAAGCTTTAAATTATATGCTTAAAACTTGTTATATATAAATATCGTTTTATTGAAATATAAGATTTATTTTTCTTATTGTTACTTATATCTCTAAAGAGACTTGAATATTAACAGAGGAATCAATAATAGAAAAGACGGAATTCTGAATCATAAATATGTTTTTAACACGCTTTTATGTTCCTAAATATGATGTGCGCAAATGGATATCATACATAGAACAAAAACAAAAAGTTAGTCGTAGTTTCTGAGATGAGAGGAGTGGATACGAATGATCCAGAAAGCGTACGTATCTTTTGAATTCCGCAGTATAATGCAAAACATTTTGTTATTCCACTGTTAGCGTTATTCCACTTTTATCTATTTTTATTTACAAATTAGATAAAACGGAGAACAAGTATTATAAACATGGTCTCAAAAATGTAAGGCAAATTTATATTGAAAACATTGAAAAAATAGCAGCGTTTTGAAAAAAAGTAATTCTAGTTATTTCACTAACAGATAAAACAAATCTCTAGTTCCCAGAAATCACATCAACAAGCAATTATCTACATATAAGCAACTGTTTATTCCGCATTAATTCTATTATAATAATATTACTATTACTATTATATTATTATATTAATTTTGGTTTATATATTCGTAGGAATCAATATATCAGTTTACAATAAGAGCATTCCATATTATTTATCCCAGCAAAACTATAAATTATTTCAGTACTTTGTTGGATTCGCATGTGTAGTGCAATGTAAGTTATAAAAGTAGAAGAATTTTTTGCCATTACGTGTGATACATGTGCATGTTAATGAGTATTTGAAAGACAAGATTTCTCATCTGTGTTTAGCACAAACTAAGAAAATTAAAATCAAATGTAACTGCAAGCTTAGAGACTAATCGAAAATCAAACGCATTGGTTTTCTCTGATTTTGTTTGTCAACGTATATATTTGCAAAAGATTTGATAACGAGGTTAAGTCGAAAAAACAATCAGACACCAAGCGCGAAAAAGAGAACTGTAATATCGGTGTCGTCTCGCACATGCTCCGAAATAGCACGCGGCGGCCTGTCTCCTTCGTATCTTGTGTCTTCGCCGACGAACCCATTATGACGCGTCTTTCATTCATAAATAGGATGGCACTTGTCCGCACGGCAGCCATCTTGACTACGCGATCGCGTGAATATTCGAGTTCGAGCTACATATTGCCGATGAACGTGATTAATTTTATTAAAAATCAGCGTGATATTATTACACTGCGCGTAAACGCCGCTCGTCGCGCCAGATTCGCGATTGTCGCGAACTAAACGGGACGCGCCGGACGGAAGTCGCGGCGAGCGGCGCGGTGGTCGGTACGCAGCACACAGCTGATCAGTGGTCTCGACGGAAGGTAGCTGTACGGTTATGCATGATTCGTTGTTTCTTGGTCGTTTCTCGGTATAGCCCGATCGTACAGAAAAAAAGTGCGCAAGAAAAAAAGAAACAAGAGAGAAATAAACCGAGCAAGACAATCGGACCGGATGGACACTGCTCGTGTCGCGTACGGTGACAGGTGAAAGGCTGAAGCGATAGCAAAGAGAGAGAAAGAGTTCCGGGTAGCAGAAACGACAAATTGCGCGCGGATACATAAATTCTTGACAAGCGACAATTGGAATGTGTGTTCTTGGTGCCTTCCTCTTGTAACGCGCCGACGAGGTGGAAGTGTTGGCGAAAAGTTGGCGGAAGAGAAGGAGAAAGTGTACAACAGCGTCGCAGCAACTCGCACGTCGGACGTTTCCGATGGTTGCCGTCCGGTGAGTTGAAATCGCTTGCTGTTAGACGACTTTGAGCCTAAAAGCGGACGCTTCGATACCAATCGTTTGTAGCAATTGTGTGATGATTAACGTGATGTCACGGACGAACGATAACGTTGACGGCGTCGTTCTAATCGCGTTTCTCGCCGCGTCAACGAGTGCGTGGAGCGCGGATTTTTTCTCGTGGCAATGGGCACTACGCGGCACAAAAATATACCTGCGATGGAATGCACCGGATAGATAGAAGTTGCAACAACAATGCTCCTTTCGTACACTCGGTTCCGTTAATATTTTCTCGCGCCGGTATAAATCAAATATTAAATCTCGCTAATTTGAAACAATTGTGTGGCGCACAATTGAGTCTATGTTTTCAATTTCTGTATTTTCCTTGAGTTGCTCCCTTTCCACTTTTTGATTTCGAGTGTTTTGTTGCAGAGATTATGCCTGTTATATTACGAGAATCTAGAGAGCGCAGATTGTAGCGCACTTGTGTACAAAAGGAGCGACTACACCGAACAAATAGAATTATCTTTTAATATTCGTTAACTCGCAAAAAAATTTTAGAATTTGTAGTTGGCGTCATGTGCCGATCTTGCGTGATGTACTAAAGATAACGTGATATAATAATTTATCATCTCATTTATTCGATTTACCAATTCAACCATCACGTGTGCATCAGGTATACGCGTGTTATAAAAACATAACCTGTTACGAAACAAGCATAAACAAGTGGATTTCTTTCAATGCAGCACATCCTTCTATTGATTATGCACTTATATAGGTTTACTATTTTTGTTTTTTCTTTTTTATACTAGAAAATAGTAAGATTAATATAAAATTGTTTAAGCAATAACAATATAATAGATGGAATATTTATTCCTCAATTTATCCTGCTGTATACAGATGAGAGATGTCATCATGTAGTTGTAAATTTATTTATTTACTTTTTTCGTGAAAGAGAGAGGAAGAGAAATAGATATATTTACTTGTGCAACAATGTAATTTGTATCGCTGCATAAATTTAATATAATTCTGCCGTAAAACAAATGTATCGCGTGCTTATCAGAAGCTCGCAGCCAAACGTTGCGTTTCTCTCTCTATCTCTTGTTGCGTTTATTTAAAATTTATTTAACATTGGAATACATATTAGAGAGAGAGAGAGAGAGCAACGTTTATATAGCTAGCGAGATCAGGTGCTTGTTTTCTACAATTGAGATATCCTCAAGAGCGCTGATTGACACGTCGCCGTCGAAATTTATATACTAGATAGATTCAATTGAAGATAAAGAACTCGCATGTGAGAGAATTTTTCAACACGCAGTATAAACATTGGCGTAAGAATACCGCCGAAATATTCAGCACATGATGAATAAGAATTTCTATTAAAGCTGGAATTTTTATATTCAATGATGTTTTCTAAAACCATATTAATATTAATAATATAAAATAGTAAAAGAAAAATATGTAATTTTCGAGGAACTAGTTGCGCATTTAAGTTACATTCGAGCTGCCTTTTATATAATCTACTAAGTAATTTCTCTAATATTCACAGTTTCTATAAATTCGCAGATTAAGTTATCAGAAAGCCATTTTCAATCAACTTAACTGTCGTACGCTTGTCGTGTTACCGCACTTTGATCTAATCAAATCATTTACATAAACATGCAAAATTTTTAACACATTTCACAAAAATCTTGAGTTCCCCTGACATTAAACCAAATTTTGATTGATCGAAAGAAAACTCCTATACTTAAAAATTAAAAAAATCGATTTTGAAATACGATGCGATTTAAATAACCGTGTTACACCGTATTTTTTTAAAACCCGTATGTGGACGCTTTACGCGTAGTTTTGCAGATTTCTTTCGCCGGAGAGAAAAAGTGTGATATTTTATTTTCAGTATAGGTGGCGTTTATTTTAGCCGCACGGCCGCGACTTATCGTATGCGGCTCTGCTTAACGTTAACGGTGCGTCCATCGTCAATTATTATTCTTGGTTCCTTATTTTCGTCTGGTAGCCGACCGACTTGACGCCCCCGACGTACGTTAAACTCTCTGCGACACGGATTACTTGTTGTCGCATTAGACTTTTACGAGACGAGTCGAGATACGTTGAAGAAGAGAGAAGTGTTTACGAAAAACATTCGCACACCGATCGCCTGTATCAACTTTTGCGTATTTTTTTATATAGAAACATTTTTTTTGAAGACACGTTTTTAGAGTAAAATATAAATGTTTTTTATTATAACCGACTCAACAATTCTAATTACCATTTATCATTAATGTACTAAATGAAAGAGTTTATAATTAATTATCAAGAGAATCGAAGCAACAGGTGTTGGAAACCTTACGCTCTATAATTAAAGGAACACTGAAATCTCATCGTGAAATTCATGCCAATAAAAAGTGATCGTAGGAAATCGCTGGAAAAATCTCTCTTACTTTTTTTCGCGTGAAACAATATACAAAATTGGATAAAAACAATTCTTACTAACATTCTTCTCTCGTGTGTGAGATTATCTTGTCTCGTCTTGACGAGAAAAGCGGTGGATTTTCCACGGCGCGTAAGAATAATGCCGCGTGTAAAAGATAAAAGAGAAGGGTGAGATGCGTGGAAATACCGGGCGGAATCCACCGCTTTTCCTCGTGTTTCTACACGGGGCCAGACGAAAACAGCCGCGGCGTTCGCATATGTGTGTCTCTTGAGTATTTCATGACACAAATATCTTCTCGGCAGCCTGGAATTCCGCTTTTCCTTTTTTGCTTGTCCCGACACGTACGGCGTTTTCGTTCTCTCTACTAAAATCGTTACAGAGGCGTCCTCCCGAACTTTCAACTTCTTTTTTTTTTTTTTTGTATCGATAAGGAACCAAAAGGATAATATTTTCGTGTTCTTTCCCTTGAAATATAATTTTCTTCTTCTTTTTTTTTTTTTTTTTTTTTTTTTTAAATTTTATTTCAATCAATTCAATATTCATCAAGACAAGTAGAACACAAGTAGACACTTCGCTCTACGCCACTGAAAAAGTGTCTTTGGCACAAGTTGAATTGGTTTATCCGGTTGGTTGTGCGCGAGTTTCGCGACCAGGGCCGGAACGAATTCACCCGGCCACCATCTTCGAGTCTGCCTACTTGTATTTATTTGCATTTTACTTATTTATGCGTATAGACTTGTTTTCGAAAATTCGAAGAGGAAAATGAATAACTTGCCAAAGATCGTTACGAGGAAGCATAAGCGCAAGCGAAATCTACAGTAATGATAAATGATCAGAAGCGAGAGATGTGAGAAACGTAAGTTATGAAAAAAAAAATCTAATCAAAAAGGCAAGACGGAATGGTGTTATTTAATATTGCATCAGTTCTCTTGATTAATTCTATATTGTATTTGAATCTATTTTTAATACGAACCTTTTTTTCGTTACTTCAGAGAAGTGAAAAAAAGTACAATTTCTTAAAAATAGCTCTGAAAAGAGGGAAACGAAGTAGTAGTCTATACGGTTGTGCACGAAGCGAAGTACGCTGCGTGCCAATAAACACTTTTCTCCTCTGATTGATGCTTCACTCACCTGACCCGCCGTTTTGCCAGGTGCAGACAGAAGACGGAAGAAAAGGAAGCGGCGGAAAGATTATTAATTCCCACTAGCACTTTATTCCACGCGTGGCCGCGCGCCAAGTGCGAATTCCACGCGGCCGAAACTTTTTCACCTCTCCGAAGTCTTTTCCGATCGAATTGGCATCGCGCGCACCCGTTTGCCAATTGCGAACTTGCGAGGGCAGTTAAATGCATCATTAGTCTGAAAGCACATTTTGGATTAAATCAAAATGGAAGTCGACGGTAATTTATGGAGAAAAATAGTTGTTTTTTTTATTTTTTTATTTTTTTTTAAATCAAATCTTATTTTAACTATATTATTTTGTCATCATTAACATTATGAGCAATATTTGATTACTTAAGAACAACATTATGAGCAATATTTGATTATTTGAGAAATATTGTATTTTAAATTTTGTTTTTAATATTTTGTATATATACTTTACAAATAAAAAATAAGTGTTTTTAAACATTTCTTATTATATGTTGTAATTCAATATTTATGTGTAGCGTACTTTTTCAATATTTATGTGTAGTGTACTTTTTTCTAATTAGAAAGATTACTTATTATAGTCTCATTGGATACTCATTCTTTTTCTATAATATTTTTGATACAAAATAGAAAAATAATAAAAAAATAATTATATATAATGATTGATCATTATAGAAAATTGTGAGTATCTCGTATGAGTATTTCGAAAAAAACAGCTTTTCTTGTAAATTAAATTATCCGCGAAATTTCGTCACATATTGGCGGGAACGAGCGCGTGGCAATGTTCTTCAGTGCCGGCTAATTATGTGGCATTCTTACGTGGCACGCTGCACAGGTGTCCACCGCCTTTCTTACTGCCAATTCCGCAATGTAACGGGTGTCTCGAAGTGATCGATCCGCGCGTGGGTAGATTTTGGCAATTTTTGATGAGAAAAGTCCTGATGATTCATTCTCGTGCGTAAGCACACACATTTAGAGTTTTCTTCAATTTGCTGTGTTTTAGTTTAATTCTTTGCAGAAGGTAAAAAGAATTCAATAACAAAGTATATCACAAATAAACACGACATTGTTTTATTTATATAATTAAAATCTCACTTCGAGATTTATTACATATATCTATATTTTTTAAGACCAACGATTAGATTAAATTTTGAATTTGACAGCAATGTAAATGCTTGCATGCAATGCATGAGAAATGAAAGACTTCTTCTTTTGAAAGACAAGGACTTTTCGTCGATCACTGTGTAGAAATTAAGAAACGAATTAAGAAACTAAACTTACTTTAGCTGTTATCTTCTTGAAAAAAAAATAGGTCGAGGTTTTTAATAAATATACAATAAAATGTACCATTCCCTTGTCTCTTTCCCGCTTGACCTGGAAGGAGAGAGGAAAGATTCAAGTTGCGAGAGCAATGCATTACATCTGCCGAACTTTAACGCGAGATAGAGAAAAATAATATAGGTATATGTAGGTGTGCGATCGTACGTGCGTACAAGTTTTGCGCGTTTCTTGGTTGCCAGGTTCCACGATTTCTCTCTTCTTTTCATTCTGTTTCTCTCCCTGTCATTGTGTTATACGTGTCATCGAAGTCATTGGAAGTTCATTGCGCATTTTTGCACTCTCATCTACTTTCCACTTGCGCAACGAGTCGCCATCGTTCGAGATCTCGCTTCGCGTCCGACGAAGAACGTCGTTTGATCTGGATGTGACCCAACTCGCTTTATCCAATGAATTACAAAATATCCAAGTTTTTGGAAAAGCTTCCGGATCGCGCGCGCTTGTTATTACTCAAACGCGCTTTTAATTCCTCTCGGTCATCTTTTTGTTATATCGCGTTATCGCGACTTTTCGTATGTGATCATTTTACGAGAAACGATTTGAAACGGACATGTCTGTCGTAGCGTGAATTAAAGGGGTACCGGCAGAAGAGATTAGCGGTCATTCTTTCGCGTATATTCTTTCCGGTTGGACAGACCACGAATTGTGTAAACGATAAATCTATGTGGCACTCGCAGGTAGGCCCTGCCAGGAGGATGGGGCCCCACGATGGGGGAGTGTCACTGCTCTAACATCACTATCATGCAGCTGTTCCACGAGCTGAAGCAGCAGTTCCCCGCGCTCCCTGATCACGTCGTCTCCCAGTGCATCGCCCAGGTATACAGGTGGCCTTTGTCCGTCTCAGGAGTGTGTTTCCCGCCCTCTCATTAAATCTCTACGAAGACACGATCCAAAACTCTCTAGAGACTCGTTAGACTAACTAGTCGTCGTCTGCCTGCAATTGCCGCAATAACGATTAACCTAATTCTGTCATGATACGAGTTTAAATTGACAGTCTTCTCTCCTCGCCTATTGTCATGCATCGCTGAACCCATACCAATATTGCACGAGCGTGGAACCTGTGTGTACCTGTTGTTTAAGTATAGTTGTAGCCTGTTCTGGAACCTCCGGATATAGAAATGTCGAAAAAAAAAAAAATGAAAATTCAGAACTTATTTTGTACCAGAATTTTCAATGTCAATAAAAATTTTAAAAGAGATGTAATTATCCGATGGTTCTGGAACACACATTATGTATATGAATTGTTTTTCCGATGTGTAACAATATTGACGGATAGGAGAAATCGCACGGCGAGTAATTTATACAAGCGAGCGCATTTCTCTACGAAAGAAACGCGGAAATCTCGAGCATCTCCGGAAAAATCAGCGTCGGAAAAAAAACGACGGCTGTTGATCCAGGTACATGTGCGTTGCAGAACAGTCACGACCGGGAGATATGCGCGAGAAGCCTGCGGGCCACTCAGGACTCCCGTCCGTCGCCGGGCGCATTTCCGCCACCTGCGCCTTGCATCGGGATGCAGCAACCACCACCATCGTATCAACAACGAGAGCAACAGCACGCGTTGCAGCGTTGTTGCGCAATGAACCAACAGCCGCAGCTGCTTTGCAACCAACGCGTTGCTGCCGCGAGCAATGTCGCTGCGGCGAGTCGTCCTCACCGACCGGCGTCGCTGGACATTGGAATGACGCGACGTTGTCCAACGATAAATTGCACCCGCGCCGCCGTTACCGTCGCCGCGACCCCAGCGAGCGGCGTCGTTACTCCTTCGTCCGCGCCAGCTGTCTGCACGTCAAGCGCTTTCTTCGACGACGCTTACATCGGCAACAGCAACAGCAGCAACGCGACATCCGGTTTCGAGCTCAACGTCAACGTCGCTTGCAGCCCCGCCGGCAATCGCGGTACGGAAGACGGAAGACGTGCGCCCGAATTTAATGCTGCGCTCTTGCATACTTAACGCCGAGAAAAAATTTTAAATTGTTGAAAATAACAACAATAATAATAATATAAAACAAAACAAGATTCCCAAACAAATTTAAATTTTTGCGATTTAAAATTGCGCAAAGTAAATAATATAAGACTAGAGGCGTTAAATATGCGACACGATGAAGCAGCATGTACTCGAAAAGTAGATAACGATGGTATCGAGTCAAAAGGGATCATGATGCGTAATGAAAATATTTGTGTCTCATGATAGCCGTAGAAGGAGATAGGGTATCTACACATCAAGAATTATACAGCGGGAGTAAATTTGTTTCGGCAATACAACGCATATCTTCTTACAAAGCCATATACGTTGCGACGTACACTTGGTTGTTATTACTGCGACTAAATAGCAGAGATAATAATTTTCATTAATCGCACCCTCGGTAAACCACGTCTTCGAGAATACAATTCCGAAGTTACTACAGATAGATTATTAGTTGAAGAGTAAAAATTACCAGTCGACTTCTTTTGATTTTAACCATCGCTTTCACAATTAAACGTATAAAATTATACTGGCAGAGAATTAAGATAACTGATGTTTAACTGTAACGCGCGTTAACGTCAACAGATTTTCGAACAGTACCAACAATCGGTGCCTGTAAACGAAGCGACCTTGTCGTCGTGCCACGACCTCATTATGCCGAACCGCTGTTAGCCATCGGAAAACCCACCGGAGCGCAGATCGATCACACGCGAAGTTACACCTCGGTAAGTCTGACTCTCAGACCGCCGTCGTCCGAGCCGCAACCGCCGATCGATATCAGGTCGGAAGGATCGAGTCTGACTTATTCGACCTCGTCCTTGGATCCGCGCGGCTTCCAGAGCCGTTTGCAGATCAGCATAGGGCCCGGTAACGTCGGTAGCATAGCAGCTGCAAGGATCAGACCACCGATGACCAACCTATTGCCAACTCAAACCAGTCCGCAACGGCCACCTGGTATGTTTTTCGATTTAAAATAAAAATCGAGATTAAATTTAAAAATTTTATTGCAGAGAAGAAAATTTATTTATTTATAGATAAGGCGCGCGCGCGCGACGGTACAAAAATTATTCAATATTTTCGTAAAGATTACTATGATCTATATTTTGTGAAGAGTTTTAAAATATCTTCAAATAAATGTTTGTTCGACTAATTTTAACTTCAACTTTAAGATTTTCGTCGGAGAATCTATTACTAAAATTAACGACTGAGCGTGTTCAAATAGCGTCTTTTTCCATCAGGACTTCCACCAGGACCGCCGAGCCAATTGCCAAGACCTACGACGACGATGAGCGCACCGACGACACCTTCCGTACCGCCGACAACGAACATCGTCCCAACGTGCAGTCTCCCGACGACGCCTTCCGGTCTCGCTAAGAGCAACACGCCTCCCTCCAGCTCGGTTGGCGAACAGACCGCTTCCGATCAGAACCGATCGCCGTTGAGCCAAGGTACATGGTCGAGTTACATGTAAGAGAAAGAGAGAGCTATGAGCGCACGCGCACTTTTACAAGTCCCACCCTGATAACGTTGCAGAATTGCACGCGCACGTGTATATTTACCTGGAAGTCACTCGGTCGCACGTACTACGCCCACGCGTGCAACGCCGAGAACGATATTTACGCATTCCTGACCCCACGCTTCGGGCTATACATAGCCGCACGCCGTCGCGGTTACAAACTACGCGGACCACCTGATCCGGTTTTTCTGACCGCGAGAATCCACGGCGCGTTTATTGACGCGTTTCCTGAACACCGTTACATTAAACAATATACATACCGTGCTTCTCTTTTTTTCATGACCATAAAACATAAAATTGTAAATATGTAATCTTTGCGAAGAACGTAGCGTTTTTTTCTTGTCAGAGATGAAACGGCCGATGTGTGAGAGCACTTTATATCTGGTCGATGTTAATGTTGATTGATAAAAAACCCGTACCACAAGGCAAGGCGTCTCTATACATATAATATGATAAAATTAACGAATCGACGGACAATGTCATCATTCAAGAGCATTACTCGCAACGGAATAGAATTAGAAAGCCGTAAACTTTGCGGTTTTTCTGAGACCTGGCTTTTTCTCATGCACAGCACGTCGATTGAAATTGTCGTTGGAATTTTTAGTGGCGGAGCACCAAAGGAAGCTGGTCGCGGAGCAACTGGCTAGAAAGGAGAGACTCGCCAGGGAGTTAAAAGCCGAGAAGGGACGACTCGAAGCGATAAAGAAAGAAGTGCAGGCGCTTTCTCGACCAAAGAATCTTTATTCTCCTGAAGTACGTTTTATAATCGCGAAGAAACACAATATCCTGCTCCTAACACGTATATCTTCATCATTGCGTAATTTTACAGGAACAAAGAAAAAAGCTGAAGAGTGAAATATATATGCTGCAAGTTGAGTGCGAGAGGCTTGCCGTTGAGGTGGATCAATGGTCGGACCGACCAGGTATCTTTTTTCTAGATATTTTAGTTTTTTAAGTAATTTATTTTCCGCTTGTGATGTCATAAAGTATTAGCAGCCAGTCGTTGAAGCAGCCGTCGTGCTTTTAGTACCACTAGGCGAGACCAACGAGGAATTTTATCAAGGCATTTATACCGAACAGTCGTTGTCGACAAGACCGCTGAATCCGCAACCGCCACCCTTGCCGAGTCGGCCGCCAGCGTGGCGAACGGATCAGCCAACAACGAGCGACAACAACCAGGAGGAGCGAGACGGGCCGTCGTGGGTCTGTACCATGTGCACTTTTGACAATCATCCGTTGATGAACAAGTGCGAAGAATGTGACATGCCGAGACTGTTGAATTCTGGTGGCACAGGTACAACCGGATCGTCAGCACCGATACCGTCGTCTTCGTCTTCGACAACGGCGGCGGCACCGATGTTGAATTGTGTGTCGAATCTTCTCTCGTCATGAATGCAGCGTGGACTTTTTTCCAGTCATCTGGAATATAACTGCTTGTGCCTGATTGCATGCTGTAACTGACTTGTGATATCCCGGGAAACAATTACAACTCAACGATTTGTGAATTTTAATCAATCGGACAGTTGACGTCACTTTGATGCGAACAATGAATACGATATTTTGTTCTACCTTATACTGCTAAGAAACTTAACCGAGTGTGTGAGAGTGTTAAACTGTTACAGAAAATAATGTACTTAATTATTATTATAATCGTATTGTTAGTGTAACCGAAAACAGAGCTTGGAAAGTTTTGTTTTCACACTTGTTGAAAATGCGTGTGCAGTTGTTGATTTTAATATATTGCATAACACATTAATGTTCTGTTTATGTGTTATAGTTCTGTTCATATATGTACGTTACTATGCTCGTTAAAATTTTTGATAACGCTTATTTCATAAAAGTTGTAATCAAAGGTAAGAAAAGACAAATATTTTATGTTTTAATAGAATTATAGTTTTAATTTTTAAATAATTTACTTAATTTTTCAACAATATCCTGCATTTGATTCTTTTTGTTTGTAGGTGAAACACAAGATATACATATACGAGTAACGCATCATCATAATTTTTCGCCAAGACGTGAGTATACTTTATGTTTATTTACATGAGATTATTATACAGATCAAGAAATTTCTTGATATTTTGTTGTTGATTATGAAAGCACATTATTTTTTCAGATACAGTACACAGTTGGGTTGTATGACGTGAACTGAACTAGAAATTTTTTAAGAGAACTGTACGCACGCACACACACACACACACACACATACACAAAATTTAAATTAAATAAAGAAAGATTGTGTTGTAGAAATTATAGGCAACTGTAATGAAACACATTAATGTAACAATCTACTTTTTTATTTGCGATTGGTGTATGCACTTAATTAGAGTTGTTAAAACTAAGTCGCTGCGAAGCCTGTTTTTTTTTTTTTTTTTTAGCAAATACCGTGTCTAATCAGATTTTCTAGCGCGATTGATCTTTTTTCGACGAAATTTCGACATTTAGTTTCACATACAACAACAATAGATACATAATTGATAATAGTTTCGTGAAAGATATATTTGATTAACTACTACAAAAACTTCAAATTTACTTGTATAAAAATTAGTATAATACAAAAGTGTTGTAATAATTACAGCGACACTCTCATTATATAGCTGTACCTCTTTCCAAGTTGAGCTTTGTCTCACGAGTGTATTCGCCGTAGAATCTCTCCAATTTCTGATTAAACCTAGCATTACGCTCATTAATGTAGTCGATGTCGGCGTCGTCATTATGCATTCTGCGTCTACTGTACTTCTCCCTCTTTACAACTCTGTGGACAGAAGGTAAGTACATTGTGAATCATTGAAAATCAGCACAGTATTGTGTCACAAGTTTTAACATAACTTACTGTTTCTCCAGATCTGTAACCATTTTGTCTATTGCATCCTTTTTGTCTTCATGCAAGCCGTGAAGTATTGTGTTTCGATCTCCGTAAAAGGCAGGTCCTAATTTCTGTTTTGCTTCCTCGTACGATTCCATATTTGGTTTAATGTTTTTCACTAAACGGTTGTATGAACGTATCGCTGCTTGTTCGTAATCAGAAAAACCCGGATCTGGATTTTGTTTGCTTTTCTTTTTCCTGGCTATTTTTTCCGCTTCTGTGGCGTCAATATTCAGTAACTTCTTCCGATCATAATCTTCACCCTGAACAAAACACAAGTTAAATAACAAATAATTTAGTGTATTTAAATTACAAAGTGTAATGAATCTTTATACCTTAGCTTCTGCTTCTTTTCTAGCAGCTTCATCCTGCATTATCCACTCAGCCTGTCTCTTGCGAGATTCCCAATTGGAAGGCAATTTATTCCTTTTATCCTCCTCCACGACTTCCTTGTGATTTTGCATTCTGGCTTCATTCTGTGAGAATGTAATATAGAATGTGTTTTTGATTGCTCAAATTTCGAAACAATAAGATTATAAAATTTTACAAAAAAATGTTTCTCACAAGTTAACTTAGGTTAGTTGCAAAACCTTACTCTTTTAACATGAAGATCTCTGAGTCGTTTCATTCTTTCTTCATATTTTGTCTTGATGGATTGCGCAGACGACGTGCTCGATGCAGCGTCATCCATCTTGAATAAAATATGTTTTTTCAATAAACTTACGATCACACTCTACCGTACACTCTTTACATTATTTATTTATCACGCACTAAAGAGCAAACAAAATGGTAGAAGTACACATTCCAAAAACGCCATCTATAGCTATGCAAAACTACATATATAGCAAAAGTTCTGTACTGACAAATTTGATGCACATAATTGTATACACACACACATGTATATATACGTACATATTGTCGATAAAAATATTGTTTTATCTGCCATCTGTTGATAAAGTCAACTTCTTAATCGATCACTATTTTTTTACCGTTTAAGCTTATTGAATGCGATCTTCATCACATTATCGACGTGATCACAATTACTGGCATTTTTGATACAGATCGCTCCGGTTGCAGTGGTTACATCTTTCGGCCTTCGGTGAATCTCCATTCGTCGATGTTTACAAAACGTTCACTTTGTAGGTACAAGTTGTGTGTGTGATCCAAGCGCTGATCAACCACATATACATAACTTTGTATTGTCAGTTTACCCCTCACTCACAAGATCGTGAAGTGAGATGCGATTTGTTGCGCACGGTAGCGACTATTTCCCCTTCTCCCTTTCACCTCACTTCATTCTCTCCCTCCATATCCTCTTTCCTCTCTCTTCATTTTCTCTCTCTCTCTCTCTCTTTACTCTGCTCTACTTTATTCTACTTTCTGCAGGTGTTTTGGGATTCATATGAGTAGGGTGCGGACGTATACGAGTGTAACGCGGTATACATGTGGAGGATAGTGCACTGCGGGGGACGGAACGAGATCAGCTGGATAAAGCCGTGCGAGCAAGAGGAGCGAACGGCCGAAAGGCGCGCGCGCGCGCGTGCGACGTCACGTCGTGCGAGAGGGCTGAGCTTGGCGACGCGCGAAGTGAGAGCGAACGGCGTGCGTGAGGTGGCCGAAGTAAAGCGCGGCAATGGAGACCCTCGAATCGAGCCGCGTGTGCCGCCTCTGCGGCCAGCAGTCTGGTATTTCCATCAATATCTTTGACAAGAAAGAGAACCATGTCAGGAAAATCAACGCCGTGCTGCCCATCATGGTATGTTGCACCGCCTCTCTGTGTGTGCTTGCGTCTCTCCTCTCTCCTCTCTCTCTCTCTCTGAATTGCTGCTTGGTTCCGTTCGAACATTCGCTCGTACCTTGGCACCTCCTCTTAGTACCTTCTCTTCCCCTCCCTGTCTCTTTTCTATTCTTCACTTTCGTGATTCTCCCTTTAGGGGTACGCGTGACTCGTGTACCTGCTGATGTGCCTATGTGCATGTATCTTCGTCGCCCTTGCACAACGGCGCAATCACTTGTTAGGTTCACCCTTCTGATCAACTTGCAGCGTAACACAGTTCGGACCATTTATTATCCGTGCTTTCTTTCGAATTCTACTTTTTGTTTATGTTCTATCCTTTGATTCCCAAACATCGTTTTCTATTAGGAAATGTATACCTTAATATGCGCATATACAATGGCGAGAAGGATTACAAGTTTTTTCATTTACTAACTTGGTCGATTTGTAGAACGAAGCCACACGAATTTCGGCGAGAGACGCTGCGTGCTTTCTCGTACAAACGGGGTACGTCTCATCGTAGTCCTTGCGACAAAGATGTGGCGCGAAATAGTGATTTTTTTTTTTTTTTTTGAAAAAGAATTTACGACTGGCAAATTATCGATTTGCAAAAGTGAGGTTAATGTCGCATTGGCGCGCAACGCGCACAAAGAGCAAAACATCAATAGCTTATTACTATGTATCGCGTAATTCGAAAGAGACTTAGAATGATTTCATCGATTATCTTTTGCGCTTAATCTCTGGAGTGAGCGGTGAGCATAGGACGTTTTGCACTACACGTCTTCGTAGCATTGAGTGTAGTGGTTTTTCGAAAATTCTAACTGCATTTACTTGCATTTTTTAATTCTTAGTGTTTTTTCTATTCTGTCTTAAAAACTTCATATTATTTTTATATATTTTAACCTCTTTTGATATTAGAAAATATAAAAACATAAGGGAGTATTAAAAGAGTAAATTTTTCAGAATAGGAAAATATACTTTATTCTTTATGTTAAGTAAAATTATGCTAGTTAAAGAAAAGAAAAAGTTTTACGTCTTTTTAGAAGTGTATTTTACAAAAGTGATGTTTTAAACAATATTAAATATATAAGTTTTTAGTCTCTTGAAAATATAGTTCAAATCCAGAAAATTTTTCAAAATCGTTTTTATTCTCTTTCAATGTCGTAGATAACATTGTTTTCAAAAGTGGCTCATCGAGACGTTTTCGAGATAAAGATATCTTTGAGTTTGTCAGATGATTTGACATTTCGTTCTAGATTTTACGTATATTGCAAGAAAAAAAGATTAACGTATCAAAGTTGCGATTAAAGGTCAATTTCTACTTAGAATTTTGCACAACACATAATTGCCAGACTTTGTCAACACTTGTTTGATTACGCATATTTGATAAGAAAAAATTTAACTGTATTATGGAATAAAGTAAAATAAAATTTGTTTCCAAGAATTAAATTGTAATGAAATATAGTATAAAATATAGTATAAAAAGGTAAATTTATATCGAGAATCTTTCTTGAATTATGTAATGTTTTGAGGCTCCGTTTTGCAAGTAGTTAGCATCTAATTATGAAACTGTCAATGTTACAATGTTAATGAACGGAAGTTTCCGTTCCTGCATCATCACATTCACACATAAACGCACATCCATTTCCAACGACAACACGCTCACTCGATTATGCCGTTTCTTTTTCCGAATTTTAGAAGTAGTTAGAATTTGTTTCAAAAGTAATATCTGCCTAACAACTAACATCACATAGTTGAATAATAATTTAATCTTTTGTAAGTTTCATATAGTAAAACAATTTAAAAAAATAAAGATGTTGAGATAAATAATCTGAATTTACTTAGACCATGGACTTTGAAATTTCTCAAACTTACAAAATCAAATTTTCATAAAACTCACATCACAGCTACAACACAAATGTGGCATCGCATTCTCTGATTGATTCTCCAAGAATTCACATATCATAAAGAATGTTCTTATTTTATATATTCAACTGGGTCCTTCAGGTGCACGAAATGGACTTACTGCCGAAGCAGATGTGTCATCGATGTAGCTACAAGTTGGAGGAGTTCCATAAGTTTTATATAGACTGTCTGAAGACGGATGCGGCACTCAAGAGTCAACTTTCGTGGATGCGTAAGGATCGCGACAAGGAAAAAGTTGGCGTGCCGATGGTGCACATCGAAAACATGAAGATCAAGACGGAACCGCTTGACTACGACGTATACGAGCTCGAACCTTTGGTGGAGAACATCGAGTACATCAACTCGATGGCGTTTCCGGCCGGCAACATTCACAATGGACACACACTGACGTATACGGCATTCCCGCGCTGCCAATGTTGCTGTGATAAGAAGGACCAAAGCAAATCTCAGAGAACCGCAGCGCAACTCCGGCGGGATTATGAAGAATCTAAACAAGGAAGAATGACGGACGACTTACGGAAAAAGAGTTTTGTTTCGCAGGAATCGAGTGCTGCCAGAATAAGAAGGCCGATAAAAAGGAAAGCGGAGTTCTTAGATTGCCCACGAAGTCACCAGTCGCGCATTGACGAGAACGTGCAAGACCGCTTGACGGTTACTACAAACACCAAGAATAATGTCTCGTCCTTTGAAACGCGAAACTGTTCTCGTAGCAGGTTTAACAAAGCAGTTTCTGAAAACCAGACAGCTTCCACGAGCACAACAGTACGAAATTTGAGACCCCGAAAAAATCTGAACTTCTTGTCAAGTAAGAAGAAAAGCGTGAGCGATAAGTCGAGATCGTCGGTAACGGCAAAGCCAAACACACTCAAGCCAAAAAAAACGATTACATCGGACTACGAACCAATGCGACATATTAAGGTAGAACCAATGAACGAATACGAAAAGCGCAACTTACGACCGAGAAGAAACGTTGTGGATTATAAAGAGTCGAGATTTGATCGCGTCAAAAGGCGCAAAGTTGACGATACGGAATCGAAATTACAATTGAAGAACGAGAACATATCTAATGCAATGAAAGTTACGATAAAACAAGAAAGTCCGGATTTGGAAGGTACCGTGTCTTCGAGCGAAACGTTTAAGGTAGCGACATCGTCATCACGGAATAAATACCGAGATATCACTCCTTTAACTCCGCGGATCAAACTCAGTAACAATCTACGAAATGCAGTAATGGATTATCTCAAACTGGTCGAACAGAAAACGCTGTCCAACATCGTCAACAATAATCTAACAAAAACGAAGAAGAAAAATAATCGGTTTCCTGCAGCAAACTGTACGCCGAAGAGTCTGAGGAGTCAAAATACCCACTTGCGAAACGGTAAAGTAAGGGGAAACAATTATGCGGAGTGGTCGGAGAAGAAGCTGCAAACGAAGAGACTGATGGATGTGGTTAACAACGATGTGAAGAAGATACGAGAGTCGGCGATGCTGAAGCTGGCCGAGAGTATCAAACACTACTGCGAGAAGTGCAACGTCACCTTCTTGAATAAAGAAGTGTTCAATCTGCACGCATGCTACTACTAGTGAGATCACGATCGAGAATTTTCTTGCTACAGAAAGATTTACGAATCATTGTCTATAAGATATCTACGGGATTAAGACAGCCTCTGTGAAATATTTCGACTACGTACAATATGTTCAAAGACCATTTGAAATGTTAGAACGTGTTTCTTGCAATGCAACATAAGTTAAATTCTTTACTTAAATTTTTATTATTGCAAAAATAGGCATATATATTTGTGTCAGCGGATTGCATCGGTAATTTCTGATCATCAGATATCTTACTCTCAAGGTTAAAAAAATGCAGTTCGGAATATTTCGAAGATAAGAAAATAATAGATGTTTATATGTGCCTATCTGTAAAAAATTTAATCAAATTTTATTTTAGTTTTCTCGCGCAACATATATTGAATTAATAATTAATCTTTTTTTTTTTTTTTTTTTTTTACAGATGGCAAAATGTGAATTTTATGAAAATTAATGAATGCATGGTTAAAACGGGTTTATGTACATACTGTACATCGTTTGTGTATGATATCGCATCGTTATTATCTTCATTATTATATTGTTAACGGCATAATAACAACATCTTGTTTAGTAACGCATTTAATGTGCGCTAAACTTTGATAATTGTTGCAAATTGTTGCAATGTGTTTCAGATTTTATGTAGAAATTCACAAGTCGCCTTTAAAAACCTTCGTGATATCAAGCCATTACCGATCACTTATTACTAACGAGAGAAATTTCTGGCTTGCGGACAAATCTTGTCAATTGTTTTTGCTAGGCACGAAATACTCTCCTTTGATATTGCGAGGTTCAAAAGAAAAAATATATGAATATAGATAGACAAATCTATTTTATAAACGATGAAGAGATACACACATACGTGTCAATATTTGAATGATAAGACTATGTGATATGTGTATGAAAATAACGACTGATTATTTTGAGAAAACGCAAGTAAAACAACAAAATAATTGAAAATTACTCCTTTTACGCTTTACTTCAGAATTTTATATACTAGTATAATAAGGAATATATGTTGAATATATGTTGATTGCTCTATTCTCTGTATATTTAAAGAAATTATAGTACGTTGTTTAAAAAGTTCAGAAACACATGAAATATATATATTTCTTTATAATTGTTTAACATTAAAGTTTATTAATTAGCAAATATAATTTAATAAACATATAAATTTGTTACAAATAAGTACATTCTCTATTTTCGACACACAATTGTTACATTGTTAAATATATAAATTAACTAATACTGTACTTTTTATATTTTAGACTGTCGAAATCTTGGAAAAACCTGAAAATTCGGAAAAAATTTATTGATAATTGTTTTTATTTAGAAAAATTAAAAAAATTCTCAGGGAAAAGTTTATTAAATTTTTAAAACGCGATAAAAGTTGCATTTCCGAAAAGTCAGATTATATAATTTTTTTGACTAATCTACAAAATTGGTTCTTTTCTCATTTTCTTACTAATTTTACACTAAAAATAAAATCTTACTTAGATTTATTTTAAAATTAATTTTAATAATATTTTAATGTGCCTAGAAAGTGAAACAAATATCTTAAAAATCGAAACCTTTTCAGGAATGTTTTTCCAAGATTAAATAGAGTTAAATTAGAGGTTAAGTATAGTATCAAATTATATTTTTTGTAAGTAAAATTTTATCCACAGTTAATTTTGTTAATATTAACTGCATATAAATATGCAGTTTCTTGGTGCAATTTTTTTCTGAATGATTTGTCTGTTAATTCACAAATATAACACTAGACATTGTCTTGATCAATAAGTATCCTTTCTCATATCATTTAATTAATTAATAAATGGTATGTAATTGCATATATATATATGTTATATACAATAATTGATTATAAAAACAAACATATTATCCATTTCTTCCCACCTTTCTCCTTTACCAGAAAGAAGACTGAGAGATCTTTGACAGAATGAGTAATCGCTTTTCTGCCCTGTAAGCCAGCGCACTGTCTATGGGTGGTGCACATTAGCAACTACATAGCCATGTCTACAAACGACTTGTTGGTACGTACGTTTATGTTCAAATGGACATAGTTCTATTTCGTAATATGTCCACAACCGTGCGGTTCTATTTCGTGCTATGAGATTAGGGTGGTTTGAGTCTTCGTTAATTGGAAAGTTTTAGCGGAGATTCGAACCACTTGTGGTTTGAGTCTTCGTTAATTGGAAAGTTTTAGCGGAGATTCNGTGGTTTGAGTCTTCGTTAATTGGAAAGTTTTAGCGGAGATTCGAACCACTTGTGGTTTGAGTCTTCGTTAATTGGAAAGTTTTAGCGGAGATTCGAACCACTTGTGGTTTGAGTCTTCGCTAATTGGAAAGTTTTAGCGGAAATTCGAACCACTTGTGGTTTGAGTCTTCGCTAATTGGAAAGTTTTAGCGGAGATTCGAACCACTTGTGGTTTGAGTCTTCGCTAATTGAAAAGTTTTAGCGGAGATTCGAACCACTTGTGGTTTGAGTCTTCGCTAATTTGAAAAGTTTTAGCGGAGATTCGAACCACTTGTGGTTTGAGTCTTCGCTAATTGGAAAGTTTTAGCGGAGATTCAAACTACTTGCGGTTTGAGTCTTCGCTAATTAGAATGTTTTAGCGAACAGCTTGTGGTTTGAATCTTTGCTAAGTCGCAATATTTTAATGAATACTCAAACAACATTTGATTTGATGATGTTTGCGTGATGCCGGCACGTTGGCATCATTTTGTTTGCTTGGAAAAATTATATAAAATTTTGCATAGAAAAATCTTAAAGCTTTTATTGTAAAAGTAGATCAGCGAAATTTCAAAAATTATAAAAACATAAAGTTTATTAAAAGTTTTACATAGAAAATTATTTTGCCCGGAAGAAGATGTTTGTTCACATCTTCTCTGTTATCTTAATATTTGGCAATTAATTGGTCTAATTTTGCGCATTTCGAAAATGACACATCTTACCTGCGTTTCGATATATATTGCCAGTACTAAAAGTCTATATTTCACGTCACATGTGATATAGATTTTCTGTACTGGCAGTGAACATCGGAACGCAGCTTTTGTCATCTTACATCGTGGTCGCTGCCATCGCGTTGTAGCCGCAACCGAACACGAATCACGGGTAACAAACAAACAAAAGGGGTGACAGATGTCAAAGAGCTGGAAAAAATGATCGATACACAGTGGTTTGAATGTATTTAACCGTAAACAGAAATTAAAATGTCTTCGAATGCCAGAAAATCGCCACAAATTGAAGATGTAAGATTTATATTTTGTTATTTGTTTTTGCAATACGTACTAACCTAAATCTAACCCCATAATTTGTCAACTTCTTGAACATTAGTATGTTAAAATTGTTGCTGCTTTGAAACAAATGAAGAGTTTATGTGTTGCATGTTTTTCTAGTTAATCTCTACTGAAGATGACACTTTGGGATCCTCTATAAGTTTGAGTGTTGGAGAGAACTCTATACGCATAAAAGAAAAACCTAATGTCAAAGAAAATGAGCAGATGATAGCTGATAAGAAAGATGTGCAAGATAAATGGTGGTTAAAAAAACCTGAAACACGTTTAGAAGTTTTGAGTACCAAGAATACTGATGCAAAGATGAAACATTCTCCTACTCCTACTTCTGAAGTGAGCTCTTCTATGAAAGAGTTTCTTGAGAAGGAAAAAATGTGCAAAGTAATTATTTAAACTCATATTACTTGGTTTATTGTGTTAACTTTTTATGTATTTACAAGCTTAACCTTCCTTTGTTTTAAATTACTTATGTTTTTAATATGTAACTTTTAAACTTGTAGGCAATGTCTAAAAGTGAAGGAGAAATGAAAGACAAAGATGATACCTTATGCGATATACTTGCATCTACAGCTTTTGATAAGTATCCATCAGACTTTGAAAGTAAGTTTTTATGTAACATCTAAAGCTTTGCAGATCACAATATTTGCAATTATTTAACTTATTTGTTTCATATAGATGCTACCGATGAAGATATTGGCAGTATATTAGAGGAAATGAGCAAAATTGCTGGTGCATTAAGTCCCAATTCAGCCCCAGAACATACTAAGTCTGGAGCTTCCAGTAGGAATCCTACGGAAGAAGAGAGATCTGTGGAAGAATTATTAGAAGAAGCTGAAAAACTCGTGAGAAAAAACAGTACTACTCTGTCAAAGAGTTTATCCAAATCTGATACTCTAGTGCCAGAAAATAATGAAAATGGAAGTTTGAACAGAGTAAGGCAGTTGGAAGATGACATCTTCCAACTGATAGAGGAAGAAGTACACAAAGAAACGGAGAAAATAAAAAAAAGTCCGAAAAACGAGAAAAAACGAGAAAACAGTCCCGGCTTCGATATCGTCTATGAGAATTTGAAACCACCAAAAACTCTGGAATTTCAGAGAAGAAAGTTTGAGGAACAACGAGTCGAAATATCCAGCAGTTCTGACTTGGACGATCCGATCGAGAGACATTCCAAGTCCGAAGAATTGAAGAGCACGAAGAAAATGGAAATGGACAAAGAGAATTTACAGAAGGAAATCACTGACGTGGATAAGGATTTCTTCGAAGATCTGTTGAGAAGGTCCAAAGAGAAAGTAGAGGGCGGAATGTCTGGGAGTTCGAGTTTCGGGCAAGAAGATTTCTCTCACTTCCTGAAACTACTTCAAGGACAGAACATAGACAAAAAAGAGCTAGAATCAAAAGAACCTAATACAGTGTACAATCTCTTTTTGAAATCCACTAATGGCGAAGTAATATCGGCTACGGAGAACCAATTAGCTAATGGCAAAACTCCGGAGTTTCCAGAAAAGGAATTTTCTGAGATATTAGAAAGAGAATTGTCACCGGCTAATAGTGCGCACGTAGAACACGAAATTAATGAAAGTGATTCTAGTGCAAGCGAAACTCGGCCTAAACGAGCACTAGATTCTTTGTTACCTGATACATTTCTGAAAAATTCTCACAAAGAATCGAAGAAATTTGCATCAAAACACGTGGAGAGTAATAAAAATGTAGAAGACAATAAAAAGATAGTTAATTCAGATGGCGAATTTTATACAGTAGGATTGACACCGAGGTTAGAACTGTTCGCGGATGCGATACCCAAACTTATGGCTGAAAAATTAAAAGATGAGAATATTGTGAAGGAAAATGTTGAAAAAACAGATTTAGCGAACAAGGAATCCGCGATCTCAGAAATGACGGTCGATACAGGAGTAGAAACGGCACACGCTGCTAAAGTATCGAAAACTTCTAAGGTAAGTCATCAAGAATCCAAGCCAGGTCCAAGCGTTTTGAAAAAATCAGTTTTAAGTGTTGACACACTTAAAACTGATCGCGTTGTCAGTGCACCGAGCAACAAACAAGTGAAGAAAGAGATTAGATTTTGCAAGTCCAAGAGCTACGATCAAATATGTCAGCCTCCTCTAAAAACTTCTCTTGAAAATATTAGAGTTAAGACGTCGGATGTGTCTAAAAAATCTGTAAATTCTGTTTCCAAAAAGTTACAGATGATAAAGCCAAAAGTGCAATCTCGAACGATTGCTAAAACCGCATCAAAGCCTAACGTGTCTTTGAAAGTGAGAGAGGGAACGGATCCTATTGTTGGATCCACATCCAGTTTACCGGCTGCGTACAAAACGTCTCAGTTGAAGTCACCGGACAGTTATAGAAAAAATATATTGGCTGCTGGTGATTCAAAGCTGAACGTGAAACGCGATTGGGAGATGTTATGTCGCGAGGAGAGACATAAAAACACGCTCTTGAAACAGCAGTTGGAATCTGAGGCAAAATTATACAGGAGTCAAATTGAAGAAATGCGTACGTCTTTCGAGGGAGAATTATTCGCTTTGAAGAAACAGAACATTATTCTGAAAGCGAGGGTTGACGAACTCTCTCTGAATGAGAAGCGTGTGGAAGTTCCCGTTAAAAATGACACAAAGATCACTCTTTTGGAACAGGAACTGGAGAAGCAGGAGAATCTCATCCGCGCTTACGAGACTGAAAATAAAAAACTTATGCAAGATACGAAGCGTATGCAGGAAGAGCTGAGAGTTTTGCAGTCTAAAGAGAAGAACACAGTATCTGAAGCGAACGATGTGCAACAGCTTATCGATCGGGTGAAAGATCTTCAAGAGGAAACGTTGAAGCTGAATTTCGAGATTACCGAGCTGCGAGAGAAAAATGCCGATTGCCTGCTGAAGAATGACGACTTGACACAACAGAACAGTTTGCTTACGGACGAATTGGAAATGTTTAAAGATCAATTGAGAGCGAAGAACAACTTTATCACTGATAAGCTGCAAGTGATGACCACCTCGGAGTTAGATCTGAAGAAACAGATAGAGGATTTAAGTATCAAACTGAGCTCGAAGACGGAGCAGTTGCGAGTTGCGAAGCAGGAACTGGACCGAGTTCAACAAAACGTTTTGCCGTTGGAAAAAGAATTGTTAGAACTTAGAATCAAGGAGGGGAATCTTCAGGAGAAGTTGCATATAAGTAAGAGCCACGTTGAGCGCGAAAAGGCTCTGAGTCAGAAACTAAAGGACCAGGTTATTCTTGACAACAAGAAAATTCTAGATCTGAACAGACAAGTGCGCGAAATGGAACGTATATTGAAGAGGAAGAATCCCGATTCTATCTCGGCACTTATACTGACCGCCAACTCGGGCCAGGAAAAGATCGGATCTGAAAAGGTAAAACTACTGGAAGAAAGAATAGATAGTCTGGAGAAAGAAATTAAAACTAAAGAGGATGTTGCGCAGCAGAATCTGATCGACTTGCAGAAGAAATTCTCCAATATGAAGGAAAAATACGAGGCGCAAGTGACGGAACTGGAAGCGAAGCTGTTTGAAGCGACCGCGAAAGAGCGCAAGTTGTACAACGACATGTTCACGCAGACAACGATCAGGTATGTTGAAAACAAGAGCGTGGAGACTAACAAGAAAGACGACAAAGCATCAACGATAGAAGACAAGAAAGATCCGAAAGCGATCAAAGTCGGACCGAAGTCACAAAATCCAAAAGAAGACGCGCATCTTATCGCTACCATACGAGGCTTGAAGCTAGAGATCACGAATAAGGATAAGGCGATTTCGAAGATAACAAAGGAATGTCAGGAACTTCAGAAGACGAACAGAAGATTGCAGAAAGAACGGGAGAAGTTACTGAACGATCGTAGAAGCTTTAGGAGCATGGATTTCGACAAAGTGTTTCGCGGGACGAGAAACGGTGAAGGAAACGATCAGAATTCGAATGTCTATCAGAACGGACACGTCTCCGACTCGCAGAGGTTATCGTCATCGACGACGAAGCTGTACGATCCGATGCAGTACACGGAGAACGGCAAAAACGGAATAATTAAAAAGTTGACCAATGAAAACGACATCTTGAAGGAGGAGCTGAGCAAAATGAACAAAGACTTCATGGCTCTGAAGAGTAAGAGGCTGCACGACTTAAATCTCCTGCAAGAAGAACACGAGCGAGAGATGGCTACTCTTTTGAAAGAGTACAGCGTCAAATTCGGAGATTCTAAAGTGGTAAAGTTACAGGTTTGTAACGCTAAGCGTGCACTTGGCTTGTTCTTTATTTTGTTTGATTTTCGTCTAGAGTGGCACGTAGAATTTGCATAGAACAAATCTTTACTCATGTTTTGCTTAGAATATGTTTATTTTGAACAAACAACTGCTTCGCTTATAATACGTTTGTTCATCATTCACGAGAAGAAGAAATAACAAATTGTTTGTCATAATTTTGTTATTAACAGGGTCAGATCAATACTCAGGGAGCAGTCATATCGCACTTAAAGGAACAAATCGAAAAGCTCAGGGATTACAAGGAACAAGTGATCGTGTTGAAAGCCGAAAGAGAACACTTAGAAAATAAAGTGAAAACGTTGACCGAGAAGGTCAAGTACCTTTCAACGCCGGTACGTAGAGAATCACTCGATTATTAAGACAATGTTTAATGTAAATTGTTCCTGCTTCAGGAAACAGAACAGTTGCAACTGCTGCAGGATAAGATTACGATTCTTCAACAACGGCACGAAAGTCGAGAAATGACTTTGCAAACATTAGTTCGTGACTTGTTGAGAAATCGCACGCAATGCAAAGATTGTAAGAATGAGAAAGGCAAGAATAGGCAGCTCTGCTATTTTAGGCAGGAGCTCGACAATATTCTGGCAATGCTGCAGGAGATTGCTAACGTCCATTGATATCGCTGAATCGAGAACTCGTCACGAAATCTTGATTCGTCATCGAATATTGTGATAATATTGTGACTTTTACAGGAGTACGTAAAAATCACGTATGTATCCTAGATAAAATTCGAGAGAGTTAGATACTTAAAATATCGTGAAGGTATAGAGTACGTAAAAAATCAATCTGCGTTTTGTTCACGAAACGCTCAGCCAAAATATGTAGTCGATGCTTTCATCGACTCTTCCGGATCGGTGAGAAATATTATAACTATAATGCGTTGTAATTGTAATTTGTTTTCTTGCGTCCGTAATACCGTTCGTCTGCGAGTTCCTGTCCGTCAGCATTGAGTTCGCGAATGATTCGGTAGACTCGAATCACTGCCAAAGAGAAAGAAACGCTACCGTTAACTAGCAGTAGCGCGAACAAATCCGCATAATTAGAAATTTATATACATATATATTTTTTCTTTTTTTCTTATTTCCCGTCGCCAATTTCGTTTAGACACGTGTAACATTTTAGAACATTGACCGCTGTTCCAGAAAGTATTTTGTTTAATTAAGAATTTAGTTTTACTCATAACAAACCGATTATTTTTATGATGCGAAATTTTATTTATTTATTTATATATTTATTTTATAGACTACGAATATATATGACTGCACAGCTGTTTGCAATGTCCTTTTCTATTGATATTGCACAGCTCGTTTTCATTCCATATACTTATTATATTGTTTAGCACGATTGAGAGGGAAGAAAAATAGAGCGAATAGAAATATCTTTGTAAGGATTTCTTCCACGCAGTTAAACGGTATCTAGTTTTATACGAATAATTTTTTCGAGACTTAGCTGTACATAGACGTTACAAGATAAGCCGCTGTATTTTTATTTTGGATGACAATCCACAGCGGTTTATTCGCGCGATCAACGAAGTCGAGTCGACCTACTCGACTATATCATGTATATCCTACATCGTAATAATATATAAGCAGTCTATAGTTTGTTACTATTGTTGCCAAGCTTAGTTGGTGATTTTAACGATCTCGTCGTTGTAGCTCTCTGTACGCGTTAGCAATAAACGCAAAGCACATCGCACAAATTGACGTGGCCGAGATCCGAGGAATATAATCAACAAAATAAAAGTACCTATCTTTTCGTATCTCTTTTTCCACGTCCGTCGATAAAAGTCTGCATGTCCTTTCGAGGCAGTCGTCATCTCCTCCCAACTTTCGGGACTCGGTCACGTTGAGATACTCGCAATTACGTGTTTTTTCTAAATAGATTTAAGCTCGTCACATACAAAATTGTACAAAATCCAAAAATTATAACTTTAATAAACTTAATCTCTTTTTGTCTCGTCATACAAAATTGATACTTTTTCTAGCGACAAGAACATTTCTTTTATTTATCTTTTAAATGATATTTTGAGACAACAGTCACAGTTGTCAAGAAAAATAGTTTGATATAAATATAATGTTAAGTAAAAAGAGGTTCTGTGTTTAGGAAATAACATTTAGCCAGTTTAACTACGACTCTAATTATTTATTCACATAAAATATACATATATTTTCTAGTCACAACTTCTCTACAGATATATATATATATGAGCTGTACATTACTATATGTTCTAGTCTTGAAAACACTACATCGCGCAACATAATTTTTAACGTAGACAAATAGATAGATAAAAAAATCGCAGGTCCAGAGAGTAGCAGTTTTCGGTGCCATTTCGGTGGTCAATTATCTCTTTAGTTTACCAAACTAAGAAACGTAGCGCTTGCTGCGTTATATTATTGCTGAAACAGTCATAAAATTATATCATTGATAATCTTATAATATGCTTTTATGTTTTGAGAATTTAATTATTTTTCTGAAAAAAAAAAAAACTAAATTATTATAAATTAATTTATATTCTGTGTTACATAATTCTAATCGACACATCTTACCCAATGAAAGACTTCTTGCCGTAGAGAGAAAGCCCATAAACGGTACAAAGACCCAGAAGAAAAGCTTGTCTTAGAAAATCGTACGTAACAGAATGGTTGTGAAGTCTAAAATCCTCAATTATTTTGGGAACGATCTTTCTTACTTCTATATTCTTGTCGGCGCGCATGTCTTGCAAGTTTCGTGAGTCCGATCTCTTGTCTGATAAACGAGAGATTCGACTCTCGAGAAGTGGCCTGGAATTCACCGCACGCTTTATTCTTCGCATCGCGATCGAATTGCGCAATTCAGAATTTTGTTCTAAACGTCGATTTTGAATTCTGGATTCGTGCAATCTTGAGCTCTCGTCAGTTCTTCGATCGATCGATCTTTGTGTCGAATCAAGAGCGGTTCGTTTCTCCAACATCCTGTTGCGAGAAGCCCGCGATTCCAAGTTTCGTTCCAAACGTCGATTTGCCATTCTGGATTCTTCGCGCGATCTCGAGCTGTCGCCGATTCTTTGCTCAAACGATCTTCGTGACTCGAGAGTAGATCGTCTTTCCAACACTCTTCCGCGAGAAAGTCGCGATTCCAAGCTTCGTTCCAGACGCCGATCTTCCATTCTCGATCGTTCGCTCAACCTCGCGTCGATTTTTCGTCCGGTCGATTTTTGCGAATCTCGAGCAGATCGTTTCTCTACCATCTTTTCATAGGACATTCGCGAGTCCAAGCGCTGATCCCGCGTCTTATATTCTTCACGCGATCTTGAGTTATCGATTCTTCTATCGGATCGTGAATCGAGTCGCGCTGAATCTGGAGCAACACGTCGCTCTAAAACTCGTCTTTCCAGAATCTTCCCGGACATTCGTCGCTCAGTTTCGCGGAATCTTTGAAGGACAGTTTCTCGTTCCTCGCGAAATCGATATAAGCGATTCGTCCTTTCTCGTCGCGCCAGAGTTAAATCTCGTCCTTCTGCTGGAGAATTGCGCGAGCTGCGACTTCGTTGATCCATCGAATTACGATCGACCGATCGGGAAAATCGAGCTTGTCTTTTTTGATTCGCGTTTTCTTCGAGATCATTATAACGTGATCGTGAAGAAACAGATCTAGATTGTTCCCCAATCGCTTTATTTCCACGTGAATCTTGGCTTCTCTGCGAGAGACTGACTCTTTCTTGACGTAAATGCTCAGGCGAAACTTGCGACGTTGCTCGATCGAAAGATCTTTGATCGGTAAGACGGTCTTTGCTCTCGAGTTTTCGACGTCCTGCATGTTGCATCTCGCGACGTTTTTCCATAGTACGAGCCAAGTTTCTACGCTCGGAGGATTTGCGTTCGCTGGATCTTTTGTTATCAACCGATCTAGCTTGCCTACGAAGAGTTTCACGACCGACATCGTTGACAGTCAGCCGTTCTATTGATCGTGATAGCGATCGACGATCGTTAGGAATGACAAGATTATCCCGATAATCCCTGGCAGCAGATCGTGATGTGTGTTCCTGATTTGCGACGCGAGCAAGAAGAACGCGACGATTTTTCAGAGATCGTTCTCGAGTTTGAAGATTGAGATCCTCTCGCGAGACAATTGCCGAACGGTTAAGGAGAGTCCTCCGACGACTGAATCGTTCTGATTCTCGACGTTCGATCGCGCGTTGTTCAACAAATCGAGATCGATGGTCGCGCATCTCAGATCGGCCATCTACACGATTTCGCGTCAAATCCCGATATTCGCGACGGTCAGCTGAACCTGCACGAGATTCTTGCCGATTAGTGTTGCTTAGAATTCGTCGCTCTATCGAAAGTGATGTACGCTCGTGAAGATCATTCGTACGGCGCTGACGATTTGGAGAAACCTGCCGGTTCATCGATTGTTCTGCCCGATTTTGCGCGACTTCATTGAGCCCGTGTCGTTCCGTAGATTGCAACCGCCGATTATTGAATCGATTGGCCGAACGGCGCTCGGAATTAAACAATCTATTGTCGGCTGAACGACGATCGGTTGCCCGGTTAGACAGATCTCGCGATCGAGAGAGTCGAATGGCGGGATCGTATGAGCTCCGAATGTCGCGAGATCGCACGATTATGCTAGATCGGGATTCCCGAACTCGATTGGCAGATTCGTCATTAGACACACGAGTCCTCGATCTTGAAATCCTCTTGGTCTGTAACAGATCTCGATTTCCGGACGATTGTCTTGTTTCCCGCGAGCTGAGCCTTGACGAGCGATCGAGACTCTTCGATCGGGAAAACACAGTTTGTCGAGATATTGGAGATACTCTGGATACTTTGATTTCATTAACCGGTCTCAAAATTTCTTCTGATACGCTAGTCGAAGGCATTTTGGTGAAAGGATTCAAGTTGGGACAGGAGTCCGATCTAGAAATAATGTTTTCTTTTATCACGTTTTTACTAGAAGAAGATTTAAAAACAACTCAAGTGCGATTGTTTTATCAACAATAATATAAAAAAAGTACTATATTCTATTTTATTCTTACTCATGCGGAGCTTGATGAATGAGTTCAGGTCCCGCGAGACTGCCAGCATGTCCTTCCCTATCTCTGGACACCAGTCCTAGCGTCAGACACGCCAGCGATACTATCAGGAGTCCAATGTAATGCCAGGATCGTACGGGCAGCACTACGTGGCGTATACGCCTCATGCTGTCGCGAGATTAATTTTTATGATAAAATTTACGATAAAATATGCATTTCCGAATTAAAAAAAAACACTTTCTAAGTTTTTTATTCTTCCGTTTGCAAAATATTTAATCTTGAAATCCCGAAACATTACGTACTAGATTTTATACTCTAGAATGTTTTGCAACGAGAAGTTATTTACCTGAGAAACTTGAGACTCTGTCGTGACCAAGATCACCGAACTGCGTCGAGAAATATTCGATGAGTTCTTCGAAAATATTTCCAAGACCGAGAAGAAGTGCTCTTCCTCGGTGCTCTGGAGACCTGCTGACGCCGGACGTCCCGAAGGAGCGACTTTTATACTCCGCGGGACTCCGCGTCGTAATTCGATAGAAGCGCAATTTACCGCTTATCAGCGGCGACCACATGGTGCCTCATAGATCGCCGTGAACAAAGCGCGGGCGGGCAATATGTGTGTTGCGAGCGGAAAGATTGGAAAGCTGCGACATAGAGTTCGTGTTAATCAATTGGAAAATTGCAAACTGAGCTATCTGCGTAGTACCGATTCACATGTGTTGCGTAGGTGTCTTTTGAAATCGCGTTCAAGTCCTATTTCGCGAAAGATAGTTTTTCTGAATAAAACTAATAAGTGTAAAATTTGCTTTAAAATAAAATTGATTAGATATATTAAAGAAATATTATTATAGTTTGGGTTTGTATTAATTGACAAATTAGTTTTTTTAAATGTAAATCTTTCTAATATATTTTTTCATATAATTTATTATTATTTATAATAAATATTTATATAATATAATTTATTATTATTTATATATTATATTAGCAGATTATACTAATTTTTATATAAATAATTGTACATTATTAAGATAGTTTTTTTTATTGAAAAGAGGATTGAAATAAAATACAAGAATGTACAAGGTTTATAAACATTTATTTTTATACAAAGCATGTATTACAAAATTAAACATTACTAACGAAAATGTACGTCTCGTATAAATATACATTGGTAATATATACTCACATATATTTACACATGTTATATATATTATATTATATATTTCTATATATATATATTTTTTTTTTTTTATTTTTCTACGTCTATTTTATACGTCTAGTAGATGCCAAATTGATGAAAAGTTTTCATAAAGTTTGTGTAATTTTCCTTACAAAGGAAAATTGACCAGCGCAATAATCGTTTACATTAATAAATTAAACAAGAAAAGTTATAAATTCAAAAATATACAGGAAACTTCGTAACTTAGGGAGCAATATTGTATATCATATTCGCATAATTGACAGTGCATTCGCGCGCGAATCATATTTGTCATGCAACACTTGTTACTGACTGTCATTGACTAAACGGTTTAGCATCTTAGAACACAACAATCATTACGAAGATGATAGTAACCAGGTTTATCACGAAAATGTGAAAAACTTGAGGAACATTAGACGAGCCGGAAGTACTCTTCAAGTTACTGCAACTCGTGTCATTCGATTCCGGAAGCGCTGTATAGTTGGGAAAGTTTTGAATATCTGCCGGCTAAAAAACAATTCATTAAAAAATTGGTTTTCTATAATTAGTTTTATATAACAACGCGAAAAATTAGCTTTATGTTTGAGACGAAACAAAGTGCTTTTACTTACCAATGCTAATTTGTCGTCTTTCTTTCTGCAGAATGTCATATGTCTGCCGTGATACAGAGTTTTTTCTATTGATCTAGCGAGCAATTCCTCCGACCATGGCAAAGCCAACATATGTTCAGCCATAGTTCGTCCTAAACATTAAAAAACAACATCACAATTAAAACTTCTAAAGTTGTTTACGTTGTGTAGTTTTTATATAAATAGCGGAGAAAAAAATATATATTTGACTTTTTTATAATCATCTTACAAACATCTACCTCGGAATTCTTCGGGTTCTTCGATAATGAGTCGCGTGAAGATATTATCGCTCTCGCGTTCTTCTGTGTAATCTTTCATCGCTCTTAACGCGGACTCAGCTTCTTTAATGAGAACCTCGTCGATCTTGTCCGTCGTTTCCGCGATGGGATAAGAAGAGAATTGTTGCTGATTGGTCGAAGATGAAGCCGAGTCAGTTCTAGAATAATTTACAAGCATTTGACTTGAAAGATAATTTTTTAATGAAAAGATTTTGGTGACTATGAAATTTGTAATAGAAGATTTGTACATATAAAATTAAATTATATTTTATATACAAAAATATTAATTTAGAAAATATTGATTTTACGTATAACTTTTATGAAAAAGAAAACAAAAATTACCCTATTGTTAGGAATAGTTTTTCCAGATGATTCATTGTCATTCCCTTGAAACTCTTCACGCCAAGAGTCTTGAAAAGATCCTTAACAGGCGTCATGCTATAACAGGCAGCAAGAGACGTTTTGGGATAATACACGACAAATGCTAGACACATTTCCTGGGAAGCCGCATAACCACCTAACGTCGGTTTCGTTCTATCTAAAGTGCCGTAAACGCATTCTGCGACGAGCTCGTCGCCACGTAACACTTTCACTTCTTTCTCTAAGGTGTGAGATTGTTGATAATCAAAGTCGAAATGATTGTCTTGAACTATCTTCGGCAATTCTTTTCCTTGCCGAATATGCTTCAAGCTGAGACGGCGACCGGCTAAATGTGAGTGCAGGACGACAGATACAACATTGATGCCGTTGACAGGGAACATCTAGGAGAAAATTTAAAATTACTTCGTTAATTGATACCTTTATATACGTGCTATAATTTTATTCTCATAAAAATGTAGATACTTCAAAATGCTAAAATAAAAAAAATAAAAAAATTACAAAATAAACTTTAATATTTTTGTGAGTTCAAAAAAATTTTTTTTCTATAATCGTCAATTACCGTGTTCGTGCAATGGGGAGTGCAATATCCGGCGGTGGCGTACTCCTTTTGTTTGGGAGGTATCATATGCAGGGGACTTACCGCCACGCCAGCCACAAGAATACCTGCTTCCTGAGGACGAAGCCTTGGAGTCAAATGAAGTCTTACGCCGCTGCTGTCGATTACCTTCCTCAGGCTCGGATTATTATAGTGAACTTCCAGCATATAATATGAGTTATTGCGATGTTCTGCAATAGGTACACCCACGTGTTCTGGCAACCACTCTCCTGTAATAACAAATATTATTACATTTGTTATTATATTCTCTTATCAAAAACAAAATGAACAAAGAACATAATTTGTACTTTGAAGAGCTTTGCCCGCGATTTTATAATATGTAGAAAAAAATTAGATAAAATTTTATTGATATTTTATTTTTGATTTATTTTAATCGAATTCGAAAATTTTGTGCAAATTACTCCACACTGGACAGTGAGTCGATTGATCTTCGTCATACAACTATGTTCTCACTTTGCAAGTAATTTACCTTTACTGCCGCGAGCCCAAGCGAGAATGGGCTGCAGACACGTTTCCCATGCCGCCGGCATCGTTTGGCTGTAGCAATCGGTACCGACAAGTCTGGCGTGCTCTCCAAGAATCGGATCCGTCGATGCGCACTCGTACAGGATCACGTGATGGACCAAATCTTCATTCGCCTTCTCTATGATCGGTGTGTACTGAAACCCCATAAATAATGCATAAATGCAGAGAGAATCCAAAATCGATTCGCCTCGATTATCTACTTTTTCGAAACTCGTGCGAAATTGCTCAATTATCTATTTTTGAGAAGATCATGCTTGAAAAGCTGTCAATACGAAGATTGAGCTTGATGAGAATTTTACGAGAGGATCCTGGAAATGATTATGATTCTTTCTCCCGCGAGATCCCATTGACAGTCAGTAGACGTCTGAGTATATGATATACGTGTGTGTGTGTGTGTGTGTCTTGTCGTTGTGTGACATCATTCCGGACCTCTTCTTTATTCTAATGACGAGTTCACGTCTCACGACGTCCGGCATGAATGACCGTGATTCGTGAAGCACATACGGATAAGCCCAACCTTTGCATTCCATCAGCCGTGGAACATTCACGAGAGATTCGTGTTTCTACTCGAGAAACCTGTTAGCAGGAATTTGCATCGTCGTGCATACTCACCCCTATCATGTGATGTTTCTCTTTCGAGACAATCGGTGGGACCTTAAAGATTTTGCACCAGTAGATCGTGTCCTTGCTGTCTGAGACTTCGAACTGTTAAAAAATAGTATTAAGTTACTTACAATTTGATTAACTCACAACTAGATACAAAGCAAAACTAATAACTCGCAAAAATTCTTCTCATTTGCTTTAGACGCGTCACATAACAATATGATTAACATTATTAATATTTGTGCCATTGTTTCTCAATTCATTAAAATACGCGCGCGAATAGAAACCACTAAGTTAAATTATCTAAAGCTATTAAATTAATGAAGATAATAATAAAAGAGTTTCTCAATAAAAGATCTTACTTTGTTGAGCTTTACGTCCCAGTGATGCACATTGTGAATCTCTCGCGGTGGCGAGTGTGCCGCAGCTGTCTTTAGCCTCAGAGCCTTACCACCTCGTTTATTCTCGTGCCACACCGGCGTATTCAATTCTGGATCGTTCTGATGAAGGGCCCACAACACTCTGATTGTATCTCCCTGAAAACGCACGAGTGGATGTTTACAGAGGCAATGTTATGTTCGAAAAATACTAACTTATGGAAATTACAGCGTGTTATAGCTTTGTACATTTGTTTTACGGAATTTTGTTTCACGACGAATATTATCTCAAACAATGAACTGCACGATCGCAGTCAGAATCAGATACATCAAACGGCGAGTTACGCCACGGCGAAGAAGGACAGACGGCACGCTAAACGCCTAAATACCGCCCCAGGAATTCGAGGCAGCGAGACTCAAAGGCTCCTCAAAGTTGCGGGATCCCTCGGACATAAATCGAAAGAGGATACTTCGTGAATTCTATGGAGCCTCGACAGTTGTACAGTAAATCTTTTGAATTGTATGCGTGTGCTTTCTCACTCTCTCTTTCTTCGAATTTGCCGTAGAGAAAAATGCGTACGGAAGTTTTGTTTTCTTTGCGTGCGTTTTTTTAGTTACAAAGTACCGGATTAGAGATAATTTGGCGTTACGAGGAGCATTAAATTTTCTTAACTCCGTTGCGTTAATACACGCTTACGAATCACCATACGCTATCCAGACAGCTATTTTCAATTACGTGTATAATAGTTTTGCGAAACGCTTTCGAAAATTCAGGATCTATTATCTTAAGATGAAAAAAGATACCTTGAAAAAATCATAATGTAAATACCTAGATGCTGCTTGTGTCAAAACAGAAAGAAATTATATTTTTAAATTACATTGCAAAAGACTTACCGTGAGCTGGTGATCCTGAGGATCGCACGTCTCCCAGTTCCTGACGAACGTCACGGTGGTGTGGGTCTCGTTTTGGGAACCGCCGAGCACTCGAACGTCCTGGGAATTGTCGGTGACCGGCGCGGCATTTACCTCTGTACCGTGCGAGTCCTGGAACACACGAAGGAGAGAGAGAGAAAGACGTTAGAATTGTTGACGTCAGGGTTCAACGTGCTCGTCGAAACGAGGCCCGCAGGCCCCAAAAACTCGTATTGGACGAGAGATCGAGAGCTTTATCGGGTCAGGTGAGCGCCAGGTGTTCGCATATACCGTGAACTGGAAGACTTGAGTCCCTTCCATTCACGTAATTTGTTCTCTCTGTCCTTACCTACTTTCTCTTTTACTTTGTCAAACAGTATGAATATACGTTATCCTCCAATATAACCGTGACTTTGTCATTCGCACTATTTAGTGTTCACCAGCGTGACTTTTCGTCACAATAGAAAGAATATTGATATCGTAAAATAAATCACTTCCCGAATGTATACAAAGTGACACACAATTGCTTTCATTGAATGTTTTCTCTTTTATTTTTAATTTTGCAAGTGCAAAAATCAACTCCAAATTTACTTTGTGGAATTAAACGTGATGAATCTGAAACATCCTGTGAGCGATTATGATTTCATGAAGATAAAAAACGAACGTGTGCAGAAACACGGGTCGATATTACGGTGGCGATAAGGTGCGGAAAAGAGAAGAAAGAAACAATTTCCCAGCTGTCGTGCTAGCGCACGCGAATCCGCCGAAGGGAGGCCGCAGGCGTTTGGGTCTGTTGGATCCCGGTTACGGTGGGCCGCTCTCGTACATTCGCTCTCGTACGCGAGGCAGGACGAGAGGCCCCGAAGAAGGGAAGTCTCCTTCCTGCTCGTAATGAATCCGAATAATTGCCGGAGCGTCAGTCATGCCTAGTGGAGTACTACTGTGCCTCGCGTAACAAGCACGTGCAGAAAGGAAATAGTAATAAGGGTTCGAAACGTTGCCGAGGAACCGGTGGAAATGAAAAGCGTGAGGTAATGAGACGAGAGAGAAAGAGAGAGAGAGAGAGAGAGAGACGCTCATTAACATGTAAACAACTTATAAAGTATTCGCGAGATATCACCAACGGAAGGATATTCAAATCATACATTTTCACGAACACGAACAATCTTTCCAATGCACTTATTGTTACCTGATAAAAATTTTATTCGGAATATTGTGTACTTATTGCTTATTGTCTAAAAATTTGTTTTAACGAAACAACATGTAATGCAACAATCTATAAGTTGAAAGACTCCACGTAAATTGTGTGGACTCTCACGTGCGGGGTTAACGGCCAATTATCGATCTTCGATCATTGATAAGCAAGTCTTAATTACAATGAGTTTTGCCCATACCAGGAACAATCTTTGAATGTCATAATAATACACGTGCAGAAATCTTCCCGGAAGGTTCTACATGAATCTTTTTTTATCTCGATCAGCAGCAAATCCCACATTGCGCGTGTATTTTGTAGAGTTCAAGTACGTTCTCATGTACTTTTGCGACGGTATTCTCATGGCATCCGGATATTCTCATCGCCATCGAGCTAATTAGTTAGCCCTGGCGAATTGTTCGGCAATTAAAAAGTCTGAGATTTCACAAGAACTGTTTTAATTAATTTCTATTTAAACGTTATACAAAAATTGGTTCCCAAGAATGAGACATTAAGCTAACTCGGTAATTATGTATAATCTGTCTTCATTTATTGAGAGTCCATGTGCTTTTTGAGATTTTGATATTAATTTAAAACCAAAGCCATAAATTATATACATCACGTTTATTAATTTATCACATCGAAAAACATGGACTCATTATTTTAATGTATTCGCACATCCTCATCAGCTAGCTTACAGTTTTCCGCGAATAAGGTACGATAAGGGCGAGATTAGATCGTAAGAAGGAGCAATGACACGCTATCTCGCGAAAGCTAATTTATATGAAACAAATTCAAACTACGCACCGAGCGGCTCGGCCAGCAAGCATCTGAAAACCAGTTATAATTTAGGTGTTCTCGGCTATAGGAAAATCTAATCGAGAAAAAAGAGAACTGAAAGAGAAAACACTCTCGTTTCCCACGGTGGATTATCGCGGGACGTCTCTTTCGCGCACGAGACAAAAAATGCCACAAAGTGGCTCGATCGTTAGAGAGACGATGATATTATGCAAACGATCCGTCGAGTGACTCGGTTATTCTTGCAGGCACCTGATTTTCTGCGACTGAGTCACGACGCGACGGTCGGCTGACAACGACGAGGAAGCCGTGCGTCTCGGTTGTCCTCGATTTAGAAATGCGTTACCTCTAACGCTAACAAACCCGCGCCGTCAACGGTGTTATTACCCCGTAATCCCAGGCGCGAATAACAATATGCCACAATACCTAACAATAATTGTTATTTTAAACCTCTTTAGTCGCTTAGATATGAAATCGACGACTTTATCGGAGCTATGTAGTAGATCGTCAAGATTTAAAAGCCGCATTTCGAAAGGCACACAAGTCTAGGATGCGGAAAATTGATTCGGCGGATGTGACGTCACGGATCGGCACTTTGCGTTTCCTCTGCGAGAGTCTCCTGAGAGGCTTCCTCACACGCAAGTTCTCTGCACGTAAGGCGTTCCCAAGACCGGAAAGGATACGGATCCTTGATGAACGTGTGTGACAATCTGTGAATCCTTCATCATTTGTTATTCTTTTTTCATACCGTAACTAATTGATGTTATTTATCTTTGAGTGTCTGAGATACAGATTGTATAGAGATACAAAGATTTTTGCGCGATAAACAACGTACTCAAACCGGGAGAGACAAAGATCTCTCTCTTTTAAATCCTTCTCGAAAAGTAGTTTAAAAATTCTCTAAAGTAAAAAAGATATCGATCCGTTGGATTACATTGAGGATTATGATTGGTATCGCTGAGTGCTTCGACGTGGGATAAAAACAGGTCTCACCTTCCCGCGGTTTTGCGTCGCACAATGCGAGCGTTGGAAAAATGCGATCCCGTCGGGATGTTTCTGGGACACGAGATCTTTAAAATCTCGGTCGCGCGCGTTCGTTTCACGAAATGTTTTTCGATCGATGCAACGCGCGACGTTCACAGAAGAAAAAGAAAACACCGCCGCTTTATGCGCTCAAAGGTGGTTCCCATGGATCTGATGGAGAAAAACGAAGGAATTTCTCCGAAGAGGCGCCACTACGAGAAGCTCGCCAGGTGTTTTGGTGATAGCTTCTTCTTCTTTCTTTCTTTATTTTCTTTTCTCTCTTTCCTGTACTTCTGAATATGTGCATTTGGGTCGCTTCTCCTCTCTTCCCGCTCTCCTCCTCTTTTGCTCTTCTGTATCTTTCTCTTTCTTACTTATTGGTGAAACCAACAACATTTTCTATCCTTTTCTTCTTTCTTCTCTTTTACATGTATTCGGTACCTAATTCCCTCTTCTTTTAACCTTCTTGCTGTCGAATCTCTTTTTTACCACCTGGCAGAACAGCAGCTGTGGTAGCGGGCAAACGAGGTTTCCTCCTCGAAGAAGGAATAAAGGACTTCTCTCGTGTCTTTCGGAAACCCCGGAGAATCGAAGTGGTAGTTCGTCGACAAATTTCGCGCGCACCTCGCTAACAGATTTATCGTTCTGTGAATTAAGAGACATGCAAGTTTGATTGTAGAGAGAAATTAAATGTGCGAACTTGTCTAAGTGACAAATATTAACGGTGGTTTAATTGTCGTCAAAGAAAATTAACTCGTCCAAATGGAGAGAGAGAAAGAACTCTATATACAGTGATATTTTTATATTATATGTTATATCTTACAGCTTCCAATATACGTATACATTTTCAAAGAGCCACGCAGTGCAGAGAAGAGCATTATTCAAAATTCGAGTTTTGACCGAGCGTTCGTTATAGAAAAATCATTTTGTTTTTTTGTTTTTCTTCATGTGTTCTCTGAACTGGTTTACTTAGGTTTTTAGGTGGAAATTATTATTCCGTTAGCTTTTTTTAGTCGCGATTTCGGTCCCGGTTCTCACGTGTCGCAATTCTTGGCGTCGATGGTGCGCGCACGCGGTTACGCGCAATTACGCGCGGCGAGTCGTTAAGGCTCATCGTGGCCGGTTTTACGAGCGGTTACGCGGAATAATAATCAACGAATTAAAATGCGGTGGAAACCCCTTCCCTTCGCTCCCGTCGTTCTGGTTTACTCGGGGGTGCGCGAATCCGCAATTTGCTGGCTGGATTTCGCTTAACGACCCCTGTGGTTAATGCTTTAACCATACACGTAGAATTTTCACTCTCACTGGTTGCACCGATCAAAGTAAAGTCATGCGCAAAGCGCCTCCGGTCGAGACTAATGACACGTAAAGTTTTGTAATTAAGATTTCGTAATTCTCTTAAAAATACATTGCCCCGATATTATATATTTAAAATATTACATTATAATAAAAATTAATAAGTTCCGCAAATTGTTAAATAATATATCACATTGATTGTTTCTTAGAAAAATATGGTATTTACTGCAATGTTATAGGTTTAAAATTCTCTGCAACATAAAAAATAAGCAAATTGTGGACATTAAAAATAGTCACGGAGCTAGACAAGCATCGTTGAAACAACGCTTCTGCGAACCAGTTTCACGGGCTTTCGATTGCTAACAACACTAATTCGCTCCCCTTTTCTGAGTGTTGTTTTCGACCCTGGGGGCAAGGCGGAGCACGAAAAAGAGGGCCCCGTAACTCTCATCGCGCTGCTACGTATTACGGGTAACCGGTGCGAACGAAAAAACGTAACAGGAAGCATAGAACTGGATGACGAGTTTCTCGAGCGTATTTGAAGTGATGTTATCTTCAAAGTCATACTGATCCGAACTATTCTTCTTTTGATTCTTGCGCAATATGTACTATTGCGATCCTCCAAGCGTTACTCTTTTTCTATTATCAATTTTTATCAGTGCGGATATATAATTAATAGAGAAAGAGAGAGAGAGACGGATCTCAGAGAAATACTTCGTGAGCAATACATTGTTCCGGTGCACGAGAAAGCGCAGTTAGTATGGCAATGAACAATGTCATTCTCAAACATCTGAAGAAATAAAAAACAAATATTTTAGAATTAATGCAACTTGGTTTTGGATTTTTTTTCAATGATAACAAGTCAACGGCAGGTTGTTTTTACGCTAGCTCGCAAAATTATCGAAAGGGACACAAAGTTTCAGATTACGAGACAGGATAAACGTACGATTCACATGCATACGCAGTTGAAGGGTAGTTCTCCGTGGCTGGACAAATGGCATGTACCGGACGGTATTTTATTCGGCCAGGGTGGACCGGTTCCGCGACGCGAGAACCGTAAATCATCACCGCCGGATTATGTCTCGGCTCGGACGCGGAGAATGCTAATAAGCGTCTCGCTCGCTTCGTTTATCAACAATGCAGAAATTTCATTCGGATTATCAGATAACCGTTGATCAACTCTATAATCGATATATTTCCGTCCGGCGTTCCTTCTTGATTGCCATTTTTGTTGCATTTATTCGAACGTAAAGTATTGAAAAGCGTGTTTCTATTAAGAAAAAAGAGACATAAAACAATTTATTAGAAAAAAAAAACAACCTATTACAAAATTCGCGTCTAAAAAAGCACAAAGACAAAGTGAGCGCCGCCACTAACAATAAGTACGAGGCTACTCTTAATCCGTGAAATATTCTTTCCGTTCGGCTAAAATCCTCTTTCGTCGTCTCTCTCTCGGTCGTCGCAAAGAACCCGTGGTTGTAATGCGTGGAATGAGATAAAGCGGCAGATCCAAGAGAGGGCGAACGTCGCGAGGAAGAAGAAAACGCGAATAAAGAGAGCAATGACTAGCGACGAGCAGACGAATTCTTTGGCAAATTTCCAGTTCTATATGCTCTAAAGAAAGAAAGAGAGATAATAGCCATTATCGCGGGTTATTGTTATAAAAGATGTCTCGTGACGCTTCAATCGCACAATCATATAAAAAAGTAGTATAGATTTCGAATCTTACATGTTAATAATTTCATACACAAGTCGCTTTTATACAAGCGTTAGTTATCATTTGTGATCAATTACATTAATTGAATACCGTTCTATTCCTATTGAAACCATATTTCAATTTTTTACGTATCTTTCAATCTTGTGTTTTTTACGTGATAACTATTGTTAATTTCGATATTATCCGAGACGCATTAAGGATTTTATTTTTGTCTTTCTTTGACATCGCGCTTTGTAAGAAGATAGCGCGGCCGAATACCCACGCGAAAGAGGGCGACGTGAAGTGGGACTGGAAAAGAACGAAAACGTGTTGACCGGGTGGTAGAAAACGAACAAGAGGATTCGTCCAGGATAATGAGAAAAAAATCGCAGCAAAATCGGGTATGAGGAGGTGAGGGAGGACGAAGAGGAAGAGGATGAGACCCCGACCATGCACCGTTGCGCTCGACCATCCATCCGTCTGTCCGTCCGTCTGTCGGACGAAGCGTTCCGGACAGACCGTCTGAGCCCCTGGGACCGAAGAATAGACAGATCGCAGATTACGTACATTTCAGATTCACTCGCGCACAGCGATTCGTATTTTCCGGCGCTATAATAAATTACGATCGTAATCGTCGTGTACGCGCATGCAATGTCGGTCACACTGGACAACAATGACGACAGCTGTCTTCTCTTCCTTTCCTTTGCTGTTCGCTACCGATCCAGTAGGGCCCATTCACAAACCTCCCGGCGAAATCCTTCTCCGCGCGTCGTCATGAGTTAATAACGTTTAATTAATTATCGGCGTCATAAGTACTTTGGTCTCTTTTTGTGCATTATTTATTGATTCTGCTTCATTAACGATGCATCATAATGTATCGCGATTCTTGTTTTCTCTTTCTAATTCAAAAACCAATATTTAATTCAATAGCGCTGCATCTCACGTGCGTTCGCCTTTAATCGACCAAGTTCATTAAAATGCCCTCACTTCGATGTTCGGGAAGCCTCCAGGGTCCGAGATATCACGTATTGCGATACACACATCGCTCGGCACGTTCATCGGGCCCAGTACTATCCTTTCATCCTTCTCGCGGCAGCGATGTTCAAAGATTCGCACACAGCCCCCCGTCGATGATGTCTGGAGGCCTTGACTGGGGCCCCTTCGGACCTAACTCCGAAGTCCGGCGGGCTTTCTCCTCATCCCCTTGCCGCCGATCTTCACACGACTACACTTGAACACGCAAATTCACACACGCATCTTTACACTGGCGCACAGCGTTGAGTGTGTATCCTTCGCCGCCGGCACCTCCGGGCCTTCGGGGTGTTTGAATCCGAATGCATGTAGATGCATCTCTCATCTCATTCGTGCAACAGGTACGCATGTACAGTGATATTTGTCAAGCACGATTATGAAGCGCCGTGCTTACGTGCTTTTACGTGTGTTACCGGCAACGGTAACAAATAGTCACCTCAACGGGGAGGCTCGCTCTTTGTCGATTATGACCGCATCCTTGTTTCAAAAATTGACTTTTGTTTTCTCTCTCTCTTACAAAAAAAAAGTCCGACTACGATTAAGATAATTAAACATTTGTAACATTATATGTATGATAATTATTTGTACACATCAAACTCTTATGTATTTTTATATAACAGAGTTATATAAAAATTGCATCTAGTTAAGTTATTTTGTCGGGAGATTTACAGTTAATCGAGGTAAGAAGGGCACGAGGGTAGATCGATCGCATACGCCGAAAAAACGTGCGAGGAAAGGCTGCTGGTCGGACGTAAATTTATCACGACGTTATCTCATCTGTTGTGGAACCACGTTCGTTAATTTTATCCTTTCTCTGATTCATTTCTCGCCTCTTCTTTCTTCGTCATCTCTATCTCCGGTATACTTTCTTATTCTTTCCAACCTTCTTGTCATCCGGTCAAGGGATCAGGTAAAGCGACTCGAAAATCCAAAGTGGAGTTAATGTCTCCTCGGCAAGAAGACATTTTTGCGTGAGAGAGATTTTTTGTCGATTTGCGATCGACAACTTCTTGATAACGAAGTCCTGGGGAAACAGAATCGATTCGTCTTGCGCCAGAAAGAGAAGAAAGAGAAAAACGTTCTTACGAAGTCGAGGAACAAGAAGTTGTCGAGAAAAATTTTAGTGTTCTCCGACTTCGTATTAAACAGAACGTACATCGCTGTCGGGAGGAATTTCTCGGCCGATACCGGTCGCGCGCGTCGTCAGGCGTAATGGATATAAATTTAATTAAGATTAGGATTTCGAAGAAGGGCTCGAGTTGAAAAGCAGGTTTTCTGAGCCTGGACCTACGTCGTTACACGGTCCGGTCCTTTCTTCTGGTGCACAATCGCCAATTAAATCGTTTTAAAACGAACGTGCCGTTTTTTCTCTCGAGATTTCATTATCGTGACATTGTGTTATTAAAATTACGTAATAACAACTATACATTATACTCTTGCGGATTAATAGCGTCAATTTTTCGCACTGTTTTTATTTTTATTAGTTTCTAATTGAAAGTTTTTTATCAAATATATCAATTTTTCGTAAAAAAGTGAGCTGCTCGGCATGTATCTGGACGAAAACGACAACAGTTTTATCGACCGGGACGCCGTTAATTAACGCTTCTCATTAATACGGATCGGTTGCGCGCGCGATCGGACGGACGGGCTTCCCTTTCGAAACCGATTTCGTCGTTCAAGCGAAGAGATGGGGTTCTCGGGATACTCGCAATACTTCTTTTGTTCTCTCCCCTTTCTCTCCCTCGTTTTCTTGTCTCTTTCTCTCGCAAGTCCATCCAGGTTGCTGCCTCATATTCCTTTTCTTTGCTCCAACCGCCTTCTTAATCTTCCTTTAATTCCCCGGCTTTCTCGTTTCTTTAGTTCCTTTTTCCTCCTTTCGCTTCCTTCGTTTCATCTCTTCGTTGCGCTTGTTTTCTCTTTCTCTTCCTTCTCGTTTTCCTTCTTTCTTCTACCTTCGTCCTTCTCTTTGTTGTCGCTCCCTTTTTGTATACCATCTCTTCGCTTCGCGAATCTTTCGCCGGCTCTTTCGCCTTGCCGTGAAGAGAGAGATCCGCGCCGACAGGTTTCGAACTGTCTCGCACTGCTTTGGCGCGAAATCGCGAGCTCAGCAGTTCGTTTGTTCATTCTCGTGTGTGTTCTTTTTCCGTCGAAGATATTCCACGAGATCTTCAAAACTGAGAGTTTTTCTTACAATTTTAATTGTTTAATAGTTTAATTTATATAAGAAAAAACACTTGAGACATTCAACATTTTTATATACACTTAAAAATGCTGATTTATCTTTTTTGTATGACACGCTGTTATTTATTGTAATGACACTTTTTATAAATTTATAATTAATATACTTTTTAATTTTTTTTATTTAAAGACATTAAAAGTATCACCTTTTTGATAATCAATTTAATTATCAAGAGTTTAAAAAAATTAGAAAATAAAACGATAACAATGAAAATCTACTTTTTGTTGGGGATTATATTAAAATATGACAAATCTCTAAAAGGCATCTATGACAGATTTAGATAATACAGACATACGGGACCACTTGGTCAGCGGCTCGAAGTTATGCAGCTCCGATACCTTTTTGTTAACCGACCTTCCTTTTGGGACATCGAGATTTATCGATCAACGATCGTCCGAGAACGACATCGGGACAAAATTAGTTATAGAAAGACCGACTTACCAGCAGATTGACAGCACCGGTGTGATCGTCCACCCATATGAGCAGGATGTCGGCGCCCTTCATGTTGCTCTTCTCGTTGAAACCGATGCCCACGTAGCCCAGAGTCTTGGCTGTGACCCTGAAGGTCACTTCTTTGTCATACGAGGGATCCCACTCGAGAACGACGTTTCCGTCTTCGTCCAGCTTTTCGTATCTCGTGAAATTCAGAGTTTTCGCGCTTCTCTTAAATCTACCACTCATTATTTCACTTTTGATTTGCCTCTTCGTCTCTCGTATATTCTTTTCCGGTTTTTCCAAAAATGGAAAATACTTCTTTGGCACCCGATTGCCCAAAGGTTTCCTCTTGAAGCTCGGATTATCAAACAGCTGCGGATTTATCCGTTCGTTTGTGCTGATAATCTCGAATTGCGAGTTCTCTTTGTTTTCTGTTTCCTCTTCGACGTTCTTCCAATCCTTCTCTAAGATCTTCTCGTCGAGTTTCAAAGATTCGATAGTGAATTTGTCTACGTTAGTTTGATTGTCTAAAGTCAGAATTTTGTCCTCCAACGCTTTCTTTTCCGTTATGGGATCCCGAGATGTGTTCGATTCTACTTTGGATACAACTGTTGTTTCTTTGAACTGTTGGTTTTTCGAGAATGTTTGTATCGCGTTTAAAACAATCTTGTACTGATCAGGATTTAAGTGTTTATCTAGTGGATTGGGATGATTCAAAGCATCATTTCCATAAGGAATTAATACATCTGTTATTCTCTTGTTGATCGCGTACCAATTCTCGTCGACGTCCAATCGCTGCTTCTTGAAATTACCAACTCTGAGTACCGGTTCGGCCTCGACGTCTTCGCTCCTCTTTATTCTCTTGGAGACAGAATTCATAGGATACCGCCTGTTTCTGTACAACATTGTCCTCATCGTTTCATCCATGTGCTGGACGTAGAGATCCAGTAGATCGGCTTTGACCACCCAGCACACGATCAGCGTCACGATCATCCTTGCTAACAACATCTTCTTCCGCTTCCTTTTTCTCGTTCTGATCCTTCATACGATCATTTAAATGAAGTTCGCCGATTCGCGTTTTACTATCGGTATCATCAGTTTATCTTCTGTTTTTCTAATTAAGTTATAAACGTAACACTCTGTTGAGTAATTGAATTCAATTTGTCACTATCATTTTGTATTTGCTCGAATTTGAGGATAATCTTGCAAAATTTAATTATTAATTTATTGTAAACACAAAACTATTACAAAATAATTCTGTGAGGGAAAAACTTTTGTTTATTGTTTTCTTTTTTCTGGAAAGTTAAATCGGAAACTAATATTAAACTTGATTGATTGTCCACTTTGTGTAAAAAATTTAGACGCCTTAAAATATGTTTTCTGTCACAAATTCTCGTTAAGTCAATTTCCAACACACACGTCTAAGGAACAACCTTCCATACATGTTGCGCGCACGACAGTTGTGCCGGGACTAATTTAAACACGCGGCAGCCGCTGCCCCTGCAGATGCTTGCAGCTGCTTACCTGGCTGCGGTCCCCTTCCTTCAGGCCCCGGATACAGGGACGTATTGATTGTGGCAGACAACGGTTATTAAATCGCGCTGATATAATTCTTCTGATATATTTTTTCTGTTGTGATATGACAAACTAGGAATATCAAATCTACGAGTCTAGAAATCTTAATCTCTTAAGGTTTTAGATCTATGTAAATTTATTTTAAAATAAATTTAGTTAAAAATATTCTCACATATGTCGATATCCCATTTACTATTTCAGCGCACAGACATTTTGTAACTCTTTCTAAAGATGTGCTTTTCGACTGATTATATTATGTGTGCGACAATATTTATTTAACTTGTGCAACTTGTGTAATTTGCGGAAAAATACGTACTAGCGATTGTATCTTTGTGAACATGCGAGAATTGAGTCGCCAAAGATACAAAATCATAATGATCGCGTAATGTAAGATTCTCCTTCATGACTTCGCGAGCGAATTTACTCGAACTGTCGAGTACGGTAATTGCACACGACTTGCGTACGCAATTATTCATCGCTGCGGTTGATGCGTGCGTTTACGAGAAGGTTCGACGAGAAACGAAAGTAGAACCTTGCGCTTTGGTGCTTCCTGCGGAAGCGTCTCTCGTTTTTTTCCTCCCTTTGTAACCGGAGACGCGCACATCGATGACGCAGCGGTGGTGGCGTTCTCTTTCCAGAAAGAAACGAGGGGCTGCAAAACGAGGGGCAGATGCGAACCTTTGGCACGCGCCTTTCTGTTCCCCTCAGTGATCCTCATACTGGACTTCGCTCTTCCGCACACAAGCGGTACTTCATAAAATTTAGGTTTTTCTTCTTCTCCCTACGTGTTGAAATATATATACACAAGAAGAATTTATTAGTTGTCTTGAATTTACACAAGATATACTCATATTGTTTTATCAATTGTTTATATAAATGATTGTGTAAATTAAATCTTATTTCTTTATATGATTGATAAGTAAATAAATTGATTGTGAAAATTTTTTCTGTGATTCATTGCGCGAAACAATTATTCGGTCGATATGCATTGCCGTTTATTTGTCAATGCATGATTCATGATTATAGATTGATAGCATATCAATGGAGGCGCTCTCGATTCAGTGTTTAATCGTGCGAATCCCATCCGGCCGCCTCGGACATATTATTCCACTCTTAAGCGTTCGCGCGTGTTCAGAAGCCAACTCTCTGTATCGAGTTACTTCCTGTAACTGACATTGAAACACTATACTTTATGTACGAGAGGGGTTACCGATATAAGTATTCTTATTCTTCTCGCCGACGAGGTTCAGGGGATATCGATCGATATAAAAATACAACAGAAAACGCGTCCGCGACGAAGAACCTTCTTTAGACAACGAGGCTTTTGGTCGTGTCACCCATTATTTTAATTCCAAAACGAAATATATATAATAATCGCATATAATATACAAAAAATACATTAAATGTAAATAAAGTAAATTAAATATATAATTTATCTGATTAAATAAAGTTTAGGTTTTGAATTTTTTGTTGTAAATATATGCCATACACTCTTCAATATAAAAGATATTGTCAAACAAAGTGAGAAAGTTGCTGAATTACTTTTCGCGACAGGTGCGTGTGTTGAGAAATCGCGATTCCAAACTTTGTTTTTTCTCTCTTTGTATTTTGCAGCTTGTTCACGATTAGTACATATTCTTATCATAAAAAACGCCAAAGAATAAGAAAGAGAAAGAGAGAAAGATATGTGTGACAGTACGTGGCTATTAGTATTCATCGTTTTCTTCCACTCCGCGTTTAGGGATTTCTTATTTACGAGAGAAGTAACAGCCACGGTATATATCGGGCTCGGAAATCGCGTCGTCCTGGGAAAAACCGATGAAGCCGTGCAATACGCGCGCGGGGAGCATAAGAAACGATTCATTTCTATCGGCTACACGTGCACACACGCGGAGTAGAGTCGATGATCAATATCGAGACACGCTCGATCAATCGTGCATTCCGCGCGCGTAGATCAGTATCCTCGCCGCATCAATGCCCGAAATAAATTATCGCCGAGACGAAGGTTCCGCTCGTTGATCGGACAAAAATCCCGATTATATTCTCAAGCGCGGGACATTGCGTTATCAATATTAATCGACAGCGAAAACGTATCCGAGCACATTAACACGTTAGGTCAATCTCGGTGAAGTCAGACGCTATGATTAATCATGAAAATCATGATGGCAAAACCAAAACATAAGCATATATGTATTGTTCAGATAATTATAATGATTTAATTAATTCGAATAAAGAGTCGTGCTAATGATAAATAACGATGCGAATCAAAATTAAATCCTAGTCAAATTATTGTTTGAATTCACATTACCTTTTAAATTTATTCTGTGAATGGAAAATTCTTTGCATTTCTTTGTAAGGTTTTTTTTTATCAGAACTCCAATGACTTTTCGTCATCTATCGCATCTATAGGAAAAAAAAATTATTGTTATATCTATACTTTTATTCTATAAATATAAATTAGTGTCTATTACACTTACAGATGATAAAAATATCCTGGCAAAAACATGTATCTAAATGTTTTCATAAATCGCTTATATATGTCGCGTATAATATGCACAAAAATACAAACAAATATTTTTTCGCAGCTGTTAAATAAGTTGAAAATGAAAATGTAAAAGAGAATTAAATGTCGTTTTTAATTCACCTGTCGCTCGCGCACGCCCAAGATTATACACCTGCTAACGTGTACGTATAATAACGATTGGCGCACCATCTGCCTTCTTCAAGGCTTCGATATTCCATTGGCGGCGGATTAAAGTGAAAACGCGATAGTTCTGAAATGCCAAACAAAAAACAAAAACAAAGTTTTTCTATAGAATATAATTTAAAATATTAATTAATAAGTATTATGATGTAATATTATTATGTAATGTTATGTATATGTATGTTATGATTCGAGAATAATATAGGATGCTATTCAAGTCTTGTTGTGTATCTCTTGTATCAAAAAGTAAACAGTTAACAGTTTTTATTACATGTTAATAGATATTATATAAAATATGTTCAATTTACCACAAAAGAAGAGATCCGAAAAGTCTCTATTTCTTTAAAAAAAACTTTTATTGCAATGACACAAATCGAAGAAGAAACAGTACTAAAGTCTCTTGCACAATGGACGGAATAGCGATAGCGATAGAAATAACAAAAGTTTTAAGCCCCTTGCACAATGGACGGAATAGCGATAGCGATAAAAATAATACCAGTTGTAAAGAGTTTATATTTATAAATAACGGTAGGAACAGCGGAATCTAACATACAAAAATACACATGTATCAATGCAGATCAGAAAATCAGAATAAGCAATAGCGATAAAATTTCCGACGAGTTGGAATTCTGTGTCTAAAACTGTGTTATTTCTATCGCTATCGCTATTCCTTCCATTGTGCAAGGGGCTTTAAAGAGTTTATATTTAAAAATAAAGATAGGAACAGCGGAATCTAACATACAAAAATACACATGTATCAATGCAGATCAGAAAATCGGAATAAGCAATAGCGATAAAATTTCCGACGAGTTGGAATTCTGTGTTAAAAACTGTGTTATTTCTATCGCTATCGCTATTCCTTCCATTGTGCAAGGGGCTTAACGCCACTAGCGATTTTCCTATCTATTTTTATATTTTTGTGCCATCTCGTGTAGATAACGTTAAGTTCGGTTACAAAACTATTTTACCAAAGATTCAGGTTACTAATGGTTCTGATCTTTGCTGTCACATGATTAAGCGCCATCGCCGCCATCTGACCTTTTCAATCGCAACGTAATTTTCCGTTTACGGCAATAACTTGCGCTTTGTAATATAAGTTAATAATGGGAAACATTGCAGCAAAAGCAGAAGCAAAGCCGGAAGAAAAAAAGAAATTGAAACCTTGCTGTGCCTGTCCCGAAACCAAAAAGGCGAGAGACGCATGGTATCTATTTTATAAATTAATATTTTGATGTATTAGAGGTTACAGAAAGATATATCGCAAAGTATGTGAATTTCGTTATATTATCGTTAATTTCTTATTTATTTATCTTTTTATATAGCATGATCGCTTCAATACTTTGGTATTTTTTTTTGTAGGTAATGTAATGTATAAAAGTAATGAAACAAATTTACTTTTGTGTGCTGTGTAAATGTTATGTATGCTCTACTTATTAAATTTTACATACATATATTACATAAAATTATTTTTGAACACTTTTCAGTATAATAGAAAAGGGCGAAGAAAACTGTGGCGATCTTATAGAAGCCCACAAAGTGTGTATGCGATCAATGGGATTTAACATTTAAGAGATGGAAGTATACAATGTAGGATTGATCGCAACTTCACATTCTGTAAAGTTTTGAAAATGCTCAGGTTGTAGACATATTTACATGTTTATGTACATATGTCTCTGTAAATAATCTTATTTCTAGAATTAGTAGAAAATAAAATATCTGTTAAGTTCTACATAACATAAATGTTGATTATTTAGTAGATCATTGTTTGGTAGCTTTACTTCAGTATACATAGATCTGTGACAGATATAAATTATACTAATGAGTTTTCATAAGAAATAAACATTATCATTCTGTTTTGGAAGAAGTCATCTCAATATAATTCATTTTAGACTTTTTATTTTGACAACTGCACACATTTCATTCTTTGATTTCCATAATTTTATAATAAAGGATGAGAGTAAAGAAGTCCATTATTGGGAATTCTAACAAAGCATATATTTTAATTTAATGTGTGGCTAATGCGAAGGTTTTTACTCCTGCATAACAATTCCACAATTGGATTTCCTTGAACACTCCAAATGAACAGATTCTTAAATCGATATATGATAAAATATTCAATACTATAATTTATAATAATTCATCGACCTTTTTTTTTTTTGCATTCAGTCAATATATGTTATTGCGACGTGGTCCTACTATCGGCTGAAAGACGAATTACATCTGACGGTGCATGATAAATATATCGAAGCTATAAAATAACGCGATACGCCTTCGCACGGCGCGGGAGTTGCGTTCTCGTCAAATTGTCTCGCGCACGCGCGAAAAACCTATATTTTTAACTATAAATACAATTTATATGAAATACGATAATAGAGAATAATGACAATAATTTACTAAGTCACTTAACTGTGTTGCTGAGTATATCATAAATAACAAGTAAATGGACTTTTTCAACTATCTTCTCATTCACAGCATTGCGTTGGACTTACGAGCTAAGACATAAGTAGCCTAGAGTCGATCGAGTAATTAAATAGAATATTTGTAAGTAATATGAAAGTTAGTTGTACTTTATGTGTGTGTTGTGTGTGTGTATCTGAGTAAAGTGAAATACGATATAACGAAGAGTGCAGATGTGTGTAATGTTGTGTGTATTCCAGTATATAATATATATATATATATGTGTGTGTGTGTGTATATATATATATATATAATATGAAAAATGCAACTTTTGCAGACACTCCAGACTCTTTCGTAAAAGCGTTTTTTTAGCAATCAAAATGTGTCAAAGAATATCTTTCGTATTGTTATATAAAATTTGTCATAAGGTATATACCATATGTAGCTCTCTCTCGGCACTTTTTATATTGACTAAAAGTCGACAACACTTTGATGGAAAAAGTCTTCGTTATAAATTGTAAGATATATAGAATGGAACAAGTGCAGGGAACACCGTGCTGATTCTGGAGCGTTTCCAAGAGTGCACCTGTTTTATTTTTTTTTAGACGAATGTGAGTAATTAGCGTCGTATTGATAACAGCATCACAGCTACGAAAAAGTCTCGTTTTTTTCAAGCTCTGCCACGGCATTTTCAATGACGCAATCGATCGGTACAAGACAGATTGGTCGACTGAAGGTTAGCACAGCCTGTTCTGTGCGACGAAAATTGAGCAGAACACTTGGACAAGAAATGACAATTAATTTAACACTATCTTTTCTGTCGAATCTTTCACGGTTTTCTAATGTGATAATTTTTTTTCGCAGAAATTCACACTCACCATAATACAGTAAATTTTTTTTTTTTTTTTTATTAAAGATAGACTTTCTCCGTTCGGAAAGAATTACGTGTTTGAACGCGTTGAAGAGCTGTTCTTGTTTTTGATATTTAAACATTAGCTCCGCAAAATCGTTCATCGCGTTGCAGGCTTTGCGCGGACGCCACGATTCAAGTCAGTCCATATCATTAAGGCTAAGAGATGCAAGAATATATTGTTAAATAATACGATCTGCAACTACTACAATGGAGTAAATTTGGTAGCGGTAAAAGAACATAGGACATCGCAGTCACGTAACTTCAAGGATGCCGCACAAGATTGGTTTGAGGCAGTAGTCTATAGTCTTCACGCCAGGCTCGACTTTTTCTCGAACTAGTAACTCTCACCTGTCTTGAGGTACACGCATTGATCGTAGTACTTTACTTTGCTGCAACAAAAATAGACACAAAAAATAACACAGACGTATTATGCACGCCATTAATAAATAACAGAGCAATTTAAAGGCGCCTATATTACCTGATATTGCGCTTCTGTGTCCATGGTACCGGTTACAGCTACAACTTGATACTGTCTGGCTTTCATTGCGGCGGTAGACTTTCGTACGAGTCTCATGGCGCCAGGTGCGCTACTTGTACTGTTGAAATGCGCCATTTGTGCCGGGCTGTGACTCGGATCCAGTACCAGCATAGTTATCGAACCGTCTCTCAACTGTTCTACTCCCATTATTGTTCTGCTATGTCCTAAATTTAAAAAAAAAAAGTGAGATATGAGTAACTTGGCTTTAATTTCTCAAGAATGCGCAAAAAAAATGTTTACCTTGATGTTGAAGATAAAGCGGTGGCTTGAAGTCGTCGCATCGTTGAAAGTACTGTAAAACCCAATTGAACAATTCGGGATGGCCGCCGTCCGCACTGGTAGGTCTATGGAAGTCCACCAGCTGGCACCTGTACGAAGTCAGGGAGAGAAAAATGTGCATTGTATGATATGACGATCAGTTGAGATCATGGAACTTACTTTATTCTCAAGCTAGACAGCAGCGTGAATACCTCCGTAGCGCCGATCCACTTCCTAGTGTTAACGAGTTTACCGCCGAGCTGCTCCGCGCCCTGAATATCGAAACCCTGGGCCCATGCCCACTCAATCATCTTCTGCAATCTAGAAATCGACGGCATGGAGCTGCGTAGCGGATTCTCCGTGGAACTTCCACTCACCCCAGAGCTCCACGCTTTATAAACTAGCTCGTTGTACCCTGTGTGCTGTAAGAGAGACGAGATTAGCATTTGCATGTTCCTGTAACCGCAGCCCCAGCCTTTGTCGCCATATGTCGATGCGTAATGGTCCACGGTAGAACACATCCAGGTGTTTACTACGTTACTGCAAGCCTGACTAATGGCTCGTACTTTCGGGACCAGCCCTGAAAAAAAACGATATATTAAGAAATTCTTCGATATACAAATAGCTATTTTTCATAAAAAAAAATATTCCTGTTAACTATTTACCGCGTGTACAAGAACTACCGTCGTCGATGCCACTACTCTCGGCGACTCTGAGTTCGATTTGCCTCTCGAAGAAATCAGCTACCGTCATTTCGCCCGCATACACAGCCCGCTGCATATTAGTGACACTTTGCTCTCTGAAGTTACCCTGATTGTCCATACCGTATTGCGCTCTCAACATCTCGAATTCGCGCTGCTCACGCAGCTTTCTTACTTCCTTCTCCCTTCTCTCCATATCTTTCGCCAGCATTCGGTCAGTCGACACGTCTGGCGTCACAGGTGAAGGCGTGCTCTTTTTGTTGAAATGTTCTTCGATGTGTGCCATTAGGTCGTCATTGTTTTTAAATAATGTACTAAGACATACTGGGCATGCGGGTGTCGAAGAGTCGCTACCGACGGTAGCTATGTCGGATTGTGAGGTTGTTCCATTCGCAGGACTGCAAAAAAGAAAACAAATATTTATCATGAATTTTCCAAGAAAATACTTTTAGTTGCTTTAAAACTATATTATTCTGAACCACATTGCAAAAAGATTTATTATACCTAAGTATATCCTTGTGTTCAATATTAACATGTAACTCAAGATCAGAAGAATTTGGAAAAGATGTAACACAAAGGGGGCAGTTGAATACTCCATCCCGAGACGGCGGTGATTCCGGCGGGAAGGATGGCGAAGTGAGATCAAAGTGTTGGCGATTGATATGCTCTTCCAGTCTCAGAGGACTGTCGGAACTGTAGGGGCACATCGGGCACTCCTGCACTGGAAGTTTTGGGGAAGCGTGGGAACGCAGTTGTAGATTTAGGCCTGAACGCAGTGGTGAACCTTGGCCAGCTGCACCTTCCAATACTAAACAACAAACAAACAAACAAATCGTATGCTCATTTCTCTCGTTCTCATGGAGTGAATTCTATCAGATAGAATCTAAAAACTCTGTGCACATTTATTACCGGCATTAGCGTTGTTGTTGTTATTGTTATTATTCATATTAGGATTCGATATTTCCGGCTTTCTCGACGACATTTGCTGTTGCTGATGTTGCTTGACACGCTGAACACCCAGAGAACTACCCCAACCGTTCTGCAAATGAGGTGGTCGCAGAGACATGGACGGCGAGGACGCTCGACACTCGTCGCGCCTATTGTGTTCTTCCATCAGCGAGTCGTCGTCGATGAATGCCATCATGTCATTCTCCGGGGTGCTGTAAGTAAACAGAGTTTTAACGATCGAATGACTTTGACTGTGTCAAAGACGCGTGTAAATATACAATAACGTAAATATTAAGTAAAATATTCATTCATTACATTTTAATCCATTTTTTTATACATCCGTCGACACGCCGTCGCTTTCTGCAATTTGTTCGCAACATCGTCAGTTAAGTTTATATAATGACATTTGAATAAACGTGTGTGTTATTAACATTACACGTCAAAGGACGCGGAACGTATGATTACTCGACCATATGGTTTATGGTTGGCGGGAAAATGTAATGTAGTTATATATAATTTTTGTTACAAAAATCAACACAGATGGCGCTAGAAACTTGCATTGTCTATGGTTATCAGTTGCTAAAAATTCTTGATGACAAAAGTTACCGATTGCTGAGAATTCAGATTAGTGTTGATACCTCTCTCTGAACTTACTTTTCACGTACGCGTTTGGAATCGTTTAAAATTGTTTAAACACATTCATTTATTATCAGTATTGGAAGTAACTGTTACGAAGTGCGCCTTACAAAGGGATCCTACTGCATAATGATAACTATTCCGTCAAGAAGATGCTTACCTCGGCGTCAAGTAGTCCAGATGAGCGCTGTTGACGTGGACCAGCATCTCCGTGGGCGAGATCTCGCCCAGATCGCAAAACGGACAGTTGGCGGCACCCTGGAGATGATATTGCACCATATGCGAACGCATCTCTTCGTCGTTGAAGCCCTCCAGGCCGCAAATCTCGCATGTGTAGTTCATCTCTGGCGGTTTGCTGGATGCCATTTTCAGCGAGGTAACGATATCCTTCGTCAAAAATTTAATCCACCTCATTCATTGATCACGCAAAGATATATAATGAAATCATCTCGTTGCAAATTCAATAGCGCAAGCTAAATAGCGCGCGTTCTTCGAGGACGCAGGTGGGACGGGATTAATTTCAAGTATCCGGAGTAAATAATGGAGGAACGTGTTGGCGGATCAGATAAAGATAATCCCTCACGTAAATATCATTACCTGACGCTTGCAACGGAAGCACCTTGATTATCCGGTTAGTTACTTTACTTTAAAATTGACATACAATTGACAGAGATAGTAAAATGAAATCCTAAAAGAGAGAAAGTAAATTTAAATTCATAATAAAAGATACAGTATAAATAAATAAGCATGTAAATATATTATGAAAAAATACATAACTATATGTACACATACACATATGTGTATATTTTTATAATTGTGTACTATAAAAATAATAAAAAATAACTATATAAAACATTAACACTAATCGAATAACACAAAATTCAAATGATCAATATTTATTCTAATACTTTTTTCTTTTTCTTTTATTTTCAGTTTGTTTCTGTATTTTGGAAGGATGCTTTGTGAAATATAGAAAAGTTACGTAGATGGAAACATTTTCGGATTGAACGCACAATATAGAACAAAGGTAAGATCGCGCGAGAGAGAAAGTGATTACTATTACGATCTTATGGATCTTGTTGGGTTAACACACGCGGATAATTTGACATTATATGCTCGATTTCGATTAGTTTCTTTCGACAATCGATAAGGTCTCAGGTTAGCATGTTCTCGCGAACAAACCCGTAATTTCTGGACGATTCTTCGACATCTTTTAAAAAACGAAACAGTCCCTCTCCGGAAAACCTCAACTTTCACTCAATCACTTAACTTAAGTAACAACACACGTATAATTAATTAAATCTCTTTTTAAATATCACAACTAAACTAAAGAATTTGGAATTTAATTTAGTTAAAAGGAACTGTGTGGCAGTTTTAAATTTGTTTGACATATACACTGACGTACACACTGTCGGTGTTATCCTTCAGAAAGCATTGATGCGGAAATAGTTCAAGAAATATTATTTAATTGTCGAAAATAGTCTACATGCGCTCGCGATACACCTGAGCGATTTTACAACTCAGTAACATCGCTCGGTTCTTCTTGCTTCCGATTTCTCTGAGAAGCGCGATCGAATCGCTTTTCCCGACCGTGAAACAAGGTTGCGATGATACGCTGACAACACAGTAACTATTTATATATGTAGCGAGATGCACTTACTCTTCTGTGACTTTTAGTATTTTCTTATAAAATTTTTCAGCGACTTTTTGGTCAAATAGATTAATCAAAAGAAATTGAGATCACTATAAGTTATCGCAACTTTTCAATTAATCGCGTTTATCGCAAAATATGTAATTTTGATAAAATTTAGACAGTTTGTCGAGCGCATATTTTTCATAGCACTGTATCATCCGTCACCGCACCTGCACCTAAACGTTGCTTCTCTCACCTCCTCAGCGATTTCACAATCAGATGATGCCTAATGCCGTATCGCGACGTCGAAACGGCGAGTCAATCGATGGACTCTCGCCAGCCGAAGGCCAGCAGGAAGTCCGAGGGAATCCATAATTTTTTCCCGCAACGGAGACAAGACGTTTCGGCAACGTCGTGTCGACGATGGATCGCAGCGATGATCGACGAGCGGGAATGACGATCGGGATGACGGCAACGGGACGCGTGTAACTTCGCCGTCTCGCGGGAAAAGGAGAAAAAGAGGGCGTCGCGACTCTTTTATTTGCTCGCCCCCGATGAAACTAGGCCACCGAGTGACTCGCACGAGAAAACGGCCGCCGCTAGGTCGGGTTGACCCATTTCTGGGTCTCTTGCACTCACGATGAGTACACGCGCACTCGGAAGTCGTAACGTCTGGCTTCTGTTCTTCACGCTTCCTTCCTTCGCCCGCACTCTTCCGGATCTTCGTTATACTCGTTTACTCGCTCACTTGCGTTCACGCATCCACTCACCGAACTGCCGGATCGATCACATTTGCACTCTCCTCGTGGTAGGCCCTCGCGATCGTCTCCGCGAGAAGCGGGACCGCCGGTTGCCTAACACGCAGCTCCGTTGTTCGGCTCCATATGACGGATAGCGCCGCAGTCCGTTAGTCTGGACGATTTTATGACTCCGCTTCCCTTCGCACGGTGGGTGGCCACCCCCTACGACATGCGCCTGCTGACCGCACGAGCCGCACCGACGCCACCCCCGACGGCAACGCTCTTGACGCTATACTCAACGTTCTTTTTAAGTGCGCCGTCGGTAACGCCGTCTCGCGAAAGTGATTTACAATGTATTACAATAAAAAATAAAAATAAAATAAAATAAATACACCTATTAATATAATTTTCATTATGACGACAGAGTCCAATACTCTTATTTAAGATAAAATAATTATTTTATATCTCTCTTTACATTTGTTTTAAATGCATAAACGCGAAAAAGTAACAACAATGCTTTGTTATGTAATTGATAAGTTTCTGGAATGAGCTTGACGCAATCTGCCAGATTCTTCAATCTTCATCCCGCGCTTCTTGTTCTACTGAATGAAGAGTATGCAAAACTATGCGAGACATGCGTCGTGGCATTTTCCGACGGCTTTTGACATTACAATTATAACGGGACAATGGCAACGTCACGTTTGCCATTGTGCAAATGATGCGCGCGATCTACCCGTGAACGGCGACGCGCTCATCCATCGTGCGTTCCAATTTCTCTAATCGTTCTCGCATTGTCTTTTCATGCCCGACCTTTCCATAATGACAAGTCGGCGCGTAAAAAGAAGAGGCCCGCGTGCATTATCTTAATAAATTGCGGAATATAACACAAGCACGCGCGTAAGTGCCGTTGGACGGGCGGATTCCGCATGGGGTTGGCACGTCGCCCATTATCTTTTTTTTTTCCGCGACGACACCGCGACGCGCGAACGAGCGATCCGCGCATCGCAACACGTTGCGAATCTCCACTCCGTGTGCGTTTGGAATTCTGTTCGCGCGATCGCAATAAATTCGCATAGGAATTTTAATTTCTCACGGTGCGTTGCCGCGCTCGTTCTGACTTCTCGCCTCGCGACTGGCTATAGTCTCATTGGTACGCAGTCGACGATTGACGAGGGATATCGGCGCGTTCAGTACAGAACTATTTTTATTTCTTTTTCTAACTGGAGAATTGTTTTGCTCTCGAAAAAACAGACGAGTCTTTAATGTATATTAGAACTTTTAATTGTGTGTTTTTAAGAAACGGAAATCTGCTTGTTTTTAATGACAATGAGCTCTCATCGCACTCTGATCCGCTATTTATGAGCAATTAAATTTCGTGTTCCGTTAGATGCATACGATGCCGTTCAATTAATCGACGCGCTTTTGCGCGGAGATAATTAATGAATTCTGACTACTTGAGCTAGTTAAATCGAGTCTGGCGAGATTCGCATTGCCGAGTTGTGTTCCGGGTATTAGATCGCTCCGATACGAAAAACTTCCTCAGAACTTTAATTTTTGTTCGAAGAGAAAATAGACGAAAGAAAAAGCGAAAATATATATAAACTTTACCGAGTCAAATATTAAAACAGAAATTTTACAGCGATAAAAGTCAATTCGCCAACTTTTTTCTACTCTATACACGGCTAATTAATCAGATTCTATCACAGCGTGTAAAGTAGAGGCGAGAATAGGACGTAGGCGGGCAAAAAATTGCAAAACTGCAGTTGCATGTGCAAATGTCTCGTTAGCGTTGCAGCGACAACGACCGTCTCATATAGACGACGTCCGTCGGTTTGGTAGCGCGACAGTTTCGCTTCGCAAATTAGTTCGTCTGGCGCATCCCTCCCGCGCAGAAATAAAGATCCTTATGGCATCTCTGGCGAGGCTCGGCGAAGTTAAACCGGTATGCACATTCGCTGCACAAATACCAATCGGATAGAAACAGGTTTTCCCGGAATTGGTATTCACGAGCGGATTTTTTGCCACATGTTCCCGAATATCTCGCGGTAATAATTGAAATATAATCTCGCGTTTTTTTTTTGTTTTTTTTTTGCAAAAATGTCTCTATCAACCGAATGCAGCGATCGATGAATTTAATCAATCAAGGTACAAGATATTCTCGCTGATTTCCGAGAAACAATAAATTATTCACAAGCAACTCGAGGATCGTAAAATTTGCACTTTTCATAAGCATTGAAAAAATTACCCTTAATAAATTCTTATTTTTTTACAAAATTTCACGGCAACTTTATGGCTAATTTAATCATCCACTTTCGAAGAAAAAGAAGAGATAGAGATGCATCGTGAGATCGCGGACTAGGATTACGTTCCTCTACACATGTGTGTTATCGCATGATCGTTGGTCACCGCAAGCAAGTCGATTGATTTGTACGTCGTTACTCATCGCTAATTATCTATGCGCGACAGGTAATAGTGAATGCTCAGATAAGGTAGCTTGCCCGTAGCACGGAGGTCCGCTGGACCGAGAGCATACAATCCAGGGGTGTTAAATATTTATTCGCGATCATGTTCGATTAACATATAGCGAACATGTCGTCTTTGAAAGAACACTTTGAACTGCGCCGTCGAGCGTTAACTCTTTCCGCGTTTTACCAGTCGAGAGACGAGCGGACTTTAGACCATACTTACACACATTACTATCTCGGAATCCGAGATAACGAATAGCGGGAATATGTTTGAGTATGAATAATTAGTAAACACATTCGATATGTGATTTTCTTCCACAAACTCTTTACATATGCATATATACGCGGTTCTCGTTGAATGATCGGTCGACGTTATATGCAAAAATGTGTTAAACGGCGCGACATAAAAAATGATACGCGCTCGTAATTGGGTTGTGGCGCGGGAATAAAACTGCGCATTTTAAACTTAATTTACTGAAAATTAGTAGTACCCGCTGGGTTAAACGCACATTTTTGCACAACACCCGTGAATTGTGCAACGCAACGCAAATGACACACCGCAATGCCGTTATTTACAACAGCAGTAGAATAAACGGTCTTCTTCCTCTTACGAAGAGACAAAGAGATTGAGAGAAGCAGATGAGACTGAAGGGAGTGAGAAAAGGACGGAGATATAGAGACCGGTTGGCGGCTGCCCACGTGTGGATAGAAGGCGATTTATCGACGGAATAAATTAATAAATTACAAGCGCTCCGAGAATCCGCTCCGATCAGTCAATCAAATGACCGAGGACGGTATTTTCGAACACCCATCGGCCGCCGATAAAAAATGAACGGTCCTGTACGCGAACTGATCTCTGACTGCCGTGATAAATCGAACATTGTAGAAACATGCGAGCTATGCAACTTCGATCGAAATCTTGCTCCGGACTCTTTAATTGAGCCGTTTTCGTAAGTTGGAACACGCAAAGTTCGAAAATGGTTTCAACTATAACCAATAATCCCAGTAAAATCGTCGAGTGCATATATACGAAAATATTTATATTGTAAATAACAAATTTAATCTTTATTCTGTCGGTCTGCGATAATACATATGTTCGTTATCATGGGATAAGCGTAAGTGTGGCGAAGCGAACGTGACCGATGTCTAACAAGGATTTTGTGTGCAGGATTTTATGTCATCAGCTGTGGCGTATATCAATACGAGTATTAAAACCGTACATGGATTATTCGAAGATTTTACTGGCATCAGACATCGCGCCGTTATCGGCGGAAGTAATGTTTTTTGGGTTATCGGCTTTCCCTTTCCCCGGAATATGGTATGTCATATTCCTCGAAGCTCATCTCACGAGCTCTCACGACGACGGTCCATAATAACGCTAGATTTACGAGCACGAACTGATTTTCGTCTGACCCATCGCGGTCTGAGAAGAGCGCGCACTTGAAAAGATGCTGCGCAAGAATGAACGACGGTCAAGTGGTTCATTACGCTCTTTCTCCCGTGGTTTTCCAATTCGTTTGTTCTTATCTCTTCCCCTGGCACTCTAGCCGAACTCTACGTCACGCTGAGAGAAACAAGCCGAAAGGTAAAGAGCGTCATGCAACGCGATCGCAAAATTCCATGTCTACATTATGTTAATGCCATAAAAATAGACGAATGATTTAACGCCTAAAATTTTTTCTTCAGATACCAAGGAGTTGATAAAAAAAAAAGAATGTATCCGTTTTCTCTGTGTGAAAACGGATGTTTTTCACAATCTTCCAACTATTTTCGACGATCGAGAGTCATTGGAAATAGAGAGAGAAGATCTTGCCATACAGAGATATGCTCAAGACTTGAAGATGATGCCATATCTTGCTACTTGTGCGCGTAACAAAGAACTTGTCATGACGTGTGCAGTTAAGAGGGCTACGGGAGAAAATACGGGGTCCTTGTGGGTATACGGCCGAAGATGTCACAATAGCGGTGCACCGCGTGACAACCGCTCGAGCCACGCGTCTTTTCCCACCCACACACGCACGCATACGCACTTTGTCGCCGTCTCTCTTTCTCACTCTCTCTCTCGCCCTCGTCGTCCCGATGCCCCTTGTCGCGACACTCGACGAAGCTCCCCCTCGGTCTCTTCTCCTCGTTTCTTCCTCTCACCCACTCACAGTCAGTAAAAAGCTCAACTCGTGGCTCGTAAGTGCCACGAAAAGCTCAGTCGTTCGCGAGCTGTGCTCGAGTGCACGTCTCAGATCTGTGCGAGTGTCGCGCGTGTCACGTGCCGACATGTGAGTCTTTTACGTATCTCGAGATTACTGAGATTTTCTTCCTTTTTATTTTCTTTTTTCTGATTATTATCCCTTAAACGTCGAAACACGTGTGTCTGCGAATTACATACTTAGAGAGATGAGGTGAGGAACTTGCACGTTATCACGGACGAAAGTTTCGAAAGAAAGGCGCATTTCCGCACGCGCGCGTAGAAAAAATGCGTTATTCAAGAATGATACTGATAACGGCGATTGCGATGGTCTTCGCACCGATCGTCGCGAATCCCTTTCTCGAGGCCGCTCAAGGTAATTTATTTTTCTCTTCTATGACAAATATTTACTTACAATTTATTTTACAAACTTATACACATTTTTGTTTATCAATAATGTTTTAATTTTATCAATTTTAGTTCACAATCTCTCTAAATGGTCTAATAACTTACGATCAATAAGCGAATCCTTTTGATTCTAAGATCCTAAAAAATTTACAGTCACAAAGCCATTATATCGATTGCGCCAAAATCGATATAAGACACGGAAATTTCTTCACCGGAAATATTGGCGGTAATATATCTCTTTTCAACGAAAAAACAGATATGTAAAACCACTAATTTATCATGGCGCGTTATTTGTCACGGAGCGCGTTGCAGATGAACCGTGATTATTTTTAAGAACTACGCATGGTCGATGTCGCGCGACACTGATGGCGCTCTTTCGTGCGGCGTGCAAAAGTATATATACAAGAGCAGATTCATTGAACCCTTTCTCATATTCGTCATCGTACGGCAAGAAGATATCAACGGCAACTTCCCGTCACATGTGCGTGCACATGAGTCTTCTTCGCTCCTCTAATCCCTTCGTCCCGCCATCACGCTAATTTTTTCATTCCAGCGTCCCGTGGTAAGTCGACACGACAACTTTTAATGTCTTTCTTTGCTCAGTATGTCGTTGACAACGTCGAGAGAACAGGCAAAAGACTATGCAAGAATTTCGAGAGAGAGCTTTTTTTCACTGAGATTCTCTTGAAATTATTTCTCAGTAACAAGAGCGTCAAATTCTCACGGATCGTGTGGCGTTGCAAAAAGCTCCGCTTCTTTCGTTCTCTTCTTCGGACGATGTATATTTTCGATTTACATTTCGGAGATAGTATTTGCATTTCCATTTACTTACTTTGAAATATAAACGACGACTTTCGAAAAATCACAAGAATATTAAATAAGATAAAAGATTTCTTGAAATTTTTTAACTTCGAGATTACAAGGAACACGCGCGCGCGCGCAATCTCTCGCGGAATATTTGAAAGTAAAAACACATGTGCTCGTCGCGAGGTGAGTATAAATGTCGCAATTAGCGCCGATAACTATATAAGTTAGCGCGAGATAACATGATTATATTAATACGCGTGTCCTTTTATTCGCATTTTGTTCTCGATATAATCGTAAAATAGCGAGCGCGCGATTGCAGCTTGAGATCTGTTAAGAGAATCCGTTTCATCGAGAGACGCGCGGTTTCCGCAACGGTATATCTTCTCTCTTCATTTCCTCTGTCTCTCAGCTCTCTTTAATCTTTCCTGAAATTTACATGGTGCACGTGCGTACGTGTGAACGAGGTGTCGCTTAACGGTCTCTTCTTCTCTCGCCTTCGGCCAGGCTCTCCTCGGAAAGGCGCACTTCGCGCACAAATAAGAGAAAACGAAGGGACGTACAAGTCGCGAGCCACTGGCGTGTACTTCTCGCATAAATATGTTCACGCACGAAAAAGCCGAAGGTGATAACGCGTTTCCTCGTCTCTTGCATTGCTTTATCAAAAACAATGCGGAGAACACAGCGATTCGAAGAAGTCCCGAGAATCTATGTATGTCGACTTACAAGCGTCTAAAGACAAAAATCTACTTGCGATAAAAGCTTCTTGGAACTGTAAATTTATTGTGATATAAAATATTTAAAATTTTGCTGAAACATCAATTTTATTTAACAAAGTTTGAATTATTTATTTCCAAGTATTTCTCGAATTTTGATTTATTTATTAAAATATTGCAGCGTTATATATCGCGTGTGATTTCTACATAGGATGTGATCTATGTAAAATAAGAGGAAAAAAAAAATAATAACATGAATCAGATGAACTCTCTATTCATCATTCAAGTAATTCTTCCACTCGCGCGAGCGATATCGAGCGTATAAACAGCGACGTGATAGATACATCATTGACGCAGTTTACGCGGAGCGCGTGAATTGCATCCATGTGTCGCAAGCGATTAACATGTTACGTGTAACAGAGAAACGCAAGAGCGATTTATTTACGCGACTGGAAAAACGTACACATATGCGTGACTCGTGCGTTACAAAATTTGCCGGTTGATTTATGCGCACAGAGTCGCGCGCGAATGATTACAGATTCTGCGCGTTACGTAATTACTTCAATTATTTCCTCGATTTCTAATGATATACGACACATAGAAAGCTGTGTATCTTGGGAAAAACAAAATTAAACGTTATAAAACAGCGATCAATTCGATCTGTCTATATTGTTAATTAAACGTGTTCTCTCTATTTTCCAATCATTTATTTATCGCCTCGTTATATATCGCAAGTACAATTTTCTCGTGTAAATTACACAAATATAGATGACAAAAAGACAGAAGTCATGCACGACTTTTCATCAACGCCGTTAATCACGCAAAGCGGTTAAACGTCGCCGCACTCGCGCGATCGTAACGATCGTTATTTGAAATAGATCACCACTTAAAATGTGCCGGTGGTGGTCGTTTTGCAGGCGTAAAAGGCAGCTTGTACGTACAAGGTACACGCACCTTTTGATACCGGCGAGCGAGTGTCGATCATAATGATTCCCGGGGCGTGAATTTGACGCCTGCTCGAAACACGTCGAGTATATAATTTAGCGCGTGTGTCTCTCCGCGACTGGAAATTAGAACGGCGAGACTTACGCAAGGCGGCGCAATATGTGCATAATATAAATGCGCGCGCGCTCAAATACAAAGTTGCGCTCTTGCAGATCGCCGATTGAGATCGATATTGCTAATTAAGCATTAACATCCGCTCATCGCCGCCGCCGCCGCCGTCGCCGCCACCGTCTTCGATCCGCCCTCATCAATGCATTATTATATGCGCCCGTTTATCGTTTTCCAAGTAATTCTAATGCGTGAGTCTAGAATCTAAGTTTCGATAGAATCTAAATTCGCCTAATGTGAACCTAATTATTCTTGTGTAAAAAAATAAAAATCCGCACGAGAACGTTCAGTTAAAGTGGGAAAATGTGTATTATTGAAATAGAACGAGATGATACTATGATAATTATTTTGTCGCGATTGAAATATTGGAGTCTCACCGAAATTACATCGTTTTTGGATTTTAAATAATGATCGCCGTTTATTTGCGCCAGGTTTCACAAGTTTTGAAGCACGCGGCATGTCGCCACCAATATCAAAGATAATTGTCCCATCAGTCGCACGTGTGTCCGCGCCGAACGATCGGCAATTAAATTGGTATATAACTCGAAGCTATATTCAGATATTTCCGGAGAGAAAACACGTGTCACGCGGTAAAGTTTGCGCTCTGCGCCGTGTAATTTTGTCAATCAACAATTAAATCTTTTACGAAGGAAGATTCCTTTCTTTTTTAGTGCTTTTCATCTTAACAGATTTTTACGAGGGCGTTTAGTTTCAATGATTCCGATCGAAATATTTTATTATCGATAATAAAACGCGAGAGGTTCAGCTTACTCGCGTAATAGAAAATAATAAATAACGCGATGTACATAACGTTAAAAGTAGCTTAATAATCGTTATAGCGTTTATTAGTTGCGCTGGTAGAGAAGTAAAGATAGAAGAAGGCGAAGAAGTGAAAGGAGACAGCGAGGTGCTTCAAACGATAAAGACGAATGATATAAATGACATTTCAAATGAACGTATAAATAATTTCTTTGTTTGACGTAATCGAGTTTCTTTAATTTGTCTCTTGTCATCACACACAAACACAATACGAGAGAGAGAAACCAATTAGAATTGTTTTATCAATCGACTTATATGGAAAAAATAAAATAAGATTGAAAACTTGCTTACATTTGCATATCTCCACTTTTATAATTTTTTAATAACGTAACGATATTTTCGTGTTAAAAATTAATTGATCCGAAGATAATTAGGCATGCGTCGTGCATGACGGTCACACTTATCCGACTTCAAAAGTCGAGTCGCGCGTGTCTCGTACAAAGTGAGAGACAAGGATCGTAATTAAAGAAATACAGGGAAGTTTTTGCGCGAATTTTATGGCGACACCCGATGGTGTTCTCCGGAGGACCAGTGTTGTTGCGAATTTTTTGCCGGAAAAAAGAAGCACAAGTTCCAAAGATCCAAAGAAAGAGAGAGAGAGAGAGAGAGAAGCAACAAGCAAAACATGAAGAAGTTAAAGGAAAGAACAACTTTGAATTGGCAGGAGTCTCCACTATGATCACGTGTATGTACTTTTTCCCATCGATATATAAGCTAAGACATTCATGGTGTATACCATGAGAGAGAGAAAGATAAATAAACACATAAAACTCCAGTGACAGTTTCACGCCAGATAAAACATGTCGAGAGACATGTATCTCGAATCCTCTCTTCTTTAATTTCTCCCGCTTGTTCACCTTCTTATCGACCTGCGCTTCTTCTCTCGTTTGCGTCGTAAAATGCACCGGTTTCGCTCGGTGCAACCCATACGATCTCGATGACTGTATTAATTATGTATAATACAATTTCTCCGTGGCTACATGTGTGTGCGCGCTTCTCGTTCGCCTTTCTATATCGGCAGCATGTAATTACGCGTCTATTCGCGAATAACGATGTCGCGTATTCATAATCGAACGATAACGGCCGATGTAGTTGCGAAAGAGAGGGAGTTTCACGATGGCCGAGAATTAATTGCGACACCGATTAACGATGCGTCAATGATGAAGTCCTCTAATGGTATATTCAACCTCCCCGATGCAGACTTTATTTGGTTTACATCTTTGCAAAAAGCAGAAAGTTATATAATAATTAAATATAATATGAGATGTAGTACGTAATATAGAGAGAGTTTTTATAGTAATGATGTATTGTGTGTTAGATAATAATTGACATATAGAAGCTTATAAACACAGATCGTGAAACGTTTATCTCTTCTTCTAGTTTATTTCAATTTAATTCATGGACAATTTTCTGCTCTCGTTGTATCGATGTTTTATTCACCGAGAAAATGGAGATACGTATACATTTTCGCCCGGGAACCATAACACGTCGAAAGCATGATAAAACTTTTACGAGCGAGTCGCGTTGCATCGAACGGGCGGCGGGTCGCGCATCGGGTGCAATTTCGCGGAGAGCTTTTTTTCTGTTTTCCGAGAGCGGTGTGCGCGCATTACGCGCTGTATCCGCTCGTTATCTGAGGGGCGTGAGAGAATTGCGCCCAGGTTTTACGAGCGCAACGACACGCCCGACGTCAGCTTACCGAAAGGCACCGCAGCAGCTGCGTATATATGCAATTGCAAACGCGCGCGCGAAGAAACCGATGCTGTACGACACATTCCCGTCGATCGACGTCACCTCGAGGCGACGACGGTCGTTTAAATTCGTCGGGGAAACCGAGCGACCCCGCTCTCGGTTCCGAGAAGAATCCGCGCCTCGTAACGCGCCGATTTGTCGTAAATCACACGCTCGGAGACGCGTTTATTGTCTCAGAACGCGTGGACTGACATACGAACGAGTGGATAGAAAGCCACTGCTTGATGAACAGAAAGACATAAACGACATCAGTGCATAAATAGTTCGTATGTTGCGAAAATCTCACGACGCATTATCGATACCAATGCGCCGCTTTAATCAGTCGAATAAACAAGGTGGTCTCCTTGTCGCGAACGGTTTTAATTTATTCCATCGGCGAGAATCAAGTATGCGTTAAAAATGTTTTTATCGACGCGAGAGAGTTTCCGTTAGAAACTTGCTCGGGAGCTACTATGCAAAATATAACGCGTGCTGTGAATTTACTCGCCGCCATCAGGATTTACTGCAGATGGAATCGCGCGTGCACGTTGAACGCATTCAATGTACGTACCTACGGTTTTTAACAGGGAAAAAAAGAAACAAAGACCCATGCGCAAGAGGAAACGTCGAATTAAATTTACAACACGTCCTCGGGGCACAGCATTGTGATCCCGCGCAACGTGTAATCTACCGAATGCGCGCAAGGCAAAGCGTTTCGCGCGATCGTTCGCTGGATTCATCGCGTATTATATTGTCGCGGACGATTTTCTATTTTGTTATGCTAATGTCAAGGGTCGCGACGAGAGACGCGTGTGAGATCTCTCTCCCTCTTTCGTTTCATCAAGCACATTAATGGTGTTTAAAATGATCTCGTTCCGTGGAATCTTGAATTAGTCAAATTAAACGGTCCACTCTCCTTTTTAAGCGAAGAGTTATTTGTCACTTCTTGTGTGTGTGACGTTAGTAGCACGTTACCGTCGTCGACTGTTTTTACACGAGCTTCACATCATCGCTCATTTTATATCTGCGTTATTTAGTGTTTTATACGTCACAAGTGTTTCGAAATTAAATATTGTTTTCCATGTGTGATTTTTTTTACAAGTATCAATCGACTTGAATTGTCAACTCGATGTTTTTCATCAAAGTTGATGAACTTCTTCTTTTGACTTAGTGTGGCATGAGTGACGAATGGGACGGAGAAGTGAAGGAGAGACTCGCGCAGTTTAGATCGGTGTAAACGCCGGATGGCCGCGAATGACGGTCCGGTTATTTTTGTGTCGTCCCGCAACAGGAGCCACAAAACGCCGCGCTTAAAGGCGGCGACGCACTTGTCGCCGCGAAATTTCACGTGGAAAACGTCACGGCTCTTTGTGGTGAGGATTCGATTAAAGGCGTCCCGAAACGAGCAAACCGCGAGACTTTTTTACGACCACGATGAGTTTTTACAGCTGCACGCATACGTATATAAAAAGTAAACAGTTTTTAGTTACGCGACCGTATAGGTCGCGGCGACATATGAAATCAGAAATAAGTAACAAATTAATTTTCATAAGTAACGAATAAATAAAAGATTTGAGTCTAGGTTGCACTTGGTGTTTTCTGTCGTTGATATATATTTTTGGAACCAGACGCAAATAAAACTCGGTGACAAACGGATAAGTACCAGATGTCAGTGGCCGATATATGATATGGTTGAATATTCGTATATTCTGTAATAGAAGAACATTTCTCCCTCGCAGAATGAGAGCATTATCATATTTGTTTAAGAACCTGAACGATCTTTGGCACAATTGATACTTTCCATTCCCGACGCACACGACATAGCCGTAATTATAGTTCTTTGTAAGCATCACGAAATTCAAACACGATCTTTGTAATTTCTCTGTATAATAGAATATATTTTGGGAACTTTATAAAAAATTTTATGACTTGAATACACATAGAAAGAGAGAGAGAGAGGGAGGAGAAGGAGTAGCATATATAATTTTATCATCTATGCATTTTTTTCAAAACCTTGTCCACTTGTGTCAGCTCAAAAGGAAACACTTGTGTATACGCGTGTATATGTGACTGTAATCGAACGATTCTGTGAATTAAAGCAAGAGATAGAGAGAGAGGCACAATTTGCTTTTAATTGGTATCTATTAGCTTCATTGTAACGCAAGTGCATACGTGTCTCGGGCGCAGTCGGCGACCCTTACGATTTCATTCGTCACTCTAAAAGGCTTCTTTCACACGAGTCACTTTGATCGAATCCGCACGTTAACTGTGTAAAAGTCGTTAAAGATCTTTTCACGTCAAACGTGACAAGTCGGAAGGAAAACCGTTGACAACCCATTCAACGTCAGAAGCGTAGTAGAAATAGGGACAACCACGCGATGGAGTATGTTCCTCCTCGCGCGCGCGCATATGCATAATTGCGTCACAATCGAGGCGTTGTAAGGGCAATAAACTCGTCGCACGCCACGGCGATAAATCTCGTGCCAAGTTCGAAAAATTAATCTCTCGCGATCCTTCCGACGATGATAGTGATTTTGTTTTATAAATCAAACACTTAGCGAAATAAAGTTTTTTTGACCAGACAAGATATCTTATTCGATTGTTCGATCCGAACGAAGGGAGACGATTCCCCTCCGTCGTTTAATAATTGAAGACGCTGGGAAGAAAGGGGACACAAAGTGTGTTCCTCGACGCTGTTGTGTGCACGACACATTGCAGTCACTAGATGCAACGGAAACTTTAATATTTGAATCACCGGCGAAAAATATTGATTTTTTTAAACAAAATCCACGGCACAAATTTTATTTTATTCTATATTTTTTAATAAAAAATATTTCACACACGTAAAATTTTATTGTATAAGAACAAAAATATGATGATATTTGTTTATTTAAAAATATGAAATATGTAACAATATTTTAATCTCTCAATAATTTTTAGACAAGTAACATGAAATAAAAAAATGTAATTTCTATTCCTTTTGTTAATCGGATTTTTAATCTCGCGCGCTATATGTGAGGTCTTTCGGTCGGCAAAGTTTTGACACATCGTGCTCCATCCAGACTCGTAAAAGCGGATCCTTTCTCTTGCATTCTGTCCCTCTTATTCTGATGTAACGCAGGACACGCGTCTGTTTCGTATCAGCGAAATACCGGAAAACGATTCGTCGGATACATAACGCCTCTTCGTTTGGACTATAATTTCCATCTGTTCGCAATGCACGAAGCTAAATATCCACTTTCCGTGTTGCAGAGATGTCCTGCTGCTCGATGGCTGCTGGATCCTGTCGGAATGTCTGTTCCAAGGTATGCATTTTAAATAAGCATGGTATATTGCGCTCCTTGTGTCTCTTCTTCGAGAGAACTCTCAAGAGAAAAATATGTGCATTCTAAGGTTTATTAGCGACTGAGATTATATATTGGATAATAACGCAAACAAAATTCGCGAAATCCGAACCGTCTGTAAATTCAGAATTAATGCACGGGATTCAAGCCAGGTGAAAAGATACTGCTTTCTTTTGCGTTGATGAGAAATTAGTCCTGCAAACATTCCGCAAGGCGTCGCGGAATATAATCTATTAATTATATGCAAAAGGAGAAGCCCCGTGGGAATTTCAAAAAAGCAATCTCGACGGCACGATCGTCCGTCGGATGAATGCGATATCGCGCAGCTGATAAATATCCGTGAGCCGACACCGAAACGATAAAGGACACGAAATATGTCGTGCCCGCGGATATATTAGGATCTGGGAAATAAAAACGGGACCGAAAAGAAGAGAGGGAGAGAGGAAAGAGAAATGGATAGGTGAAAAAAGAGGAGAAGAGCACCTTTGCGTTGCTTTCTTCGATGAGGGTTTCTCGACGTGGGGTGCGCGCGCGTCTTGTTGCAGCCTCTTTCGTGGTGACTGCGGGGGCCTTCCTCTTCGGAGATAATATCGGGGACACACCGGGGACCCGCTGCGAGATTTACACGGGAGTCTCGCCGGGACGTCCCGTGAGGCTCATTCATACGCAAATATTACGAATTGACGCGTTGAACACGGTGGACGTACACCGTGCGTTATCAACGATATCGTGTCTCCATGCAGTTTGTTCGACGAGTGAAGAATAGGGGGGAGGACGTATTTTGAGCGAGCTTTTGTAGATTTCCGATTACGTACGCGAAAATCTCATACATAAATAATATTTCATTACCAACAAAACTGTTATGTAAATTCTTATGCGCGATATAACGCGTCTGCTTTACACAAACTTTTGCTGTTAAAATCACAAACATAATTATTTCTAAAAATTTCACCTTTACACAAATTTATGTCAGTATATAATTTTTTTGTACATGCATACTTTGTATTTACCGTGTTTGGTCGTTTGATATATGTGACGCGCGACAATGCAGGTGTAGACACATTTTAAGAAAGCCGTCTTTCTCAGGATCGTCTCGCTTGACTATTGATGAGCGTTTCCCTCTTGGTCATCCAACAGCGAAATAACCGGATATCGTGACGGAAGCTTCATGTTATGTGACACGTTATTCCTGTGCTATAAACGAGAAAGACATCTCGTTTTCGTCGAAAACTATTCTCTTCTTATTCGCCTCAGCATCCATCTTTATTGCTTCCTCATCTCATGAAACTGTTTTTTTTTTTTTTTAACACATACACACAGCTTGTTTTAAAATATATTAGTTTTCTCACATTGACCACAACGTGATATTATATGCTATATATTAAGTCAAAAAATACGAGTCTAAAAAAGTTTGTTCAATTTTGTTTATTTGCGGTTTCCACAAAAAAATCAAATGAGTACTATAGTTGTATCGATTTGACGGAATTCCTGGTTATACCAATTTAATTAGTTAACCGACACTTCGCGTTGTGGCTTTGTTTGCCACAAATGAGAGCACAAAGCAAATTACGAAAGCTCGCGGCTCTATTTCGGTATCTTTTGATCTCGGTTTCGGCTCGTCGACCGTTGCGAGGTTGATTTATCTGGTCGGGAATATACAAGCTTTCAAGTGTTTATCTCCGATTTTTGCGAACGTTATAATATTTTGTGCGTCAGTTTCACAAAAATAAAGGAACAGTGTGCAAAATATTGTTTTCGTTTTATCTAAAAAAAAGAGATTACTAAAAACTTGAACACTGCAACATCATTTTTGTATTTAGGGAATAAGTCGCTCGTTTTCTTCAAAAGCTTCTTTCTGACGCAAAAGCTAGCGGAAAAAAATTTGCGAATGGAAAATGCATTCCTTTCAACATGGCGACGTGGCCCGGCTGCACATTCCTCCCAGAATATACCGCGACGGAAATACGTACGTCGTTTTCTCAGCTCTCCGTCATTTTCGCTTCTAACATTTATAAGAGTACAACTCGGCAAAGAAGTATTGAAATTATTTTAAACCGCGATTTATCTCAATTCGTATAGTTAAAATTCTAATTTAATTAGAAAAATTACCTACCATTCGACAAATACGGAACAGATGATTATATCGGATTTGTATAATTAATATAATTTACCTTCACTCGTCGAATATGACCTTTGACTGGGCCTATCGCCAAGGGCCCCGTCGAGGACCCATCGCTTGTTGATGGATGGTCGTAAGCCTCGGTCGTGACGAACATACTGAGTAGATCCGGTGTGTCCTCGCGTATACGACACCGATTGAATCCAGAATGAGGACAAAACGCGCGAAAGCACAATATCTGGCCCCCGGGGACGATTGTCATTCAGTGACGGGCAACAGGAAATCGCCGAGACCGCGTGTTGCATTCGTGTCCTTGATTCTTAATGGCCGCTAATGCGCCACTTCGCATTTCGAATTTAGGATCATCACGACGCTCGAGATGAACGTTAAAGAAAATGACACTTATATCTTCATTTCTTGTCTCGCATATATAGAAGTAATTTTTATGGCAATGTTGTTTTTATAGATATCTTTGGTGGCCATGGGCGCCGAAATCGAAGCCAGAAAAAACGCCACGCAACGTCTCCTGGACTTTTGTTCCACGGGACTGGTAAGTCGCTACGATTTATCTACTTTCTAAGGCTCTCCCGCGCGATCGCTCGTATCGTTCATTCAGCTCGAATCTGGATCGGAAGTCTTTCGACAATAGACATCTTAAAACGGTGCCAGGATGTCTGCAACACAATTCGCGTTTTTTCTCACTCGCAAATAATCGCTTTATGAAAAATGATCCCGGGACTTGCGGTCGATCGCTTGATTATAGCACTTCTTTTTCTCCATACTAGCACAACACAAGCGCGCGCTACGCGCACGCTAATATTATTTTTATTTTCATGTGTTGCATCAGTGAATACAACCTGTCACCGCGATGACAGCTAATATATACATCTTATAAACTATGTAATACACATACGAGAGATGTCAAAAATAACACATGAAAATCAAACTCAAAAAATAAACATACATACACATACACACACACACACACATATACATATACTGTAATCACGTGACCGAGGTCAGTGACCCCGCCAAGTCCGCGCGGCCGAGGTCAGTGCCCCGCCAAGGCCGCGCGGCCGAGGTCAGTGACCCCGCCAAGGCTGCGCGGCCGAGGTCAATGACCCCGCCAAGGCCGCGCGGCCGAGGTCAATGACCCCGCCAAGGTCGCGCGGCGGAGGTCAGTGACATTACTGTAGTACGTATATAATACATATAATACAATATAAAGTATAATATTATAAATATATAATAAATTATATGTATAATATGTGTATTATTTAATGTTATATATAATATAAATTAGGTACAGTCACGTTATTTTCACGTGTTGTTTTTCTACTCTTTCTTGTCATGTGACTTTAGTTACGTTTTTAATTTTCTCTACATATACGACTGTCTCAAAATCGCTTTTCATTATTTACTCTCTCGATCTTACCGATTCGATTCGACTCGATCAACCAACCAATCAATCGGCAACGCGGAAAAGAGGCAATAATAGATGCGATACATTCGGCTCCAAAACGCGCACTTCGCGGAACACATGGATTTTTTTATATAGAGAACGTTTTTTTATCTTTTTCACGTTTAAATTCTTTTTTATTTTTTTTTTTTTCAGACAGACTTCTGGTCCTGCGTGAATTCAACGTTGAATGGTAAGTGTTCGTTACGTTGTTGTATCTTCATTGCGCGACAATGAATACCGACTCACTTGAATTCTGATTTAGAGCTCCAAAGGAACGAGAATTGGATCGGTCGGGGATGCTGTCATCTTGTTCAGAATCCCACGTGTCGCACGACCTGCGCCGTGTCGGGTTCCACGAACGACTTGAATCACTCCTGTCGGCCGAGCGACGAGCCCGAGTTCTTCTTCTGTTTGGAGAAACGCGAAGAGGCCGAACGATGCTGCAGTAACGTTTCCAACGATACCTGCAGAACTATCTGCAAAAATATCTTTTACAAGCCTGGCAGCAAGCAGTCCAATCTGAAGCTGTACAGCAGCAAGGGTTGCTTTTATCAAATTCCCAAATGTCTGAAGAACATACCCGACGTGAAGCATGCCGATGATCCGAAGCAACGTTAGTTGAACTGAGATCGAAATAAAATCTAATCTTTCGAAATTGTTAGAAAAAATAGTTTTATTTAACAAAAAACTGTGTATACTGATATGGTGGTTTTAAATAAATTTTATTTCTTTAGATCTGCACTGTTGCGATGAAGCCACGACTCCAGTGTGTCTCGACTCATGTCGCAGAATTCTTCACACTGCGACTACTGAGCAAGAAATTATGGATGAATTGGCTGAAAAATGCAGTCCAGTTTTGCCGCAGTCACCCATGTGGAGCTGTCTGTTGAAATCGAGCTCATCGAAATCGGTACGTTTACCTTTGAACGCTGGAAAATTGACGTGCTGCACAAAAGCGGCGAAACCTTCTTGCAAGAATCTGTGTTTGCGAGCCTTCCAAGCTGACTGGGAATCTGCCTGGTCTCAGTTAGAAACGCAGTGTCTCTCGTCCAGTTTAGAGGGTGAATTGAGAAGATGTCTCGAAGACGCAGACGATCCTTGCGAAATGGGTTGTTCTGGATTGTCTTACTGTGCACAGTTTAACGATAGACCCACCACTTTGTTCAGGTATGTAAAACGTGATTAAGATAAAATAATTGAACAATTAAATTTGCTCTTATTTTAAATAATTGTATTAATATCGCAACAGAACGTGCACATCCGCGGCTGACGAAAGAGCCAAGATGGAGGCGGACTATTGGACTCGAGGTGGTCTAATTCGCGGATTAGGCGTGCGCGCCGCTGCTTCCTGTCCGGTAGAGACTCTACGTGCGGCAGCTTGTCTTCTACAGATACGACCTTGCGAGACTAGAATCCACGAGACGCGACTCTGTCGTGAAGACTGTTTAGAGTTGATGGCCAACTGCGTGGACTGGAGCGCGATTACTGGACCTCACACAGCGGCCTCTTTATGCGCCAAGCTGTCGCCGGGTAGATCGGATGCGCCGTGTGTCCAGCTCAGACCTTTCCTAGATGACCCACAGGACGATGAAGCGGTGATTCATCCCGAAGACGACATTACGACACCGTGCAAGCACAATCCTTGCTCGGAAAACCAGCTCTGTGCCCTTCAACCCAACGGCGCCAAAACATATCAATGTTTACGGGCCTGTTCTCTCGGTGAGATGTCAAAGCAGCTGATACCAGTTGGATCTTGGGTCCAAATCCCGCGGATCGATCAAATGTCTGAAGCGATCGACTGTCTGAAGATCTGCCAATGCACAACGCACGGATTGGAAAAGTGTCGCACCTTGAATTGCTTTGGTTTCAAGTCTTGTTGGGTGCATGACCGGTTTATTAAGCACAAGTCCAATTTTTACCTCGAGTGCAATCCTTGCCACTGCTTCGAGGGTGAGTTTCACTGTTCTAGAAGGAGTTGCGACGAGCTACGCGTGCCATCTTTACCTTGCGACTGTCCAGCTCATTACGTTCCGGTTTGCAGCAGACTGGGTTTCACTTTCGCATCTGCATGTTTAGCCAAGTGTGCCGAGTTCTCGGCTACTGAAGTAGAATTTGGCAGCTGTTCCAGTCGGGATCCTTGCGCGTCTAATTCCTGTGACAATGGAGAAAAATGCGTCCGTCGACCCAAAGTTTGTTTGTCAGGCTTGCACAAACCTTGTCGGCAATATGAGTGCGTATCGATAGATTGCAATCCGAGCGAATCCAGCGGACCAGTCTGCGATCGTGAGAATCGTCAATATCCCTCTGTCTGCGCGATGATCCGCGCCGGCGCTATCCTAGGCTATAGAGGTCCCTGCCTAAGAAGATGTAATCTCCGAGGTCCGGTGTGTGGTATCAACGGCGAAGTATATGCTAATGAATGTGCGGCCTGGGCTGAGAGAACTGTTGTAGATTACTATGGTCCTTGCGTCGCTATCGGTCTTATAGGAGATGAGGCAAAGCCTCGTTGTGGCGATGCCGTACAGTGTCCTACTTTAGCGGATCCGTACTGTATCGGGGTCACTCCTCCTGGCGCTTGTTGTCCCGTTTGCGGAGGCGCGGCGAGATTGTTTTATTCAAAAAAACAGGTAAATGTTTCTATTCAAACAGTTATCTTAACGTTCTCTTATCACAAAAGATATTTAATTTTATTTAAAAAATGTTTCAAACAAATCTTTTATTTCTTCATTTGCAGTTGGACAGAATCTATTATCTGATGAATGAAACTGACAAGGATTCCGTCACCCTGGAAGCGCTTCTGACTGCTCTAGGTCGTCAGCTGCAAGTGGCACAATGCGCTGTTCGCGGCATGATGACACCTGATCGCGATATCTTTATCGTCGTTCAGCCTATTACCAAAAAGCCATCGACATTACAGTTACGTGCTTGCGTTACGGAAACGGAGAAACTTGTTACCAGAATTTCGGAGAGAAGTCCTACAATTGCAGCGGAAGTTCCTTTGGGTTCGCTGACCAGAGCTGAGCTAGCTCACGGTTACATTTCCAGTGCCACGAAACTTCAAACTTGGCTCGCGATAATTGTTGTCGTCTTCTTGCTAAATGGCTTATTCTAAATATGATTATGTCAAAGAAAATGAGATGTGACATCGCTTATTTCGTACAGTGTGATTCCAAAAAATTTCTAGATAGTTTTAATCGTATCAAGTATAAATTCAACCAACTTATAATTTAAAGGCAAGAAACTATAGCCATAAGCGGTGACTCTCGTTTTCTTATCCACTTTTGGCGCTGAAGAGCATTTATTTACCTAATCGCGATGTCATTTGCGACAGCGAATGTCTAAAGCGTGTCTCGTGTCTGTGATTCTTCTAGTGCCTTCTGATAACATACAGAAGTATAGAACATATTTTTAGATATCGATTACTGCCAAAGAGAACAAAGTATATATCGAGAGAATTGTACAAAGATGATGGATTTCTCGGTGCGTGATTGTCACGGACGACCGAGAAACTGCTCACTATAAAGTTCTACTCCGAAAAGACTCTGTAAACTTAAGTTATAAATGCCAGTCCGCTTATCTCGATCAATAACGATGTGTTTGCAAGTGTCTTTTATACGCACGTTCTTCTAAAAAAGCTTAATAAGAGATCTTTTCTTTTTTTAGGTTTTGTTATAAATATTTTGTCGATAAAAAGAGAAACAACTAATAAATTTATGTAAAGTACAATTATTATGCAAATCTCTAGTTCTTTCACTGAGTATGTGTTATTATGTAACGTTCCGAATTGTTATTTTATATATTTTGCAAATAAAAATAAATTCATTCAATGTATCAGAGAGTAAGCACGGTTAAAGGAACGATACGTATTCGCATTTTATTTACAAACCTGCAAACATTCGGACTGTCCTGCTTCGTACCAATCAAATAAATAATACTTCTATAGCTGTTAGAGAATTTGTTATTATGCCACTAAATACAAATAAATGTCTCACATTGTTATTTATTATATATTAATAAATTTCTAATATTTTTCACATGTGTATGTGAAGCATATAAATTCCACAATTTGTATGTCAAGGTGCATGTATACATGTATATATGTATAAATGTCACGAAACTGTTTATAAAACCTTGTACCGACCGCGCGAAGCGGTGTGAGCGCCAGATGCTTGTAACTTGATGAGTTCTTCCTTAATGAGCCGCGACACCTCCGCTTTGGCTTTGCTCACCGCTAATTCACTTGTCGATTCTATTGCTAAGTATAATTTTCTCTCTCCTTCTGGCGGAGTTTTTCCTGGCGCGATATATGTTCCTCTTACCGTCAAACCCGCTTCAGAATATTCCGAAATCTGAGCAAGAGCCTCCTTGCTTGTGACACGCCATCTTGCTTGCTGCGGGAAATCATTGATTTCAAGCTCTTCTTCATACTTGCGGAATGTTTGTTCGCCCGTTTCCACATCAGTTTCTACGAGATCTTCTTCACGCGGCTGATAATTTAATTTAGTATTCAACTTTGCTGCTAATTGTTCCGCTACCGTCTTTGCCTAAAATAAAGAGATAAAAAATATTTATTTATGATTAAAAAACAATTGTGTAAATTTGTTTATATAAATATTCAATTACCGTAATAAGATTTGTAGGTCCTGCACCCTTGAGTATGGCTTCCGCTGCTTGCTGAGTAGCGCCCTTTGCCTCGGCGCCGAGATTCTTCGCTATATTTATTTTCGATGCCAATCTTCTGGCTAATTCCAATTTATCAGTGGCACTAGGAACTGGCTGACCTGGCACCGTAATGCTGGTCGCAGTCGGTCTAGCTATCTCGCGAACTGTTCGTTTAGGCGCCAACATGCTTTCGATCTGTTGATCGATATCGTTTTCGATGTCTTCATCGTCGGAGTCTTGCAATCCTAAAGCTGCTTTCTGGAACTTCTTTTTCTCGTTTGCCAAAGCAGCTTCTGATTCATCGAATTTAAATCCCTTACCGCTGAAACCACCACCCGTATGTACTTTCTTTCCGTCCGCAGCTTGACGGGCTTTATATCCCTCCCATAACTGACGTAAGGGTTCCGGAACCGGTACGCCTGCCAACTCATGCGCACGCAGAATATCGCCGGCATAACGTTCCTGCTCGGACGTAATAAAGGTATACGCATATCTAAGGAGAAAAGAAACAACATGATTTATTTGTGAAGATATTTTGCATTGTTAAAATTCAAGAGACAAAGCTCAGCTACTCTACCCTTTATTTCCAGCTCGACCAGTTCTGCCACATCTGTGTACGTAATCTTCATAATGATTCGGACAGTCGTAATTGACGACTAATACCAAATGCTTGACATCCAAACCTCTTGCAGCAACTGACGTAGCTACCAGCAGTTTTGTTCTTCCAGCTTTGAAGTCCAATATGGTCGAGTCTCTGTCGCACTGATCTATACCGCCATGAAGCGACATGCAGGAATATGATGCTTTCATAAGATCTTTCAGCAACGTATCTGCGTTCTCCTGTTTATCCACAAACACAATGGCGGATCCTTTATCTTGATAATGTCCGAGGATCTCGAGTAATTTGTAGAACTTCTGATCTTCTTCAAGTACGACCACATGTTGTTCGACATCCTTACAGACGACAGAACGTCCTCCAACTTGTACCTCGACCGGTTTCGTGAGTATCCTTCTGGCTAAAGCTTCCATCTGCCTTGGAAATGTCGCACTAAACAACACAGTCTGTCTATCTGGTCTTACATTCTCCATGATGCGCATCACTTGAGGTTCAAAACCCATGTCGAACATTCGGTCGGCTTCGTCAAGTACCACATATGTTACTCGACGTAAATTGGTCACTCGTCCGCTGTTGGCGGCAAGCATGTCGATCATCCTACCTGGCGTACAAACAATAATTTCGGCTCCTCTTTTGAGTTCTGCTATTTGTTCGGAAATACCAGTCCCACCATAAACGCACACATGCGAAAGACCTAGCGACTTGGTGAATTTCTTCGAGTCCCGACCGATTTGCATGCACAATTCTCTAGTTGGTGTCATGATCATCGCGATCGGCCCGTCGCCATCGGCCAATGGCGGCTGATCGAGTATATGACGGAACATTGGTAGCAAAAATGCAAGCGTTTTACCGCTACCGGTTTTAGCGATACCAATCAGATCGCGACCCGACATGATCGCTGGGATTGCCTGACACTGAATAGGCGTCGGTTTCTCGTAACCGAGTTTCTTTAACACCTCTAATTCTTTTTTGGTCACGCCGCATTGCGCCCAAGACTTGATAGGCTTCGGGCAACCTTTACCCTTTACACGAATACCTTCTAATTCTTCCTTGTACGCTTCTACTTCTTCTGGTGTCATTTTTGCTATAACATAACAATGTAAATATTTAGATAACGCAAAAATAAAATATTTTATAAAAATAATATAAGGAAAAACAAAGACGTACCAATTTCAGGAACTTCAACATAGAAAGATTTTCGAAATGGTTGATAATCTGTTGTAGCATGATCGACTTTGGCTAATTCTCGTTTTTGTTTATTTGCTATGCCGGCTGCGGTCTCGTGAAGATTTTCACCTTCTTCTTCGCTTGAATATTCCAATCCATCTTGATTCTGCTCAATTAATTCACCCTTTTGTTTCTGAACTTTCTTCTTGGCCACACCAGTTACAATGACTACACCACCACTTTGCGTTCCAGAATTTGTGCTGTTATTTTTCGGAGCTTTGCTGTCGAGTTTATTCACTTTCCTCACTTCTTCTTGCACCTATATTCATGATATGTTATTTGAATATGTATAGAATCATATTAGTTTTAACAGAAATTAAAACTAATAAATGAAATATTATTAATGAAATATCACTTGCCTCAGCCATAAAAGCGTCAAGCGGATCGATCTCTTCTTCTTCATCTTTCTTTACTTCTTCTTTTACCTCATCAACCTCTTCCTTTACACCTTCTTCTTTTGCCTCCTTGTTGTTATTCTGTACCACAGGAGTCTCTTCGTCACTATCATCCTCAAGGGACCACTTTTTCATCGGTAGCTGAAGATTTGCCAAAATAGATGTCTTACCGTCTTTTTTTGTTGCTTCCAGTTCTTTTTTCTTCCTTTCTGCACGCCATCTTTCTATCCTTTCCCTCCTCTTTTGCATCTCCAACTCTAACCTTTTCTGTTCTTCCTCCTGCAATTAAATTAAATGTAATTTAATATTACGCTTATTGTTTTAATAAATTCAGAAAACTTACCTTGTCCAACTTTGTATGATCAAAAGGCAACTCTTCATTGTCGCCCTTCTCTTTATCTTTTCTGTCACGAGACCGAGACCTGTTTGATCGTTCTTTGCCAGATCGCGAAGACTTTGAGCCTGTAAGACGCTTTTCTTTACTGTCTCCACTAGTATACCGAGAACAATCAATATCAACAAATTATTTCATAGTTTCCAAATTTTTGGAATCAAAAACATGGGTCAAAATACCACCAAGTATTATCAAAAAAATTTTTGGTATAATTGTGACCAGAGAGAGAAAAAAAGAGTGCCATGTGGATAACTGCTTCAGATAAGACTCTGAAGCGCTTTTAAAGAGTGTACCGTTTTCTCTCGCGATCCCTGTCTCTCTCGGAACGTTCCCTTCTATCACTTCTGTCTCTATCTCTGTCTCTCGAACGACTCCTCCTTTCCCTATGTCGGCCCTTGTCTCTGTCCCTCTCCCGATCTCTGCTCCTGGACCGTCGTCGTTTCTTTTCAGGTTCGCCTGACCGTGATCTAGATCTCGATCTCGACCTTCGTCGATGATGTCTATCTCTACGTGAACATTTATTTGCGATAATTAATTATCATCAAAAACAAAAGTTTAAAAGCGTTAGAAGCATAACCTTAAAACTTTATAAATAGCAAACATGTAGATCGCACTTACTTGTCGCTACTTCGCACCATATTTTCTTACAAGGCAACTGTAAACAGTGTAAACCACTAATTAATATCTAAACAGCAATCAATACCTAAAACATAAAGAAAATTCATTTATTGTTGAACTTTTAGTGCACAATATCTCTTCAAGATTTTAAGAGTAAAACTGGCAGCGCCATCTATTTTTCTTTTATTATACATGAACCACCTCTTCAGCACTAGAGAGAGTTGCTTTTGGTTGCTATTGCAGACTGGCGTATAAACGGACATCTATAGGCCGAAGCACAGACTTTTGCATGATGCATAAGACATAAGAGAATCAACCAATCACAGCTTTCTAGAACAAGAAGTACGGATGAAAACGAAAAGCTGGATTGGTTGATTTTCTTATGTCTTATCCGTTATGCGTTATGCAAAAGTCTGTGCTTCGGCCTTAAAAGGCCTTCTACAATAAGATATTAGTAATAAATCAGAAGTCAGAAGCAAGAAATTGACCAATCATAGTCAAATTACAGAAGAATAACCGATATATAATATCTAATTGTAGAAGGCTCTTATCGAATCACTACGTGCGTACGTTACGTTTGAATTGCGCGCGCCATCGCGCGCGGTCGATACTTCGAGAATCGCGACTTCTCGCACTTCGATATGTTCGATCCTTCTCGCACTTCGATATGTTCGTTCCGGCGGGCAGACATAGTAAACGCACAACACGAGACAAAACTTCTCTTCAAATTATGAGGTATTTCTCGCATTTATTGTTGTCTCGCGCGTAAATATCGTAACGCGTACGTGCCACAAAGTGTCGGGCGTTTGATGTAATAGATAATTAGTATCGTGCACTTGCTAGTAATCGTAATGGGCGAGATATGAGGAATATAATTGTTTCACGCTGCTACGCGTATGAGAAACAAAATGTTCGACGCGCGACGCGATGAACTCTCTCGAATTAGTTCGTATTTTTTGCTATTATTGTCGTCTCATACGTAAATATGCTAATATCATAAAGTATCGAATATTCTCATTGATAAGTAATTGGCATTGCGCACTCGCTGATAACGGTAATTGACGAGTCCAATTGTATCGTGGCTGTTCGCGCTTTCTTCGAAAAACTTAATTTTGCTTATTATTGTAGCTACGACGCGACAGATTGGGCTGTCCTTACGCTAAATGCACGCTGATTAGCGGATCTTTATTAATTAATATCTCGTTAATTATTGCGAATCTTCTAAAGTGGTATAGGACTTTTCTTCTTAGAATAACCCCTTCTACCTGCCTACGAGCGGTAAGACGGCAATTACCGGACACTCTGTATATAGAAAAGTATAAGTTTATCAGTCAATTACCATATAATGTTATTGTTACCGGTATATGATAATATGCCAACTTTTAATATTGAAAAGAAGAAAAAAGAGGAGAAAAAAAATATATATATATATAATGTTTTAAAATAAGTATAACAAAATTATACTTTGGTAAAATTCGTTTTTCTTGAAAAAATATCCATATATTTGTATAACAGTGATATTAAACAAATAAGGCTCGATAATAAAGCAATGAAAATGTCTTTATTGAACGGCAGAGCTAGTAAAACAATTGATAAATTTTACGTGGCAGTCAACGTTATTGCTAATAGATCGAGTCTGATCAAGGAATGAAATACTTGTAGACTAGAAATATCATTTCGTATAATAGTTGGTTTTTACAAACGGCATTTTTGTCACCGTCGCTTTGTAAGTTTTCCCGCGAACCTCGACCAACATTCCGTTGCCGATCTGCGCCAAATCCGTCGGTATGTATCCCATGGCGATCGGCTTGCCCAAGGTCGGACTCGGTCCACCGGAAGTGACGGTGCCCACACGTTCACCTTCCGACGTCAATATTGGCGCGCCCGCCCTAGCAGGTGGACCTTGACCCAGTAAAAGACCGATGCGTTTCTTCGTAGAGCCTGTCTTGATTTGTGTAAGTATTCGTTGCGCTCCTGGAAAGTTAGCCTCGACTCTTCGTCGTTTTGCTGTACAAGATGTTTTTTTCAATGTAAAATACAATTTGCAAAGAAAAAGAACTGAAATAATGATATTTTACTCAACAAAGTATTAAAAAGAAACGCGGAAAAAAGACATTATTGACAGATTTATTATCGATTTTTTTATTACTGACCTATTAGCCACGTAAGAGCAGCCTCGACCGGCGTGGTGTCTTCATTGATGTCATTGCCATACAGGCAAAGACCAGCCTCTAGCCTGCGAATATCGATCAAGAAATCTCAGTAGCAGAGTCTCGTTTTAATTTATATTATTATCCTTTTTTTTATCGTTGACGTACGTTTGTTTTACCTTAAACTATCTCTAGCTCCTAAACCAGCTAATTTTACATCAGAATTGAACAGAATTTTCTTGACAATATCGGTAATTTCTTTCCCAGGCGCCGAAATCTCAAAGCCGTCTTCCCCGGTATATCCGCATCGCGATATTCTGACGCGGGTGCCCAAAATCTCGGTTTTCACGCTGTTCATGAACTTCAGTTTTTGTAGGTCGAAATTCACGATTGGTTGAAGAGCTGTTGCCGCAATAGGACCCTGAAGAGCTATCAGGCCTTGATCCAGAGGATCAAGGAAATTAATGTATACGCTTTTACCAGCGTTTTTAAATTCTTGCTAAAAGTAGAAAAATATTCAAATATTGTATTTCATAATTATATCTATGTCAAAAACGTAACGCATCGCACTTCTCACCTGATGATCTAAAATATGCCGAATGTCTTCTTCCCGCCTAGACGCGTTAGACACAAGGAAATACCTGTCTTCGTCATCCTTGATGATAATAAGATCATCGAGAATTCCTCCTTTGTCGTTGGTGAAGATTGTCAAAGTCGCGGTGCCGTCTGGCAAACTTGTTAGATCACTTGGAGTAAGCGATTCCAAAAACTCGCCGGCGTCCGAACCGACAATGCTCGTCTGTAACATGTGACCGACGTCAAAGAGCGACGAGTGCGATCTGGTATGTTGATGAGAAATCGCGATTGGATCTTGATATTGCACTGGCAGCAACCATCCGGCAAAATTGACGATTTTTGCTAAGCGAAGATAGAATAATATCAAAATGAATACAAAATGAGAGAAATAACATATTCATACTATTTATTTGTAGTAAAATATTTACTACATCTCACCTTGATTCTTTACGTGAAAATCATAAAGACAAGTTCTCCGGATTTCATGAAAAGGTAACGTTGATGACCATCGACAATACTCCCAACGCGTCACTCTGGCGGTTGTACGAGAAACCGTGAAATCGATCAAACATTTCGAACGCAATGTCGATCCACTATTTCGCCCATTCCTCACATTTGATATTGTGGCCAAGCTGCAGGTGTCACGGACACTGTTCAAAACGTGCACACATCTTTCGAAGTTGTCACAAACTACGAATTTGCTGCCGAAACGAAGCATAATGCTCTTTTCTTGAGATTTTGCTATTAACTAACTCGTGGCTTAACAGCGTGTCGCTTCGTTGAGGCTGTAAATGACCCTTGATGTTTGTCTCACAGACTCGGATATACATATGTCAAATCTGAACACGCCTAAACTGACAAATAAAACAACTCTCAAGAAGTTTAAAGTTTAGAACGCAAATGAAAGAAATTAAATTTTATACGTTTGCAATGTTAAAAGTATTTATCTATTAAAATTTAATTACTCGAATTATTTGCGCATATTTCTTTCTTTTTTCTCTCTCTTTGTCTAATAGCTTAAATCAATAATTATTATATAACCTCTCTTATAAAAATATTTTCATAAATTAATATTTTACTTCGTAATAAACTGAGTAATAATTACAACAAAAGTGAAACTATGGAGACACATGATACGTGTTTTCTTAGATAGAACAGATAAGTAAAACTGTGAGACGAAAGACATTAGTCCCGACCCTGTGCTGTATATTAGTTTCGATATCACACTGCGTGTCATAACTTTCTTGTTTTTTTGTGTTATGTTACAGAGTTATCACTATCTTCATACGTAAGAGGGATCATGCGACTACTAGCGGTGATAAGTAAGCTACTTGCATTATGTGGAGTAACAAGATGGGTAAGTCACGAGACTGTTAATATGCTTATTAAATTTTTATTGTACCACGTAATAATAATAATAATAATAATAATAATAATAATAATGATCATCATCGCAATAATAAATTGTGATAATAATGACAATAATAAATGGTAGTAGTAGTAGTAGTAATAATAATAATAATAATCATTTATCATCGTAATAATAATATAGTTTTGTAATAATAATAATAATAAAAATAATAATAATGATATTTTATCATCGTCGGTAATAATCCAATGACAAATGTCAATATTTATATAGTAGCGTGTCGAACGGAGAAACGACCTTAAAAAACGAAGACAGTATCAATGTTCGTTCGTACATTTTGTTTTTTAGCTTCCGCCGTTTTTTATCTTCTCGCTCGCTCTCTTTTTAGGATCTCTTCTACCTCTCGCTCTCGCATCTTCCACACGCGCATTCTCACTCGACTTCGCTTCCTCTTTTATTTAATCTTTTTTTTGCTTTTAATCTCCCCTTTTCTCTCACACACACGCACACTTTCTCCCTCTGTTTCGTGTCTTACACAATTGATGCAAAATGTCCCTACACAGTCCGACAAATGTGTGTGTGTGTGTGTGTGTATATTTTCCCGGTTATTTCTCTTTTTTCCCTTTTTTAATCAATCCTCACGATCGCATTTTGCTCGACGCTATCCTCATTTTTTCCACCTTTCCTCCTTGAAATTCTAGATTTTTCTTTTTTTTGCTCTTTTTAAATCCTTGCACGTGTTGACACATTCACTCACACTAGTAAATCGGTTTGGTAGTGGAGGGACTTAAGGGGGAAGGGCGGGACTGATTGTGTGAGGGGGATGTTCGGTGATGGTCGGAGGGATGGGCAGGGGGTGGGAAAACGGGATATATCCGCGGGATTCTCGTGTACCGCACATAAAGATATTTTATAATTAGGCGGGAGGTTTGCTAAGGGAAGGGAAAAATGCAATATGTATTGGTGAGAAAAAACGGATACGTCGCGGTGAAAAAGGAAGGCGTCAACAACATCGCGAATCCCACAATCGATATCGAGCAATCTTCTTTTTTTTTTCTTTTTTTTTTTTCAATCGCGATGTTCAACCGATTGATTCGCGAGAAACTCTCTCTCAATCGAGGGATACGAACGTCTCGACCACCTTGAGCGTCGAAAAATCTAACAACGATCGATCTACGATCGCGAGGGAAGAACTAAAATTGCGATCTGTGCGCGATAGAGAAAGTATATAACTACAAATTGCCTCGTGTTAACGCGATTTTTGTTTCCGCTGTTCCGACATTGTTCTATTGTAATTTTTGTTTTATTGTAACCTGTCGTTTTGCTTGTTTCGACCTTGTAAACTATTGTTGCCCGAGCTACTTTTATGCTTCCTGTCGCCTCTTCTCCTCTCTCCCGAGTCCGCGAGCGCGCCGATCCGCCGGCGAAGAATTTTCTCAAATCTGGACCCGTCTCCGCTACCGGGATCGGGCCCGAGGCACTCGTTCTGGTTGTCCGAAAGTCGCTCAATTGCGTATCGATCCGGCAGAATCGTCGCCCTCGCGGACACACTCGCACGTGTTTGCGTGTGTTTTGCAATTTGCGTATGCGCGTACACACGTGAGACGTATGTACGCGTATACACACATACATATATGTATATCTTTATATATAGATATATATTCGGCTATGTTTTTCTTTTGGTCCTGGTACAAAGGAAACGAGAATCACTCTTTTTTTTATCATCGGAAGAAACCGCGGTTTTCGAAAACATGGAAAAAACTCGCCTTTTTTCTTGTTTTTCGCGCAAATTTTGAAATTTCCCGAAAAATTCACGATCTCAAAACGTTTGTTTTTTTTTGTTTGCTCTCATTCGGCCGTGACATAATTTTTCTATCGACTTTATAACTGGAGGGGAGGGGGACTTGTTTTGTTGTCTGTCGACATGCAATGTGCAATCACCATCGAGAAATTCTCTCTCGCACGCACTCTCTCTCTTTCTCTCTTTCTTTCTTCTCTTTCATACCGCCATTTCGTGCGCTCTTTTCACTTACACTCCCTATATGTATACCTCGAGTTCGATAATTTCGTCTAAAATTCCATTTTCGCCTTAACTATACACAATAATCATAATATATAATAATAATAATCACGATTCTCGAATACATCATCGATCATTTTTCCGAATATAGATACAATAATTTCTTATTTTTCATCGTCTTCCTATACCATCTTGCTCTCTTTCTCACACTCGCTCTTTCTCTCTCGCACTCACTCCCTCTCTTTCTCTCTCTCTTTTGCAATTACATCTTGCAATAATAATCGTTTAGGTCGTCGTATATCTATACATATACATATACATATATATAATTTATAAAATGAAAATAGGTACAATTTTGGACGCTTTTCTTCGTCGAAAAAACGCTCCGAAAAGTTTAGTTTCGCTTAATAATGCCCATCGGTTGCGATAGTCCTCTTGGTAGGAAAATTTTGTTTATTCTCCTATCTCTCATACACGCACATTTATATCTCATTCTCTCGCACTTATATTGTTTCTCGTTCATTCTCACATTCTCTCCTCCTCTGTCTCTCTGGCTCTCTCTTTCTCTCGACTCGCATTCAAATTTGCACTCGTCAATTCGATCATCCTTGTCTCACAATTTATCCACAAACAAACCCTCTCTTGCTCTCTCTCTCTCCCTCTCATTCACAAAATTGCAGCGCGATAGTCGCCCTCGCGATATATAATCTGCCTTTCCGCCGCTAATTTCTAAAAAAGATCTTAAATTTAGGCTGGCCGATCGCGTGCTTCCGGAATCGACGAGCTTCCGTGTCTTTTTTTTTTACGCTTACGAAGGAGTGAATCTCACGCGATCTTTACGGGAGTACCTCGCATCATTTTTTTTGTTTCGCGTATGTACAACAATTTAACCGAATTTTTTCTCAATTCGTTCTCGTTCCAATAACGATTCGAGGTGTGAATTGATTATCGAGTATCATATAATTGCGCGAAAGGTCGTCCAGCCGGAAGTCGTGAGGCACGAAGAATTTTATTCTCGCTTAATAAACTTCATTTCCTTTCGCCCTATATCATCGATCTACACGCCCGCGAATCGGCCTCGCGATCCTGCGATCGAAGTGATCTCCTCGGTTCGAGTCTCTTTGTTCAACGAAATTCCTCGATCTATTTGCCACATGAACATTGATTTTCTCATTACCGTAAATACAATTCTCACAGATAAAATTTTACGCATCGCAATGTAAACCTTTTGAGAGGAGTTTGAAAATTTTGTGAAAAGTACAACTTTTTGCACGAAGATCACTTCCACGAAGACGCCAAGTCGACTCGCTCCGCAGACATTAACATCTAACGAACTCTTATCCTCGATCGTAAGCCTAAAACATGTTTCAAGGATCAGATCTTTCCCCGTCCTCGATATCTCGCGTTGATCTTATAAGTTGTTTTTTTATTCTCGCGATCATCGATCGTGCAGTGTTCAATGACGTCTACGCGCAAACGCGCGTAGACGCGTGCTTTATTTTGTCAAATTTACTTACAATCTAATTACATGTCGAAAGTAATGTCGTAGTAAACGCCCTACCATGGGGCTACGCTATGTTTTGATATGTTTGATCGAGAGAATTGGCGGCGTTCCATCGAGATTCTTTTTCGCGCCAATGACAATATCGAACGTCAGAATTTGCAAGAAAGTCCTTTGAAAAAATATAATCGTCGCCGAAACGAGTGAGTCTTGCCAAAAAAAAGTACGGTTTTGAAAACAAAACAAAAAAAAAGGATCTCGATGAAGCGTTGCGTGACTTTTAGTGCAACAAATTTTGCGCCGCGTAAATCAAGCACATCTTTCGAGTATCTTAAACACGGAATATGAGAATGTGATTGATCGATAAAAATTGAGCATCTTTTTCGACTAAAATCGCGCGCGGTAACAACGAGCGTACAAGATCGAAGTTGTTGATATCACGTGTTCAAAGATCCGCGTTTCTATTTATTTCGCGATCTTATTTACTCGTCGTTACCGCGCCTTCCGTACGGATAATTGACGGTCGATTGATCGTCCAGAAAAATTGATTCCAACAGTTATCTCAACAGACGCCTGTTTTAAATTCTCATCGAACACTGCCCACGTACGCGAGACGGAATCGGATCGTCGCGTACGTGGTAGGGAAAAGATTTCGTTTTTTTTTCGAATTTCGAATTTTCCTTCCACGCGTGCCCGGAACTCTTTCCGTCGCACAGAAGCACCTTTTATTTTTAAATCTTTTATCGACGTATCATTTATCATCAGCATTAACAACAACAAAAAGAACGTTCCTAGAAGTGCACGCATTTCATTCGGTAATGCGTGTTTTTTTTTCGTGCAAAAAGGCTCTTGCGATTTATCAATTTTTGGGTCTCGCTCTTCCACCGTTAGTCGCAATCAATCAACTATCGTCGTTTTCTCAACTTTGCGTTTGTCGTTCTCTAGATATTTACCCTTCACATCGTAATCATCAATTGGACATATCCTACACAATGCGGAACTGGCTCGTAACCGAAAGAGACTGGTGTGAATATATAATTACTCTTTACTTTTTCTCTCTTACTCTCTCTCTCTCTCTCTCTCTCTCTCTCTTTCTATTCTCTCCCTTCTTACTTATATAACGCTTACTTTTTTTTATATTATTTTTTCTTTTCTCATATTTCTTTTTCGCGCGTCAATCGTTTCCGAAATCGTAATGTACGTAGCTCGCGACGTGGGCGCTTTGAGGATCCCATAGCTTCTCTAGTTGCAACCAGAACGCGATCGAAGCGAGGACAAAACATCATTTCTCTCGCTTCGACGTTCTCGCCGCGTGGCGAGTCTTATTAGCTTGTCATCGCGCTTATTGACATTAATTCTCCGTCGAAACATCTCAAATCGCGCACACCTTTCCTCGTCTCGATTAGGTCACTTCGCCGGTTAGCGCTGTCGAACGTTAATTTGGCAGTAAAAAGTTTCCGAACGATGTAAAAGTTTCTCTTCCACGACACGTACGACCATATAATTTGTTGTTATTTTTATCGTCGTATAAAAGTATAAATTTAATATCCGTAAATAGATGGAAAGTATCTTTGTATATTTGCGTAACACACTTTCGGGAGATCCTGATTTCGAGACAATTTTGATGTAATTTATACAAAAGAGGCACATGCGACAGCGCGAACAACGAAATACACTCGAGACGAGGGAGGCAATCGAAATAGTTATCTCGCTCGCCGATCGACAAGGGATGCATCAAGAGTCGATAGCGATAACTAATAATAGTGACAATAGTACTAATAGCATTAACTGATAATAACTAATAGCGTTTAACTAATAACGAATATTGCCGGGTGTACGAGCGCTGTATTATCGAGATCAATATAACGTTAATTTCGCGCGTTGCGCGTTTTATAAATCATATACATTTGTTTTGTACATACATATACATATATATATTCTAGAGAAATATTTTCACTAATATCCGAAATATTGACACGTCAAGCGCGACTAGTGAAGAAGATAGCGATCTTCCGCGCGCGCTTGAATCACGCGTTCATACACCTGGTGTTTTTCATTGACAAGGTAATAGGTAGTAGGTAACGATAAAAAGTTTTTCATAAATGCACGTGTCCTAAACTCCATGTGACAATCGTCAGCGTATTTTAAAGATACTATTTTTTACACAATTACAATCTGCCTCTCTCTCTCTTTTTTTATTGCGTAAGAAGCCGTGTCGTCGATTTTTACGAATTTTTCGACGCGAGGAACCACATTTATACGAGAGATTAATTCAAAATATAAAAAGAAAAATCAAATTACGAAGAACGGAAAACCAATCACAAATCGAAATTGACACAAAGAGAACTAGACATCTATCACATTGATGCACCTAATGGTATTACACGCAAACGAGGACAGAACAGTTTACAACACGAATTCGGATTCATTGCTAATAATAATAATACAATAATAATAATAATAATATAATAATAATATTAATAATAATAATGTTATATAATATAACGTATAATATATATATATATATAACATAATATAATAATAGTAATAATAATAAAGCGATGATACTAATATGTTTTTCTAGCAATAGCAGCAGGTGTGATAGTAAGAGTGATCGTAGTGCACTTAACGGGCACTACGTTAAAAGTAATAGGTGCGACTAAGCCTACCGGAGAGTGTGTATATGTAAAGAAAGAGAAAAAGGAAGATCCGTAACAAAAATTAAAAACAAAATGGTGCCGGCTTAAATTCAAATATGACCTATGTTTCGGCGGATTGCGATTAATTTTACTTTTCATAAATCGAAGACTCACAAAACTCTACATGTGAATAGTAACTAAAGAACCGTAGTTTTTTGTATACTATTTTGAGTATGAGTGTGTGCATTTGTGTGTATGTGTATATGAATTTTGTGTGGCTGTGTCGCGCGCGTACGTCGACCTACTTTACTTTTCAGGATGAGTGCAGCTCGAAAAAATGAGGCCGCAATATACAAACTAACGCAACGTAACTTAACAGATTAATTAATTAATAGGCAGTAACTAAGTAAAGAATCTCTCTAGCTTGCTTCATTGTTTTTAAACCAATTCTGACTAGCAAACGTAAAAAAAACTCGACGAGCTCGCCCCGCCGAACGCCGCGTTTCCGCCACGCTCGTTTTCTTCTCCTTCCGAGAGTCTTCTCTCGATTTTATTACATTATTTTCTCAGTAAATAGGAACTCTCTCATAGCGAGACTGCAGATAATAAATCGTCATGCGCGGGAACCGAAAGCGTATACATGTCCAAATAAATCTCGCGACTCGGTGAACGAAAACGTTGCGAAAAGTACATATAAAAAAAAAAAAGAAAATAAGAGCGCGTAGAGAAAACATAAAAAAAAAACAAACAATAAATAAACTTTAATTTGTCACGCAATTTGCCGATTCGAGCGACTTTGATTTCCCGCGATGACGCGCGTGTCTGTAAAGTGAGATCGAGAAATTAGTCTCCATACTCTTCACCTTCTGAGAAACAAAGGAAAATGCACTGGTATACGTAAAAGACGCGGGGCGGCAATGACCGGGTAGAACGTACGTAAGAAATTCAAACAACGATCTACGATTAAGAAAGCGAGAGTCGATATGTACGTAACACAATGGGAAACGAAGAAAAACATGTAAAACTTAAAATTGAAGAAATCGCGTCCGTCATCTCCGTCTTTCTCAGTCGTGTGTGTGCGATACTACGCGCAACTAAAAAATAATAACAAACATAATGAAAAAAACCAATCTCGCGCGATCGTTAACAACAATAAAATTTCGATGCCTAATTTTTTAATAATAATATATAATAAAATAGATTACTATAATAATAATTATAATAATAATAATAATAAAGGAAGAGAGAAGAACTCGAATTTTTATAATGCGATACATCATATTTGTTTTTTTACTACTTTTGCGCGCACATAAAATATTCATTCTTTTTTTCGTTAAGTAACATGAACAAATATTTAACCAGTGTAAATGTACGCGTGTTTTCGTGTATATATACCTGCATACAGCTAAAACAAAAAGGAGCCATAACAAAAAAAAAAGAAAGAAATGATAATCTCGAAACGTGGCTTCTCTCCCTTTACTTCTCGTTAATGCACTTACGAGTTAATTTGTATAACATATTATGGCTTCGACAATTCGAACAAACCGAGGCATCATCTTCTAGATTTTTCTTTCTGTTTACTTCCTCTCCCTTCCATTTCTCTATAAAATACGCCTTCAATTGCCGTCTTGCAATCTCCTTGTAATATAATAATAATAATAATAATTTATAACTAATATAATAATTTGTAATAATTGTAGGTTAACCGCGGTATCGAAAGGCTACGGCTTGCTTAACGGGACCTCGATATTTCGCTTTTATCTCCTTCCAATCTCTTTTCTCGATATATATTGATTGTTTTTTTCTTTCCACTTGATCTCGAAACATGTATGCAAGATCCCGTTCGGCAGCCTTTGCCGGAAAAGCGTGAGGGTGGATAGGCAGTTTCATAATGCAAAAAGGAAAACTCGACGGAATAACAACAATCGAAGCTTCATGAAAGATCCATTCGCACCGTACATCCATCTTTTTTTGCTTTTTGAAAGTTTGTCGTTTTTGCTTATACAAGGATCGGCCCGGATTCTGGCCGGCGGTTTTGACACAACGAAAAGAGGCTACGTTTTGTCAGCAACGCGGATATTTCCTCGTGTACGGTCCCGCCACCCTGCCGATTCCACAGATTACATTCTCCAGCATCTTATCTTTCATCTCTCTTTCTCTCTCTCTCTCTCTCTTTTTTTTTTTTAATTTTTTTGCCGATTTTATGTTTCTCTGTTTCCTCAGCGCGCCGAGTGGAACGTGCGCTCGCGCAACTCCATGGAAGGTTCCTCCCTCTCGAGCCTCCTCCTTCTATTTTCGTCCCTTCTTTCTTCTCTTCTCACCTTTCTTTCTCTTCGCATTAAATAAGTACCGATTTCGCCTGTCCGAGTTAACACTCGTCTTGGCTTTGTACCCTCTTTTGACTAGAATTGAATTTCGAACGGAAGATCGCTCCCTCTCTGTCGCAATCTTTTTGGAGGCTCGAGATTGCTTTGTTGTTTTTTCCTCGTCTCTTTTTTTCCGTCGAACGATGCTGGCCGGCGGGACCGGAAGTGCGTCGGTGTGTTTGCCCAAAAGGGGACTTCGACCAAACTCAATCGATACCATTAAACCCGCACGCGCACCCTCGTCGCTCCTCGTTTCGAGGACAGCGCGAAGATGAGTCTCGCACGCGATTTTTAAACCGCGCGACGAGGCTGCGCATCGAAAATTAACAATAACTTGCGCTGTATTACTCGGTAACTAACTGTACGTAAAAGTCTGAATTCTGAAACTTAACGTTCGCTTTTTCCAGAGTCAAGATTGCAAACGCGCTCCGTTTCGTTGGCGGAAATGCATCTTTAAAATTGCATCAAATAGGTTCGCACTTTAGTAAAGAACACTTTTAGTAAAGAAATTTTTTCAAAATTTGGTTTTCCAAAAAATCTCTTTGAAGATATAAAAATAAATTGATGATATTTATTGAAACGTTTTTCAAGTATCTGTTTTCTTTTTTTATACTAAAAATAAAAAAAAAAAAAATGTGCTCTCGATATTAATTTTGTCTAACGAGAAACGGAGAACGCGGTTGCCGCTGGACTCGCAACCAAGTTTATCGCGAACGAACATGAAACAACTTTGTATATGGAGGGATGAGTGGGATTGGGGCGGTGGGGTGAAGAGGGATGGCTTTTTGTTTCCTGCGGGAGCGTGATGAGGTGGACTGGTTCGCCGATGGGGACGGGTGGTGGGGTATTTTGTATTGTGTAGAAAAACAACGTCGTAAGTGAAATAACTCAACGTTGCACTTGAAAGACCAATAAAGCAACGGGGTGCGGGACACCTGAACACGCGCTGCTCGAAGAAATAGAGATCTCTCGATCGAGCAACTGACTCGATCTGCTTGAAACGATCCTTAAGCCGAATAACCGATATTCCGTAGGTGTATTAGGAGAGCCTGGCAAAAAAGCTTTCCAGTAGTCGCCGGACTCGGTATGTTCTCAGGGATTTTTTCTTCCTGCTTGAAAACGGACAATTTCGATCAGTGGAATCTCGACTCGCGTGTTCAGGTACCCTCCGATCCGCGTCCGAGTTCCAAAGTCCTTGCTCGTTGAATTCCGTAGTGAGTGCCTCCGCGATTTTATTTATTGGATAAATGGCGGTGCGCGCGGTACGCGCGGCGCTACTCGCTCGGTCCTTATTACTTATATACTGGAGTACGTGTAATTAATAATTATGCATGTGTGTATGCGGTACGGTTAACTGTTAATTAAGTCATCTTGAATGATTACTGTAATTAATTAATATTGTTTATCAGTTAGTTAAATATGGCTCCACCATGCAATCGTCTATCTCTCTTTCTCTCCCGCTTCTCGTTACTCTTTCTCGGCTCAAACTCTCTCGCGCATATCTCAGAGTATACAACGTACACGTTGGCTAAACTACAGACACTTAGTACACTTATTATCATATTTATCTGTTAAATGTTGATTGACTGATTGAACGTGGGAGAAGGAAAAGCGACCGGTTGTTTGATAAGATCGGGGAATTTTTTGAATTTTGATCAAAGGATATATTTTTCTCTCGACACAAATCGATCGAATTTTTTTGCCACCGGTCGTCGAAAATCCGAAACTTTTGAGGTGAAGGACGTCCGGAAGTGGGAGCAATTTTTCTTTTATTCCAAACGGTGGATCGGGGCGAAAGGGAACAGGAAGGTGTGTTGAGCACGAAATGAATCCGGTATACGACTTCCGGTCGTGCCACTATCCGATTAGCGGTATTAGTGGTGTACGACGAGATTCTGCAGACACTGAAAAGACCACGTGCTTCCCGTACACTTACTTATTTAACTTGTTTAACTGCAATACACTGTGATTACTGTTCTACCATAGCACTACTAATTGTGAGTTATACTTGAAAATTGTCTGTTCACTGTAACGGAAAACCCTGACGAAGGCACTCACTCAGCGGACAATGTGTTTTATCAATGTGATTTATCTCTTGTTTTTCGTGCTCCATTTATCCCGATTTGCAATTAAAAGCTTTTGTGGCTAATTCGCAGTGTTATAAATTTATTTGTTATAAATTAATTTTTTTCTACGATTAGTCATGGAGTATCATTTTGCCAAACAAACGGACTCGGCCTGTCACCTCGGACACGCATGCGGGGGGTTCGGGTTCAGGTTGAAAGAAACACATTTTCCTGAACGGAAGTATGAAGAATATTTTGAAAAGAGTATCGTCTCGCCCGCGGAGACCACGCGACTCGATCGAGCCGATCGAGAGCTACGGATCGGGTCAACGTGATCTGCCGTGACGAGACAGCGCGATGGGTCCGCACGTTCGTCGTCGTCGACCGTTTGTTGATTGTTGGTGTGGATCATTTGAGATCATGGCAGTCGCTACTTCTTCACGACTTCGATCGATCATAAGGTTTAGAGTCTCTGGATACTCTCCGTTTCCAGGTGTTTCCTCGCTGTATTGTTCTTCCTCGTTTCATCCGCTTTCGTAGCCGAGACGAAGGTCCACATTTTCGCTGCACGGTTAACGTCGAACGTGACATTCGATTTCTCATCCCTCTTATCAAATACCTCTCTCGTGATTAAGAGATAAGGACGGAAATCGAAATGTCGCGTTTGATAAGTGTTAAAAATGCAGCGAAAATCTGGACCAATAGGGTCAGATTTTGAATTTTCCGAACGTCGCATTTAGACGCCAAAATTCCGGATTACAGATTGTCTCGGCTATCTCGATTGTTTCGATCTGCCAGGAACCTCGTAATTTTGTCGGTCTGCCAAACGTTCGCGGTCGTTGAAGTCTCCGTCTCTCGCGCCGTTTTCCCCGTTGACTCGCCGCCGTCATCTCTCTCGAAGTTCTTTCTCTGGGGGCCAGAACGAACATGTATTGCGTGTGTGTGTGTGTGTGCGTATATGCGCGTGATGGAGGTCGCGGATATCGACCCGCCGAACGCCGAAACCCATCGCCTTAACAACTATGGCTCTTTCATTTATATAGTGGACATTGAAACAACTTATTCCGGTTTTTAATCACGGAGGCTCGGTTAGAGGCACCGCGTGAAGACGCGAATGCCGCCGAGGCGCTCGCACTGCTAGACTGTCGGTTTTATCATATGCTGCGCACTTACGATACACACTGCCACGAATGATATGCACATACGTCGTCGTATGCCCTGCGTCGCGTTGCCACCGTTTTTTTAAAAAAAACGTTGCCGCACAATCTCTTGGCTGCGCCGCAATATTCCTCTCCCATTACGTCCGCCACGGGACGCGGATATATACGGGGAACGCGCACGCAAAAGCGCGATCGTACGCAGTACATATATTCGTCGTGAGATTATTTCATTAAAAAATTAAAACCCGATCAAAAACAAACCAACGGTTTTTGCTTGTAAAGCCGCACTCGAACAACGGCCCTTATGCAATTGCCGCTGCCACATTCCTCTTGGTTGTGTGTTCCTCATGTGGTTATTCATTACACCTTACTCGTGATTGCATCTCGTGGAACGGGGGTCTCTCTTTTCCTCTAGGTGGCTTCCGAAGTACCTTTTCACTCTCTTCCTCTCTCTCTTTGCTCGAGATTTCTCTTCATTTTTCGTCAATCTTCGGCGACGAAATTTTCTGGCACTCGGCCACCCGTTTCGTCGTCGGGTCTCTCGGCCCGACGAAGAGGCCGCCCACACGTCACATCCGGGTACTTTAGGGTCAAGTCCGGGACGTGTTTCGGAGGTGTGCACTCGCGCTTCTCAGCGCAAGCACGCACGCACCGTTCATCATCGGTACTGCATCCAAACGTATGCCAAAGGCCGCGAAAATTTTGCTGCGATTACACATCAATCGTACTATACGAGCACAAACGCGTGTGCTAGTTTTTTTTTTGTTATATCAACCTCAAAAAATTATCGTTATTTTTTCAAATCGATCGAAAACTGTTTTTTTTTTTTTCACATAGCGTCCCCGAGACGACGCGTCTCCGTCTGAAAAGCGGGATCACGATCCGACGAGCTTTTCCAGACGGATCGGCGTTTATCTCTGCGCGACGCGTGTGAAAATATTATCAATAGGCCGAATCGTAGTTTTTGTGTTGAAAAATTCTTTTTTTACGCAATTTACAAAAACAATTGGCTTTACATATCCGTAGCGTGTGTAATTAAGTGTAGATAAGTGTGCTTCAAGTGTGCTTCAAGTGTAAAGATGTGTACGTGGGTACCTGTGTATTGTGTGTATGAACACGCGCGCACGCACGCACGCGTGCTCGTGTATTGAGAAGTGAATGAGCGCGCGGGGTTGCACGCTCGTGACCAGGGCAACTTCTTTGCTTTAATCTGTGTGTCGTATATTGGAACGGAACGCGCATCCCTGCGGTTTTAAATTCACGCGGGGCAACGCGCCGTCCATTTTGTGAGATTATTTTCTGTTTGCGTTGGTTTCTGTCACTGTTGTTTTTGTGTTTGTTCCTTGGCGAGAATACCAATTCTACCGCGGCCCAACGCGTTCGCGCGCGTAATAACGCACACGGAATCGCGCGGAATCCGCGGATTTTTGCGTTTGATTCGTGAAGGTCGAGTCGTATTTGTGAGTGTGTATGCGCTGGGAGTATGCACCAGCGCATCCGGGCTATGGCACTTTTTAGATTATTTAAACATTTAGCAAATTTACATGAAAGAGATTAAGATTATGGATAGGGCCGACTTTGCAGGCAACGTTGCGCTATGTGGATTTTCCCTGTCATATATATACCTTCATGTGTGTGTGCGTATATATATTTATTATCATTCAACATAGCGTGGGCCTCTTCTTCGACTACCGTCAATCGCGTTTCCACGAGCGGACTACGGTACGGGCGCTTGTATCTTCAGGTCGTTCGTGACGCCTAGGGAATTGTTCCTTCTCCGGATTCTCTCCCGTCGTCAGGCGCGTGTGAGCCTTCTTGTCTCCTTGTATATTTCGTCGCTATTTAGCCGCTTCCTTCTGTTTCTCTCGTCGTCTTTTGCGCGGCTCACTGCCTTTCTCGCGACAAATACGAACGACCCACGGTCTTACATGATCTCTTTCACAGTTTTTTGCACGCTCTTCGCGCGCTTTATGCGCCGCAGCTCGCAGAATGCCGTACAAATATCCCGCCGTGTCCCTCATTTTGTCGTCGTTGAGACCCGAAAATCTCACTTGGCTAACGCGTTTGCGCCACCGGCCCTCTTACGAGTTACGGGCATATGTAAATCAATATATTTGTAAATTTTTTTTGTGCTTTTTTTCGCGGGTGCGACCCGCGTATTTTTTTATTATTATGTTTTCTTTATCTTTATCCTCGCTTACTTCTCAGTTGATTACAGAACATACACTACTAGATCTATTGTTTAACGCGCTTGTGTGTGTTTTTTATTTTTGCATTACCATTTGTTTAAATTTAAAATTATGGTACACGTTCGCGGGGCACGGGCCGGCGCCTCGGGAATTCTTTCTTCTCGCGCGGGGATGTGTCTTTAATTGCGATCGAGAGGGCAGAGAGAACAGGTTTTACACGACCCATCACTCTCCCCTCGTCGATCCATAGTACGTCGTTTGGCTAATTAAAAAAGCAACCCTCGGCGCACGGCAGGATGCACCGGTCGAAAATAGTCGTCTGTCAATCGTTTCATGACCGCGATCATCATGAAGGATTCCGACGTGGTAGTGGTGGTAGTGTTTTGTATTGTTGTTGTTGTTGTTTTATTAAAATTTTTTGTGATGGTGATAGTGAGACGGTGGTAAAATAGCAACGCTGATCTCTTTCCATCCTTCCGTTTCTTTTTTCTTTCGCGCTCTTTACTACCTTTTCGTGCACCGCTTTTTAAATTACCTCTCGGCGCTCGACTATTAGGAACCGTGAAATGAAAAATTGCGTCTTTCGAAAAATCATTATTCACTTTCTTTTTCATGACTCGCGAATTCCAACGACAAGTTTTTTATTTACTTCGCGCTTCACGTGCGCGACACGTGCTAACAATCTAACTAAACTCTTCTCATTCGCTCCATTTTCTTTATTTATTCTTAGAAACTCTCTCACAGATGTGGTACTCTAATTTGATATTATATGCCGAAATCTATCAATTTCTCATTCTTTCCCAGATTTTCTCACAATTCTTTCACTCATAATTTTCCAGCACGTTTGCACCTTTCGCACAGAAGCGCTCGAAATTTATCGCCATACTTTATTTTTCGCGACTTTCGTTTTTTTCGAAAAAAAAAAACAAATGCGATATTCGCTTATGAAAACTCTCTCCGAAAAATCGGTCCCTACGATGTTGCGCGGACGCCGGAGTGTGTGCGAAGATTGCGTTTTAAGATAATTCCTAGCTGTACAATCCATCGCAATGCCATGTGTGTGAGTGTGTGTGTGTAAGTGTTTTATAGTGTGTCAGAGTATCAGTGTCGAGAAAAAAAAAAGAATTTCCCGATCGATGATGTCCGAGAGATTGGTGAACGTTTCCGCGCGCGGCCCCTCTCCCGGGATGTAAATCCACTCGTTTCAAACGAAGAAAGGTGAGAGAGGAAGGCGCAAAACGGAAACGATCGCCGATCGTCGGGGACACGCACCGACGACGAACAGAAGCTCTGGTTCGATAAGAAACGATTATCATTGGTTGCGTGAACGAGGTGTATGCACTCGCTCAGCTTTAGGTATTTACATAGAAACTAACCCTATTTCGCATTATGTACGTTCGTTTAAGTTACCAGTAAATTCTCAGTTTATGCTTGTGATATCAAGGTGTATTTACATACTACTTAATCCGAGGAAAAAACGCCCTGTAACGCAAAAACTTTAATAATAACGATCAATGAATCGACCCGCGATTGCGATCACAGGAACTCGAGGCGGCCCGTTATCGTTTTCTTTGTTCTTCCCGAAAACGAAGACAAACCTAAAGATCCGTAATTTTTTCGAATTTGTCGAATTGACATCTATCTATCGATTCCCAATGGCGATGAGAACATTTTCGTGGAAGTTGTGAATTTTGGAAAATTTTGTCAAAGCAAATATATAAATCCAGACCAGTCCATCGAGTTCCGATCGCGAGACGGTTGCGATTGTTAAATGTAGCTTTGACGATGAATCCTTTAGCGATCTTTTCTTCTCTCGTCCCAGATGGTCAAAAAGCCTAGCTACCCGGCGGCTTCTCGGCGCGTGTCTTTTACGTTCAACGAAGATGACGACGTTAGGCTACTTTCGTAATTGGCGAACAAAGGGACATGAAAGAGGGGGAGGGGGCATATCTCGAAAAGGAATATTGTTTAGAATATTTTTCAAGAAATTTCATTACATTTCTTACACAATATGCTTTCGAAACATTAGCAAGTGAAAAGATTTTTGCCAATTATTTTCGTAGGCGAAATTTTATATGACCGAAGTCAGGGGAAAGATTTTGAAAACAAAAAAAAGAGGAGGATGGAGAGATGGAAAGCAAAGATCGAAGGGATTGCAGGTTTTGGAGAGGTTGGAGTTTTTTTTGCAAAAACGAGCCGGTCAAAAACAAAAAAGTCTCTTTGAGAGACTTCTCCAAAAGGAAACAACAACAACAGTAACGCGGTCAATATTGGTGGTCCAAGAATGTGTGAACAAATTCGGCACGCTACCATTCAATTCTCCGCACTTATCAGTCCGCGAGTGACGAAGAAACGAAGAAATCGAATTGTGTCGTAGGTGAATGCTCGTCGAATCGACTTTCCAATGTTTTAACTTTTTTTTTTTTAACCGCCTCAGACTCCGCCGATTTCTTTTAGAAATTTCATTTTTTGCTGAAGAATGAAACTCGAGAAATAATTTCCAATCGAATGTCAAACGTGTTTTTCTCTCCAGTTTGCGTCAGCAGTCGCGTCTCGTTTTATCGCATTTGGTCTCATTGAAAAGATAACCCCGTCGAAAGTGCAGACAAACCACAAGTTTTGCTAAAAGTTACGGAGAGAGATGGGAGAAGGCAATGGGGTAAATTTCGTCTGGTGGGATGGTGAGGTTTTTGACGGGCCGTCGCGGAAAGGAAAACGATTTGTTTTGTTTTTTTTTCTTTGTGTTTCAGGAGAGCAAGGGGCTGGCTCGAGTCTCTAAAAGTTCGCTCCACGATCAAACCTACGGACTTTTCTTGATTCATCCTCTCCCTCGTCATCCTCATCTTCGTATCTGTGTTTTTATTTTTTGTTCTTTTTATTCATCCACCTTCTTTATTCCTATTCGTCTTCTTCTTAATCTTCTTCATCCTAAGTATTGCGAGAACGTAACGGTATATTGCAAGTAAAAGTTCAAAACGACGCAAGAGTTTTACGCGTTTCAGATTATATTACCCGGAAATAAAAAAATATTTTGCTTATAACGATCACAGGACCTCAGATTACCTGAAGCACGCCATTCTAAAATCTCACTCTCGTCTTCGCATTCGCTCTTCCTTGATGCTCACGAAGCATTCACATTCACTCGATCTTTTTCCCATTCGCTCGATGTCGCGCCCGCGCGTCTACGACGGTCCCGAGGTCGTTTTCACTCATGTAACATCCACTTTTCTTTCTCTCCCTCACTCACTCTCGTTTTTCTTTTGCACGTTTGTTTGTTTGTTTTTGTTATTCTCCTCGGTTCTCACCGTGCACTGTCACATTCTCTCGTCGACAATGCTCGGGATCGCGTACGATCTACAAGGGCGCGCGCTCCACATTCGCTCATATTTCCCTTTCGCCTAACTAACCTAGTCTCATAGACCCTATATTCATTATTTATAATATTTATATATATAATATATATATATATAATATTTAGCATTTAGAGTTTTTTTTATTTCTCTCTTCTGCTTCGTCATGTGCTTTACTCACGAAAAAAATGCTCGCTTTTTCACGCTTACCGTATTTTTCTCTTCCTTTCAACTAGACGCGTAAGTGTGAAATGGGTCCGGTTTTTTCGCCTTGTTTTTTTTGTCTCTGTCATACTCTTCATATACACTCTGTATGTATATATAATATATATAATATAACTGTTTGTAATAACTATATTTTGTTTGTTCGCTTACGAGCTAATAGTTTTCGTGCTATCAACGAGCACAGATTTTTACGCGCGTTTTTATATCTTCACCTTAAAAGTGTGTTTGCATGATGCGTTTTATGTATAATAATGTGTGAATTGTATTGTACATGTGTACATGTGTAATGTGTGTGTATACATTCACGTGTGTGTCACATGTGTGTGCCCGTACGTATCTGTCTACGACGCGTCCGACATTCGTTTCTCGAGTCGCGCGAAATTGTCAATGTCCGATATCGCATTGGGGCCGAGAGAACGTCCGGATTCGGTCGCGTCCGTCTTGTCACACACACGGGGAAGGGGAGTTTTTTTTCTTGTACGTATATTAATTAACAACCGTACAACGCGACGACACGGGACCGACCGCAGTCCGGTAGCCCGTTCGCCGCAATTGCGCGACGCACACATCGTCAATGAGCCTGCGTACGTGGGTGTTTAATGGTGTGCGATCCGCCTTAAGCATTACGAGCTTTTTCTTTAAGATTAGGGGATGAGGAGTGGAACCTTTAAGCGCGGTTCAATGGAGATAGACGTATCTATGTATAATATTTATATATAGTTTAGGTTTGTTGAGCCCGGTCGCGCGGGATGTTCGAGGATCGCCCGTTGGACCCTCGGCATCGTCGCCTACCGCTTAATCGGCTCTTGTACTAAAAGATCATAGTACCTTGGAGTGCGCACCCCGAGCGCGATCCCGCGTGACGGGACGCTCGGAATGACTTAATGTTTCCTTAGCAGCTTCTCGTTATTATGGCACGTTTCGGGAGCCGAGGCGGCGGCATGGCAGTGGCGACGTGTCCTGAGAATTTTTACGGACATTTCTCCGTTCGGCAAATCCATTATCTAGGACCGGTGTAGGAACAACGACGCGGGAATCGCATCGCTTTGGAAGTCGCGCGAGAGACGCGCGTCGCCACAGCCGATCCCCCCCCGCCTCGCACCGTGCAACGGATACACATACGTATTTCTCACTCTTCCTTCGTCCCAATCGGAAAGCGCGTCGACCGAGGGGCACGTCTCTCGGCTCGCTTCCGGTTGGTCCGATCGTATCGGTTCTATCCGAAGCGGGAAGACACCGAAGATACATTCTTCTTCGTTTGAAGTTCGTTTTTTGTTTTGTCATCGTTTTCTTACTGCTGAGACAGTGAGTGTATTTCTAGGTGACCGCACTTGGACGCACGAACGAGTTCACGCCGGCGACGACGATGACGGCATCTCGACATCGTCACTCGCTAAATCGACGCGATCTCTCTTACGCGTTCTCAGAGTTACCGATCATTTCGTCGGCTTTCCTCTTGACGCCACGGTCTTCAGACTGCTGCTGCAGCTGCAGCTGCTGTTGTTGTTGCGGCTGCTGCTGCTGCTGCTGCTGATGATGATGATGACCGATGGTAGACGGACCCTGCTGTTGCTGCTGCTGCTGATGATGATGTTGTTGTTGCTGCTGCTGCTCGTGCAACGGCGTAGTACGCTCCGTTGACGACTGCGACTGCTGGTTCATGCGCTCGTTTTGCAGAGTCGTCTGATCCGACGCCCAAGGGGTCCACTCGTCTCAGTAGTAACTGAATTTTCATGGTTGCTGATTGCTCTGCTGGTTGACGACGTGCTGGGCCAGAGTAAAGCTCAGAGCGCGTGGATCACCGTGTAGCCTGAGAGCCTGTTCTAGTCGCTGCTCCTGTAATCGTAGCGCTTCTCCTGCAAAAGTGTAGTATTGACGTCTCGTTAGAGAAGCTTCCATCACGTGTCAAAACTCGATGTGCCATTAGACTCAAATGTTACATAGAGTCGCCACATCGTCACGTCGCATACTTACCGAGATCTGGCGTCAGGGTGTCCTGTTGGGACATTTGTTGGTTTGTATGGTGTCCCGGCATGCCGGAAGTGCTGCCTCCGTTGTGCTGACCTAAATGATGCCTAACATCGCCGCCCACCGCGGAACTCGCCGCGGCTGCTGCCGCTTGAGATACCTTTATACAAAGATGCGGAAAAATATTAAAGAATGAAGCGCATAAATATTAAATTTAGCTTCTGTAGCAAGTTATTTTTTTTTCTAATCCTTAGAAAAAATGTACCAAAACAAATTGATATCAAATTCTTTTCTTACCGCGAGTCTGAGAGCAGCTTCGGCTTGGGAACGAAGCAGAGCTTCCGCCTGATGCATTCTCAGAGCCTGCTCCGGTCCGCTAGCTTGCACTCCCTGCTGTTGAGGTCCCGTCGATCCTTGAGTGCTACCACTCATGTCACCGTTGTTGCCCATTCTCATGGCTGCCGCTAACGACGCCATGTCAACCGGCGAAAGATTGGGCGACACGGAGTTTTGCAATCCTAACAGAAATATTGCTTTCACATCTCGCCTAACATTAAAAAAAAAGAAAGATTTTCCGATAAAGAATAGTAGAATTTTGATATTTGTCTTGAAACAATTAGTTAAAAAAATAGTTAAAAATAGTTAAAAAAAAGTGTAAATTTTACAGAGAAATATATTTTTCTATCATCTTCTCGATGAGACGCGTGCCACGATCTTGTGTATTTCAGAATCTTAAACCGTTGAGCCCGTGATCTGCGGAACACGTGTCGAGGAGAGCGGCTCGCAAACGCGCCCTGTGCTAACTTTGATCGTTGGGTGAAGAGAGGGGAAAGTAAGGAATTTCTAATATTTGTTTTTCCTAACGCCGGTTTCCTCGGTCGGAATTTCTCAACGAGCCGCGACTCGCAGCGTTCTCGCGAAAGAAACTGCGAACGCAACGAATTTTGCGAAAGTTAAATCGCGATAATATTTTACGAGATGACATCGATATCGTACTTCTGTACGTGGACACGTCATTTCCTCGAGCAACAAATACGATCGCGTCGAGTAGCGTTTCCGCTCGTCATCCGTCACTCGAGTTCCCGTTTTAAGATAGAGAAAAGATAGAGGAAAGCAAGCACACGAATGCAACATAGTCAGCGAAGAAACAACATTGTAAATCAAGTTTTATCGGCAATAATTGGAACGGAGTTATCGACTTTCCCCTCTCGCGCAATTTAGCAGTGATAAGTGATAACGCAGTCCTTGGCGACGACTCGCTCGCTCGCAATCGAACTCGTTAGATCAGCAAAACTAGTCTGCATTAATTATACGTAATTTGTAATAATATTATATTATATTATTTATTTATTTTTTCTCACCCGCCGACACGGCTGCTGCCATGACAGCCATGCGTTGTTGTTGCGATTGCATCTCGTCGTGGTATTGCTGCGCCGAGCCCGGTTGACTGCCCGCTCGCAGCATCTCGCTGAGCTTGTTGCCGCTCGGTCCCGGTGACGCCATGTTGTTGTTGTTGTTATTGTTGTTATTGTTCAGTAGACCGGTGCCTGCGCAAAAATCTGCTCTCGTCAGTATGTACAGGTCGACGAGCGGGCGGAGTGTTTTGCGCACTAGCCTAATTAAAAGGTGTAGCGTATAGAAAACGTTCGGGCACGCTAAATCTCGACACGCTAAAGGCGTTAAAGAAGAAAAGACCGTCATCCCGAGATGGATGACGCCCACGAGAGTAGTAGAGAGAGCGCCGTTCACATGAGAGAATTATTACTCAGACCACAAAATTCGTATATGTTTTATTTCGACTCAATTGTATATATTCATATATATGTAACTTATGTGTACTACAATAAGTTTCACTAATGGTACTTCACAACAACAGAGTTTCGTCACTGAATGAAATCAGAGAAAAAAAGATGGATAACGGCGTTTTACAAACTCGACCAAACTTGCACACAATGACACTTTACATCTATTATAATCTAGATATACTTGGTAGGCGATCGTTTGTAAGTAGTAGACGTAGAACAAGTATCGGAGCGTACCAGGTTCACTACCGGCCGACGATAGTCTTCCGTTGCCGCTACTGCTGTCCGAATGGGCCGACGGTGACGGGCACATTGGTGGTTGTTGTAAATTTTGCGGGCCTCCAGATTGACTTCCTCCCAAAACACCCAAACCCGCACCTGTACAGCGCCAAGAGGTTTACGTTAGAATCCGTAACTCACATCGAGAATATGTGTTTTTAACGTTGCTATAGATGAAAACATCGTCGAACTTTTTAACGTTAACATAGAGGAATAATTCGTCGGTGTCTGTTTTATACCTAAACTCGAACTCGCGAGAATCTCCCTTTCCCGCCTTTCGGCGGCCGCGCGACTCAGCACATACTGCGCCGCGAACTGATGTTTCGGATCCATCCTCATGTGCTCCATGTGGCTCAGGAGACCTTAACACCAGAGAAAAACAAACGTGATCACAGTACAAGAAAGCGATCGCGATACGTACACGGACAATAAGTACATTATAATAATTGTCACTCGGTATATAAACTTATATTTCCACAAAAATAAAAATTTTTTATTGTACAAATGCACATAAAAGAGAAACTGAAACAAGTCTTATTTTTCAGAAACTGTATACGTATATGTGTGTGTGTGTGTGTGTGTAAACTCGCGAATAATCGTCGAGTAATATAAATACTTACCGCTCTCGTGAGTGAAGACGGCTTGGCACACCGAACACGGCCACATCCTGAGGCTCGTGCTAAGCTGACTGGTCTCAGGATGGCAGGCCAGATGCTTCCTAAGGCTACCCTCGTTGACGTAGTGCTTCCCGCACACTGGGCACGGGTGGTTGGCGGTCCTTCGCTTCGCTAGGTAAACCCCGGCAACGGAGGTTGTGCAGTCAGCGGAGGGAACAATAGGGCGACACAATGTCAAGGTCAATGCCAAGCAGGATAAAGCGTCCCAAGGAACGAAAGCCGTTCTCCTCTTCCATCCCAACCTCCTCCACCATCATCTTTTTTTTCGTATCTCACTCTCTCACCTCTCACTCTCTCGTTCTTTTTTTTCCTTCCCCATCCTTATTTTTCACGCACACAAACACACGTGTGCACGCGCGCGCGTATGTACGCACTGATTCCGGTCGACCTCGAAGACCAAGGGAGAACTTACAGACGCGGGTAGCCAAGGACCAGGAGAGCACTGACCTCGGGCACGCAGAGTACTCGCTGGCCGGCGCCGCCGCCGTCGCCACCGCGCTGCTAGCTTCCCTTTCACGAACAAGGTCGTACGGTCCAAAACGCCGGAACGTACATACTCACGCGCATTGCACGAAGATTGTACAGAGAAAAAAAGAAATTTCTTCAATAAAAAGACAAATCTAATTATAGTCGTAACGACTGATTGCGCGCGCGTTATCTTTGCCAATTCTCAGCAACGTCGTCATCAATCCACGCCTCGCGCTATAAATAACGACAATGCAACATTATATGCTTAAACGCGTATTCAAATTGGCAGCGTTTTGCGGACGCATGTCGAACATGGTAAGCGCCACTTTACGAACGGGAATAAAATGCAGATCTTCCGTTAAACGAAGAAAACACACGTGGATTGGGACTTTTCTTCTCTGTACGTTCTCCACACGCATCACGCACGCATTTGTATCAAGGCACGCAGAGTAGTATAGAGGTCGAACGAAACACCCTCGAAGCACCGTGTACACATGTATTAGCGGGTTGCTATCCAAGTATTAGTTCGGCGAGTATGCCAAATGCTACACGCCTTTACCCGCCCAGGCGAAAACAGTACGAAGAAGTGAACAAGGAGAATGTGTTGCGTATTCGCCCGCGCCAAAGCAAGTTCTTGGGATAAGATGCGAAACGTACTTAAAGGCTAAAAGGGACGAACCACCCCTCGTGTCTCGACGAGTGGTTGCTCCACCTCTCTCTTAGTCTTACTCACGATTAACGTCGCCCCTCTCGCGTCTATGTCTCTCTCTCTCTATTTTTCTCTTTCTCTCTCTCTCTCTTTCTCTCTCTCTCTCTCTCTCTCTCTTTCTTTCTCTCTCTCTCTCTCTCTCTCTCTCTCTCTCTCTCTCTNTCTCTCTCTCTCTCTCTCTCTCTCTCTCTCTCTCTCTCTGTAGAAACCCTTAAGAGGTTCCTCGCGCGATCCTAGTTAAGGATTCTATCTAAGAATCCGGTTAAATGCGGCTACAGCTGGATTTCGAGGATGTTAAACGCGCGCGAGCGCAGAGAGAAAATTCGGTGTTAAGTTTGTTGATTAGTCATAAAAGACAGAGCACGGTCAAGGTTTCGTTCTCAAGCTCGCTTCATGCAAACGATGCACTCAGCCACGAAACGTGTAATTCCAAGTTAATCGATCGGGTTGAAGTTAACGCAGATTAGTGGATGCGCAAAACGGGAAGCGGAGGAAGAGAGAAGTATAGAAAGCGGTTGAAGAAAGAGATGAGAGACATAGACGAGCCGATCGAGAGGGCGCGATTGTTACGCGATTTTTCAATACTTACTGGCTACTCCGGAGGCATTCGGATCCTTGTGGGTGTGCTTCATGTGCTCCATCAACGCCTCGCCGCCGAGGAAGAGCTTGTGGCAAACTGGACAGCTGGTTGCGTTCGGGCCGCCGATCAGGGCGGCGTGTTGCTGGAACACAACACGCTGTTGCAACTCCTTTTTTGGGGGCCCGGAAGATACCGGAAGCAGGCACACGCGGCGCACCGGTAGTGTAGAAGAGCCGACCCAGAGAATACCACCACAGAGTTGCGAACCAGAAGCGCAGGACAGGCAGGGCACAGAACAGAACGATTGACCAGTGAGAGTTAAGGCACCAATATACCGCCGCCACCACAGACTACTCCTTTTGCTCAGGGAATTCGTGTCGAGTGTGTCTGGTAGGAACTTTGTGGTATCGCGCTCTGGCTGGGTTTTCCAGTCGATAAAATACGAGATAAAAAAAGAGTCGAGAAAAAGAGTAAAAAAAAAAAGAAAAAAGAAAAAAAAAAGAAAAATAATGAATTCCGTTTTTACAAATGCATTGATATCCTTTTTTCAATAATGATCCACTTTCAGCCGATATTATTTTACATCGAACAAATAACCGATGTATTCTTCAGCATGTAAGTTGACAACTTGCAAGATAATTTTGCAATATATTACATCTACTGAAAAATATATATGAATGTTTTTTATACAACTGACTAATTAGCTAGATTGCGGCAAGTGAATCGTCAATGAGAATATTTGAAAAGATTATAGCTAGCTCTTGGAGACGGACAGGAAATAAGGCGAAAGTATCTCGATATTGTTGGTAATTACATTACTCGTAATCTCCAATATATCGCTAGGAAGGAATACTGTGCCCGTATACGTTTTTTCTTGAACACGCTTATCATCGATTTGAAACAAATTACACATCTGTTAGAATTTCGTTGTTACGGTTTCGTAAATGTTGTTTTTTTTTATACATACAGAGATGTAGGAAGAGTCTTTGACCAATCGAAACGCGTTGTTGAGAAAACGTAATGCCAGAACAGAGTACTCGATTCGGGGTGCGGAGAGGACTGAGGTAGAACAATTAGGTTCGAGGAGTTCGAAGCGAAGCCTAGACAGACAAATATGTGGAAGCGTGGGGTCCGGGAAACGATCGGAGCGGATTAATCCCTAACCGGCGCGATTAGGGATTTTGTCGGATAATGCTGATGCGCCGGCATCGGCCTCTCGCCTCGTACATGCACGTACGAAATCTGAAGGCTGATGCCAGACGTAGCGTCGCGAAAACAAAGCGACCACTTTCGTCGACCTTGGACCTCCGATCGACCCCGCGCAACCTCACCCATGAACGGGAATGCGAAGCATGGAATGACTAGCTTGTACCATACATCAATTTTAACTACCATGGCCGTTGCTAGCGCATCTTCGACTCGCGTGATTTGCATTCCGTTTACTCTCTTCTGTATTTTGTATATTTTTGCATATTTATATAAATAATACAAACAAAATCTATATTGAGTTTATTATCCTTTCAACGGCCATGTTAATTACAGACAAAAATGAAATCATGAATGAAATTCGACGTCCTCAGTGGCCAGATAGAGTGATTTCCTTCATATTTTTCACTCTCTGGCTCGTTACGCGTCAAGAAATCGATTCGCACCGATCGCATTGTTCTCGCATCGTGTTCCCTTTTTTATCTTCTTTTTTGCGTTCCCCCCTTTCCCTTTTAAGACCTGCGGTCCCTCTCTTTTTCTTTCTTGTTCTCTTTCTCTACCCGAACACGCGAAGGTTGCTTGCACGCATACAAGGCGGTAGGTGCACGCGCAGCGATGGAAAAACATGGCGGAGACCCGTAACTTGTTCGAAAGACTGCTTAAAACGATAGTGGGAAGGGGAAGAAAAAAAGAAAAAGGTGCAAAAGAAGGAGAAGTAGTGAACGAGCAAGAACGGGCTAAAACGAGACCGGACGGCAATGACCCGAAAGAGTTTCGGGGGGTCTCTCCTGTTCCTCTCTTCCTTCCTGTTCTCTTTCTTCGGTTTACGACTTTTTTTTTTGCCATACTTTTTCGCCTTCTCTCTCCCGAACATTTTTTTTTGTTCTTTCAATCGTTCTTTTTATTCCGGACCTAGGACAATCGCGAACGCGTTGAGGCAACCGGCAGAGAAAAGGCTAAAACAAGTTCCGACGGCAATGACCTCAAATTGTGTTTTTTTTTTGCAAACATCTTCATCTTTTTTCTGTCTCTCTCTTTCTCATGCGTACTTCTCGCTCTTTCCTATTATCGGCATGATTCTCCGCTCTCCGCATCGTAAATGGAGTTATTTTTGCGCGGTCGTCTTTGTAGACTTCTCTTCTCGACGTTGTCGATAGATCTTCTTTATAAGTATATACACGAAGAGCTCACGTCTTAAGACCTCTTTGTACTTCCTCTTTTTCTGGAAATTTTTAACGATGTGCTGGATGCCGGCGCGATCTTGATTTTCTCTCTCCAACTCTTCTCTCGCAAACGAACGAGTCAACCAAGAAGATTAGAAAAGTCAAAAAAAGATAATATCAATTGTACGATATTATCGAATATCTCGGCTTTTATTTCTTCTTTCTTGTTTTTTTCTTCACGCTGTTTCCGCGCGTCTTTCTTCTTTCTTTGTTTGACTCTTGTTTCGTGATAAACTCTCGCGAGTGGGTGGCCGACATACTTATGTGTGCATACTTTTCTTTTTTTTATCGCCGAACCTGGGGCAACCGCGAGCGTGTTGAGACGACGACGACGACGACGAGGACGGCATCGCCGCCGCCGCCGCCGCCGCTGCTGCATGTAAGTTATTCTCGGAGGGAGGCTGCGGTCCCTAGGTTCGACGCCCCGACCTGGCCCAACTGGAAAAAACCGGTTTCTTCGTCGCGCTCTTCCTTTTTTGCCTGCATCCTCGCTTTTTGCGCCGCGAGGGCCTCGACTCCTCTGACGCTCTTTCTCTTCTTCTCCGTCCCGTTCTCTACGGTCGTGCCTTCTTTCTCTCTCTCTCTCTCTCTCTCTTTCTTCTCTTTCCCGTCGTTCTTTCTCACGTCGTTCTCTTCGTCTTCCCAGCTTGCACTCTCCAACTCGCTCGACCGAGTGGACGCGGCGTGGGCGAATCCCTGAGGGACTTTATGATCCGCCGTGACCAGATTCATCTCTTCTCTCTCGCAAGATTGTACGCGTCCGGCTCCGCTGTGAGCGCCCCACGTTCTCTCTCGCTACTATGTATTCCCAATTCCACACTTCCTGGTTCCGCTAAGGAGTTACATGTTTCTCTCGGCCAGAACCGTCGATTCTTCCTCCCGCGCGCGATCTTCAAAATACGTTCTTGACGGGAACACAACCTGCGATCGGTTTCGTATGTATTCTTTGTTTCTATTTTAAGACACTTGCATCGCGAGCGACGAAAGCGTGCAAGAGAAAATCCTTCGGTTTGGTTATTTTTTCTTCGAGATACCAGAGTCGTGAGGTTAAATATATTCGTCAATGTTATCCAAACACAGTCCACAAATAAATTTCAAGATTTTGTTGGGATACTGACTAAATAAATTTTTAGCGTCGATTAATATCGCGAACACAATCGATAAGTGGATAACAAATGAGTAAATTATAAACGGCGTTTTATCATTGCGCAGCAAATAATTAGGTTTGCGTGACTTTGACCGTGATTAAGTAGCATTCTTCAATTAATCAACGATAAGTGTATAAAAACTTGATCGAGATTCGTCGGGTGTCGATCGAGGCTGGTCAAATGCTGCCGTCGACGAACAATCACGCCCACCCCACAAGGATTTTTTCGCACCCTAACGTCGATTGGCTCCTCGATTTTTCCGGCGATCCTGGTCGCAGAATATCCGTTCCTTTAAGGCTCGATGCGGGGTCCGGGTCAGGGAGTGGCGTAAAAAGGAAGTGGGTGTGAGCACACGCGTAGCGGTGCGTGACGTCGGCCGCGATGTAGCCATTTTGTGTTTATACAGACGAGACCATCTTTGATCTAGAGATCTCTCGTTAGCCGGATCTTATTAGAACAAATCAAGGATATTGATCTTTTTCGCATGCGTGCAATCATAACGTTGTCCGCGATCTATGCGACAATCGAACGTAAAATTAATTTTTTTCTGTTCAAGGATGTTATTTAGAATTTTTTAAATCTTGCGGTTTCTTCTTTTTTTTCTGATAATTTCTTGTTTTTCGAGAGCTTTATAGCTTTGTAAACGCAGACCAAACGCTGCCGATAATCGACAACGAAGCCGGCTTCTCTTTTTTCCTCGAGCGACGATAAAATCCGAAGGCCGTTTGCGCGCAACGCGCAATTCTTTTCTCCCGCCCCCTCCGTCGTTCTTTCAGTTCTTTTTTCTTCGCCGCCACTGTCTTTCCTTGGCTTTTTTAGCCGCGACGAGGCCGCGAGACTCGCCAGCAGACAACCTTCGGTACGATACTTTGGCTGTTCGTTGCTCCAGCGCGGAATCTGCGCGGAGAGAGATATTCGCCGGTTTGCGCGCTCATCCGTTCGCCTTTTCTCCCGTTGTATTCGCTTTCCTTCGCTTCTTCGTTCGCGCGAACGTTATTTTCTCGAAACGAGAGAACGCTTTGTCTCCCGATAAGGAAGGCACCAGAAATTCCTGATTTCTTTTTCCTCCCGCCTCGTCTGATTCATAGCTGCTTTCGCACAAACATTGTGAGAGAAGCACAAACAACGCAAAAGTCTAAAAGATGTTTAAAAGACGTCAAAAGTATCTCCGAGAGCTTCTACATTTTTGTCTAGAAAATACTCCGTTCGCTATTCTTCCCAGAGCGCAATGTAGTTCTATTCAAAAATTAAATGGTAATATGATTTTTTCTCTTCTCTTTTTTTCACACAGTCTGGCGTTTCTTTCTTCGGTGCAATATAAATGTACGGCGTGTGCGATCGATAGGAATTAATATGCATCGCTAGTCACTCAGGCTCCTCATTGCCACCCTGTATTATTAATTCACTTCCTAAGAGTGGTGCGCGGTAATACGCGTGTAACACACGCACGCTAAAAATCGGTCGCTGACGAATGATGCGAGGCGAGAATGAGGATAAAAAAAAAAAAAAAAAAAAGAAAGAAAAGGGAATCCACCTAACGCCACGAGGGTTGACGACGTGGGCACCCTCCGTGTTGTGCCAATAGGAGAGAC